CTGCAGCAGAATTGACATTTGGAACTCCTTTGACACTTCCAGGGGAATTTTTAGATGCTAAAGAACCACCTGCAGAGTTTTTTCTGGATTGTCTTAGGAAGTTTCTGGATCGCGAACCACTCCCTACTCGCCACAACCATACACCTGCTCCGACCAGGATTCCAGCAGAGCTCATGACAGCGGACTTTGTCTTCATTCGCCATGATGCTGTCACTCCTCCACTGACGCCATTGTATCATGGGCCATACAGAGTGCTTCTCAGGTCTGATAAGTTTTTTCGGCTTCAGATTGGAAACCGGGAAGACACTGTTTCTGTAGACAGGTTGAAACCTGTTCTTTTAACTCCTGAAGATGATGTAAGGCTGGCTGCACCTCCTCCCCGTGGCCGACCAAAGAAAGCAACCCATGAGCTTCCAGTTTTGCCTCAGCCTCTAACATCTACTGCGCCTCCAGTGGATCCACCAGTGCCATCTTCAACAACTGCTCTTAAGCTACGCCCTCGCAAGAAGACTGATTGCCACCCCCTTTTCCAGCTGAGTATTCCATTCACTGGTTGATTCTTAAGATGAACCATCTTGGGGGGAGTACTGTGGAGCCCCTGATCTGCATACTGCAGTACTGTGTGTTCTGCAGCCTGGTTCTAGAACAATCCACCTTACTTTATAAACTCATTGTATATTCTATGAAATACAGTATTCTACAGTAGCTTGTCTTGTTCACTTGACAGTAGTTCTACAATATCTATCTTATTTGATTATAATTAGATATTATTTAGAGAAGGGGATTTTTATGCGATACTTTTAACAAATTTATTTTTAAATAATTTAACCATGATGCAAAGTTATTTTAAAAATGTTTGTTTTGTAACTTTACACTGCCGAACTGAAGTTTAAAAACCAAATAGTACATACAGAAACGTTCCTATAAGAACCAAACAACTATAGTTTGGTAAGAAACGTTTCCTGTCTTTTCTGGATGTATATTATACTTAAATGGAATACATGCGTAATTTGAAGTGACCATCTATTTATAGAGTGGCATGTCAGATGTACCTTTGAAACCTTCATTTCTCCATCGTTTCGGATGCAAGAATTGCTTTAGTTTTCAAAATGGGTGCCCCCCCCTAGTACCCCCTCTCTATATGTACTTATTTAATTCTTTTGTTTGGGCAGGCATGGTATCTTGAAATTTGCTAGTGGGGTGGGGGGCGGGAGGGGTGCATTTTGGGTTTGGTTCTGGGGGTATGATTTAGTTTAAGACGCCATTACACAGTGAAAGTCTATATGGGTTTATGGGCTACAACTATCTCTTAAAGAGGTCCCAATTTGATGCCAAGCAAAACAAATTGCTTGGCATAAAATTGGGGCCTCTTTTTTTCAAGGGTTATTAAAGCGGTTTCATGGGGCCTGGTTGGGATGTTTGTCCAACCAATCTCTCCATATATAGTTCAGATAGATTTATGAATTTTTAGTTTTTTAAGCAATATTGCAGTTAGCTAAAGTTAACAGAAAGAATTTCAATTATGCAACATAGTTTTACACCAAATGGGAGGTTGGTGAGACAAAAACTTACCTAATATTAAAAACTAAATACTGTGGCAGTTGGCACAGTTTTGAGTAATTTCAAAAGATTAAAGAGGCTTAAATATCCTTAACCCTGTTTTTTGGGTCACCCTGTATTTATTGTTGTATTCGGGACTGATCCAGAAATGGGTGAACAGTCCCTTAAATACACTGAGAGATCAGAATATGAGTCAGTACAATCCAAGCCGTAGCAGTAGAAAGAAGTCTCCTGCAGCACACTACTGCTCTGGGTCCTGTGCTACATACAGTGAACAGGATATTCTATAGGTACAGTTAGTCCCCGTGAAGACGAGCAGATTGAGATAGATGATGAGGAACCCCGCGTACCTTTTGAGTCCTGATGATGGAGAAGAGGAGGAGTGGACCTGGCCCCTCTGGAGAGCAGTTCAGCTCCCATTGCTACAGTTCCAGCAGAGGCTGAGGAGGCAGTTGAGGATGCAGCTGAGGATGAGATAATTCCAGCTTTAGAGTCTGATCCTTCTACTGAAGATGAAGATGGAGTTGATGCTGCTGAACCATCAGGGACAGTTAACCTTGATCAGCTGGAAGGTGGAGTTAGGCAGCTTGCTGTAAACGGAAACTCTAGAAAGGAGGACAGTCTCCAGCCTCCTGAAGATATTGGAGGTATTGAGGAAATAGTCTACAACTTTGATCCCCATGCTAACAGGCTGATAGCAAACTCACCATGGAACCTTCGGTCAGAAGAGATAGACATCATATACGCCCACAAAAATGATGTTATCATGCGCCTCTACTGTAAGGTCAGCAAGCTTCATGGAGCACAGGTGGAGAGACCACCCTGGGGAGCATTAAGAGGACAAGGAGATCACTATTGAGCTTGAAGACATCAGGGTAATGATAATTAAGTATAAGTGTCCTGACGTTGAGGTACCTAGCGGATTACATCTATGGCCAAGCTAATGATCCTAAATAGGATCATAGTTATTAATGTTGACTACTATAACAGAATGATTTGTATGTACATTTAATAATATGTTTGAATAAAATGTACAAGTACAAATTAAATGTCAATTAATAAATTGGGGACATATAAGGTTCAATACTACTGAATAGAGCAGTTTGGGATCAACCCGGCATTGTGTGTTGATCCTTCATAATTGATCTGTCTCAATCTAAGTGTTTATTTTTGAGTGTTAAGAAAATACCACATTATGATGACTCATAATTCCTCAAAAAAAGGCAGTTTTTTTATGCTTTGCATTAGCTCCTACTAGGGGAAGAAAAATATTGCAAAACTGCAGGTAAAATATCTATTTAAATTGGCTTTGACAAAAGGAAGCATATTGCATAAATCTTGCAGGGAAGTTTTACTCTTTTTGTTGTGGGATTGGATTTTGAAAAAAATATTTTGATGTTTTCAAATCTTCAATTTTTTCTTTACTGGTTCAACCTAGCTCAATATCTGGGTATCATTTCTATAGCCCGACAAGAAGGGGAAGGGAATGAAAAAAATTATATCTGCCCCCCCCCCCTCCTCGCTTAATCCTAGAACCCCCTTGCTTAAGTCTTTTTTTTGGTTTTTTAGCGTTTTGGGACAGCCATTATGTATTCTGTATTGATTTACGAAAATCATCCAAATTTATAGAAAAATATTTTTTGGCGAAAACGGAAACCCTTACTACTTTTTTGTTTGTTTTTATTTTATAATGTATACATTCAAAGAGAAAATGTTCACAATTAAAATAGAAGATGGGTGTGATATTTAAATAGGAACATTAATTTAAAACAATACAATTGAAGCAAAAAATATCAACAATTCTGTAAATATTCACTTTATCAAACGACGATTTTTACATTTTGACGTTTAATAAAATAATAACTTAAATTTGCACCCTATAGCTAATGCACACATTAAAAGCAAAGAGAATAGAATATATATTAGAGTGGAATTTACTAGAAAAAAGTGTAAAACAGCCATTTTGTTATGCTGTTTCCACACTGCAGGTGTACTTCACATATTTGTGAAATAACCTTTTGGGCCCTGGAACATCATTTTATAGAAAATCTAAAATTAATATTAAAAGAAAACCAAATTATGAAATAGGCTGGTTTCATAATTGACCAATATGATCATTTCACATATCGACTCTTATGTCTTTTACTTTACAAACGATGATTTTCGGTTTTAACTATTCACCTAATTCATTTTATAAAGTTTATTTAAAAGCTTTAAAAAATTTGAAATTGAAATGGATAGTCTAGGGAACATACTGTACTAATGTACTCTACTATATATAATTTGTGAACATTTTCATGATTTTGTACACTTTAAACTCCCTTTCAGGCTGAAAGGGACTGACAAAATTCATCCTAGAGGGATTGTCTAAATTCCACTCTAATATATATTCTATTCTCTTTGGTTAAAAGTTATTTAACAACTTTATAAAACAAAGAAATTGCAATGGATATGTCCAGCTGGATCATACTGTATTAGTGAGATGTACTGAGCCCAAAACTTAAGACAGGGTATCGTTATGAAAACCAGTTTTGAAACCCGGGTTTCAAGAATGGGGTTAGGCAGTTTTGTGGATATCAATATTTTTGTTGTGAAATATTATTTTATTAAGTTTCTTCATATTCTTCATTTTTTAAAATTTCTTAAATCAAAATCTACACAATTGCCAAGACCCCAAAAAGGAAACTCGGGAGTTTCGTTCAACGATACTCTTTTAAATTTCGGGCTCTGTGTATAATTTGTGAACAGTTTACATGAACTGTACACTTTGAACTCCTTTTCAGGCTGAAAGGGACTGACAAAATTCATACCGAGGGATTTTTTAAATTCCTTTCTATTCGTATTGTTCTGTGATTAAAGCATTTAATTTTGATAATTTTGATAATTCACATTTAATAGTTTCCTATGACCAGAAGATTTCATAGATTATTTTTGTGAAAATGGATTCCATGTCAGGCTGTGGAATCCGTCTTGTGTTTACTTTTCCTCCCAAAGACAGTACAAAAAATGCGTACACCTCTGAAATAACTTTCCTTGAGACAGGGTACCGTTATGAAAACCAGTTTTGAAACCCAGGTTTCATAAATGAGGTCAGGCAGTTTACTGAAAATCAATATCTTTATCATGAAATATTATTTTATCAAGTTTCTCATATTCTCAATTAATTTTCCTGAATCTTCTATCAAAATCTACACAAATGTTAAGATCCTAAAAAGGAAACTCGAGAGTTTCGTACAACAATACTCTTTAAGATAGGCTCTGGTTTTAAAGAGGTCAATGTGTAATTGGTATTCACTGTCTCCCTGGAAATGATCGTACACGTACATGCTGATTCCAAATGAGAAGGTGTTTTTTTATACGGAAGATATGTATTTAGAGAACATATGATGATTTGTTTCCATAGCTGCTGTATCTTGCTTGATACATAAAGAAAACTGAAATTAGAAATTCAAATTTTTCAGATTAGTCATTTGTTACGTTATGGAAAAATGAGATTTAGCCCTAGTAATGGAAAGAGAGAACGAATTAGAGAAGTATGAGGAGGAGAATGAGGTAGAGGAGGGTAAAGAAGAGGTTAAAGATGAGGAGGTTAAAGAAGAAGAAGAAGAAGAGGTGGAAGATGAGCAGGAGGGTAAAGAAGAAGAAGATGAGGCGGGTATAGAAGAAAAAGATGAGGAGGAGGGGGAGGTAGTTATTTCTGACGATGAAACTTATCGACTACTAAAGGTAAATCTTCGATTATTTTAAAGCAATGCTCAGAATCCATTTGATTTTGATGCGAATATGGATCCTGCTGATCCACCCAGAAAAAAAATGGATCCGAATCCAGGGCATGAGATTTACTGATTTTTTAACAAAAGAATTATTTTAATCTTTTTTCGCTTATTTCTTGCTAAAATTTGAAGAACCATTTGAAGAATAAAAAAATGTCCGATACTCATTTTTCAACAGTGTAGATTTGGGTTTTGGAAACAATAAGTTTTATATAACGTTTTCGGTTAATACTTTCGTTGATCCGCATGATCCAGGAAGCAAAACTATTACGGATCTAATGGATCTGGATCCTGAGCACTGTTCTAAATAATGGAACATATAGATTAAAAATAGGATTTATGCACGCTAATCGGTTGAAGCATGAATATTCAATGATTAAACCTCATGGATCTTTATTTACAAAAACTTAGAAAATCTCTAAATTTATAGGACTCCGACTCTGAAAATGAGCTTCTACTGGACCTTGATCATGATTGCAATGATCTTCTGGAGGATGAGGTAGGATTCATAGGTTAGCAAGTAAAGATAAGCTTATCGTTCAACACAGGGAAAAAATACCATGAACCTCTAAATCCAATGCGTCAAATTAGTGCTCTGAGCCCGTTCTCTCTATAGATAGTGGTCGTGTGGTTCACGTCCTTTGGAAGATGATAGTTTGTCCGCTAGATGTCTCTCGTATGAGTTATCTATCTATCAGATACGAATTTTGTGCGAGACATCTAGCGGCCAAATTATCGTCCCCCTAAGTACGTGAACTTCACGACCACAGTTTACACACTATTATGGAGAGAACGGGCTCTGGTGTGGGAAGAGATTAGAGAAAAGAGAATCCAGGGGCAAAACAGCTTTTATTCAAGGGACGGGACTATGATTCATGAGTAAATATAATTTTAGGAGGTACACAAATTATGAATCTTTATAAAGGGGTTTGAAAGTTTGAAAAGTACTAGATATAAATACATGATAAATACCGAGTGTAATAAAGGAGAGGAATTGTAGGATCCGACACTACTGATTTGCGGATTTCATAATAATTGCAGGGGGGCGCCCCCCCCCCCCTGCAGAATGAAAAGAAAGATTCGCAAATATCATTATCACAGGAGTCAGGAATAATAAAACCAAAAGAGTTATTGTAGCAATTGTAGTTCTTCTATGGTTAGTTTAAAAAAAAAAATATTTTTATCTGTCTGAATTCTTAACATTTAAATTTAATGTAAAAAAGTTCAGAACTGTATTCAAACTTTGAATTATTTTGGTAAAATATTCTAAGTTTGAAATATCAAAGGTTTACACCACTCGGTGCAAAGATTTAGGGATTAGAATATTTGAGTTTGTGGCAAAAACTCAGTTCCAAATCTAGACAACATTCTGAGACTGAACTTGGCAAACTTCTAACTGATTATCTTATTTGATAACTTTAACCTGTTTATCTTCTTTGAAAGAACTTCTATAAAATCGAAAATGAAATAAGATTATGAATGTTGGTTAGAATGATCTATCATAAACTTCCGGAGAAAACGTAACATTATCTGTCCTTTTTCTATGTAGATGATTAAAATTATAAATGTATTTTGATGTGTTTTTTTCAGAATATATAAATGATTATTTCTTGTAATTATATCTGTACAAGGCACATATCAAATTTTCTTTGGCGCGATCCGCGCACACAGGAAAAGAATTGATTGACTCATATCGTTAATTTTACAGTTGTTGAAAGTATAAATTTTTGAAAACACAAGAAAAAAACGATTTGAAATCTGCATGCAGCAACTAAAAAGTTCCTTTTTTCGACATCAAACCCTTAAAAAAGCAATTTTGTTTTGAAAAAAATTTCTTAAGGGGGGTGCAAGACCCCCTTTACCCACCCCCAGTCCATTGCAAAATAATATTTTGCCCCCCCCCCCCCTAGCAAAAGTGCTAGTTCCGCCTCTGTTATTAACTGTCACAACATCTATTTTTTTTACAGCGTTTCTTTGTCTCCCTTTAGTGTCTTTTACTGCATGTATTGTGAGTTGTCACAAAAAAAATTAGGCATGATTGGTTCAGCCGTTTTATACATTTATTTTTATAAAATAGGCAGACAAGCAAAATATGTATAGATGAAGCCAAAAATAGAGGGGGGAGGGTCTTAATGTAAGTGCTCCTTTTGTGTAAAATAATGCAAATCATGTTATTTTACTCGCCCTGTATCATGTATAAATTGATTTTTTTTTTAAGGATTTGAACACAGAACCCAAACCTTCAGTTGATAAACCTATTCCCAATATTAAACCAGATGAGGTTCAAACAAAGAAGAAAACATTTGTTCCCGTCGTTTGGGAGAACACAGCGGTTCAGGGTCACGAAGTAAAAGATGATTTAAAGAAAACCCCGTCCTTAGCAAATTCAAGTCTTAACGTAAGCAATCAAGATGAAGCTGAACAAAGTCAGGGTAAAGGACGAGGTTTGAATGTAGGGGATAATTCTGATTCATGTATAGGATTTCCTAGAGTTGGATTAAGAGACCGCCTAGATTTAAGGAGAAAAGAAATAGATAATTTCGCCAGGACCAGGAATTCAGTTAAACTTAATCAACGAGGTACATTTATCTCATCTTTTTGTTAAATATTATAATTTATTTATGCCATTTTATAATCTAGTTTGGAGACCGTATCCTAAACAGCTCATCCCTAGACAATTTGGTAGAGGACAGTTCAGCCCTAGACCATTTGGTAGAGGATTTCAGCGTTGTAGTTTAATTTCCAGAGGAGGAGGAGAAACGGGGAATCAAGCACAGTTCGGCGGGTACGTGAATCCTTGGGAAAACCCTGTCCAAACATTTGGCAGAGCTTTAGTTAAACCTGATCAAGCTAAGTTCCTGGAACATGAGTTCAAACTTGACGGTCAACTCAGTTCAGGGAATCAGTTAAATAACAACGTCGAAGGATCAAAACTTCCACAAGGCCTTCATACAAATCTTGGTTCTAAATCCGCAACCAAGGAACAGATCAACAATGTAAGTTTGGATCAAGACTTAAATACTGAAGATGAGAAATTCAAAACCTTGAAGAACCCGATACTAAACTCGGATTTCCAAGCTCTAGGTATGCCAGTAACCTCAGAGCAGTCGGAGGTACATGGATCTCCGAAGTACAGTTCAGATGAACAGGTCAAGACGCTTGTTACTTTTTCTTCCTAAACAGATAAACCTTTTAGCCAAGTTGGGAGACCCCCCCCCCTGCAATCCCCGGCAATTGGTCTGCTCATTCAAGTTTTTTCATTTTTATTTAATTTTCTTAATCAATTCAATTAATAAAAAATTACCGAGAGAAATTATTTTGCATTATAATATATCTAATATAAATTAATTTATTCAAGATTGATTAAAACTATTAAAATTAAAAATGTTCCTGAAGAGTAACTTGATACTTATACCAGAGCCTTGGAACCTCAAGATATTTCTTTGATCAAGAATTTTATTTATTTGGGTTTGAGGGGTCCAAAAAGTCCTAAGCTGATGGATCGAGTCCATTTATTTGTTAAAATACTTCTATTTTGTGGTTAGGATAATAAAATGACAATCTGACTATATCTGAAAATATTAGGATAAAACTTAAATAAACAGGGGTTTGTTAACAGGGGGTTTATTTCATTTATTATTTTCAATATTTCCCCAGCTTTGCATCCAATATCCTATACTGTTAAGTAAAGGATACAAAATAAATTTACGTATGAACATGCCGATGTATCAAATCTAACTTTGGGGGGTTTCTTTAATTCTTTAAATGAAATTAGTCCCACAGGGACCAAAGGAAAAGGGTACACGTAAGAGACTCACAAATTTTTTACATAAATGAATATTGAATCCCCAGATTTATGTAATATACATGCATAATTATTACACCTAGACGAATTTAATGAATTGAAGAGAGGTCATTGAATTACCTTATACCACCGCGCCGGTTCAAATTCTGAATCACTGATTCACTAAATCCTAATGAATCTTTAACTTTGAATAGGCAATTCAAAATTTGAACTAGGTGATGATGGTTAAACGAGTTCTCGCAACTTATTAAATCCGAGCTCTGTTTATATGTAGATTGTAGATAGATTGTTTTTATTTTTTACTGTAGGATCCAGGGAACTTCTCTAATACCGAAGATGCTGATACTGAAGATGAAATTATTCTAATCCACGAGACTAGAGTTTCATCGAATCAGCAAATTCTCTCTGAACCTGGTGACATGAATTTATCCTCTAACCTCCCTGATCCTACATTTATCCTTCCAAGGTTTAATACAGGAGTTCCTATTCCAGTTGGAACCAGGATAGCGATCCATTGTAGATTCTCTCAACTTCAACCTTTAAGAGGTAGTAATTCTTAGAATTTTTATATTTAAGAGGTAGTAATTCTTAGAATTTATATATTTAAGAGGTAGTAATTCTTAGAATTTATATATTTAAGAGGTAGTAATTCTTAGAATTTATATATTTAAGAGGTAGTAATTCTTAGAATTTATATATTTAAGTTTTAATCCATTTTCGTTTAAACTATATAAGTGGAATATACCCTCTCCTGCAGGAGCTAAGTTATCTCATAACACTTTTAACACATATTTCAATATTTCATTTGTTCGTATTTTTTACATCATAAAAATGTTTACAAATTTTAATCCTTTCTCGTTTTTGTTCAGTGAATGTGGAAGTTGTAATATTCGGGGCCAACGTCTTAATTGAACCCCTCCAAAATATTTTTATATACAATATTTCTAACGAAATCAAAAATTGCGTAAACACATTTTTGTCAGTGAAATCCATGATGGTATTTCTTTGTAATTCAAAAAAATTGACGAGGAAAAAAGAAATTAAATTAATTTGGATTTTTTAATTATAAAGCTATTTTTATACTTTAGGTTTGAGCGGATCCTGTGCTAGATGCAACAGTTTTGCTGATTTCTGTAAACCGTGTTTCGAGGAGCAAATGTAAGTCCGCTTCATGCTTCAAGTCGCTAAACCCATTGTAAAGATGATGTAGATTTGTGATAATTTATTCAATTCTTCATTTTTTTCTTTATTAGAACTAGGGGATAATATCCCTAGGGCTGGGATATTTAAAGAAGTTATAAATAGGTCTCTAAGTTTAATTTGTTAATAATAAAACTACCATTCAACATCAATCATAGCTCTTGATCAATAGTGTCTCCAAACTAAACAATAAACACTATCTCTTTCTTAATTATGTTGTACGGACGCATATATCTTTGTTTCTGTTCAAACGAAAAGAGAGATGCATGAATATCACATGTCATCACAATTTTGCACTGCAAATATATGTAATCATAGATTTTTTATGTTCTTTAGTGCTACCATAATTATCACTTTATTATTTTTTTGAGATACTGCATTGAGAACATTATTCGGTATCGATAGTTTTCCTAAATTCCATTAGCTTTGCTCGAGGAATAAAGTAGCAATTTTTTATTTCTTTATACTGTGCTTTTTTTCAATAAAAGTTGTTACAAAACTGCTTTGTGTTCAATAATATATTTTTTTCAATAAAAGTTGTTACAAAACTGTTTTATGTTCAATAATATATTTTTCTTCAATAAAAGTTGTTACAAAACTGTTTTGTGTTCAATAATATATTTTTCTTCAATAAAAGTTGTTACAAAACTGTTTTGAGTTTATTAATATCATTAACTCGCCTAAAAAGACGGTATTCTTTTTTAACTTTAATGCTAATTGGTAAAAGTTTATTCATATATATTTATTCAGTATTCGGAATTATATATAATAAATAAACTTGTTAAGTGATGGGTTCATATAGAATTTGAGTATTGTCAGTTTGTGATGTACTGTTGTTGACCTTTAAAAAAGGTCAGAAAATATATAAATAAAGAAATCAGGAAAAACCCAAATATTCTATAACATTTATTTAAGAAAAATAAAATTTGTTTTGAAATATTTGCACATATTGCGAAGTTAAAATTGGTTGATTGAAATTAATAAAGGAAAGACAAACATCAGCAGCAACTTCATGTTGATTAATAGTGTTGAAAGGATTGGAACAGTTGGAGCTTCATGATGGTCAGCTCACAGGTGTCAGCATCTTGGCAGCAAAGGGTTCACATCTAAGCGACAGTCCTTGAGGGTTTGCAGTCAGTAACATGTGTAGGGAGGAACTTGAATTGCCTCTCAACCCCAGGACATGCGACTGTGGAGGGGGGGGTTTTGCAATCTGTAACATGTGTAGGGAGGAACTTGAATTGCCTCTCAACCCCGGGACATGCGACTGCCTTGGAGGTCGGCTTAGACATTAGCAGCATTTGTTGCTAGAGTAGACATCGGCGGCGGTATGAAGGAGTTAGTAGTTCCTGATTAGAGGTGTTCACATCTCGACATTCTAAAGCTAACTGACGCTGGGGTGAAGTGGGAGCTAGGGTGAGCGGGGATTTGACATGTGGGGCGTGCTTGCTTCATTTCGTGGTTCCTGTGTACACACGCATTTAGAGAATTAACAGAGGCATTTTGGGTCGGTAAAATCGTCTTCCTTATATTTTCGAATTTATGTTAACAACTGTATACAAAGCATTCTAGAAAAAACTATTTGAAAATAATTATTAGAAATTATAAAAGAGTAAGAAAAATAAATGCTGAAGGTTTACTCTGGTGTTTACTACAACTGCTGGTTGAATTCCTTTTCCACTCTTGACAAAACTTTATCCCTCTCCTCTTCAGTTTGAACCAATCTGAGATCTCATCACACAGTTTTCCATCCTTCTCCTGCATGTATATAACCTGGAGCAGTAAAATAATCTGTTCCTGTTCTCTAGTCAATTATATATATATAGTGATTGTGCACTTCTTTGTCAACCGTCTTGAAGGGAGGAAATCTTCTTCCTGTAGGAGTAGGACGTGATAGCCAGTGCTCCTCCTTGCAGAAATCTAAAGTATGGAATAATTATTCTTTATAAACACTAAACAGGGTGTCTCAAAAAACACATCTACTTTTAAATCTTCTTTGATGTTTAGGTATTTTATCTTTAATGCAGTTGTCAGTTTTTGGCTTAATTTAAATAGAAACTTTTTGTCCTGGGATTTCCAAAAGTTGGTTCACCTATTTTTTCTTTTAAATTTGACAAAAATATTAGCAACATATGTCCAAATTTCAATTTACAGTTTTTTTCTATTTTCGTCAATTTTAAAAATACCGCGACAGAAGGCCCCATTTTTAAATAACTCATAACATGTCAAATCCTATTTAATCTGTCGGAAATTTTAAAAAGTCGTTACTAATTGTGATGTGAAGAAAAGAGATTTTCAAGAAATAAAAAAAAGATAATGTTTATTGGAACTGCTTCGTAAAATTCTATTGAACTAAAATAAAAATAAATTGCACTGAACCAACTTTGCAGTTTTTTACTTCACTAATTGAGATTCTACCATGATAATCTTGATTAAAAACCGTATTGGTTGATCTCACCTTACAAAGTTATCTCCAGTAAGAGGACCCATAGCAAACAATCCTGGCACGTTTAATGATTGATGAGTGTACACATCTATATCTATAGGATTCTCCCGTTCTATCGGAGCTCCAGGAACCTGTCCCAACTCTGAATCAGTTTTCAGGAACTCTAGGTCTGGCGTTGCTCCAATTAAAACCAGAACAAAGGAAACCTTAAACAGTTCATTTGTTAGCTTATAAGCACATTGTACAATGTACACTGCACAGTGTAAATAGGGTTCCAAATAACCTAAGACCGGAATGAAGACCATAAAATTGTCCTATATATTCGTTATCGGTTTCACCGTTAGTCCCGTTAGAGGATAAAGTTTGAACGTAAACAATTTTGTGAGATTTTTTGAAAAAAAAATTCAAAAATGTGGTCTACCATTTTTATCTTAACAATAACAGGATGTTATTTGCATTATTGATCTGAGGGTTAACAAAAGACGATATAGAAGTCACTAAATTCCCATCTTTATTAGAACAAAGTTTCATATAGTATATGTGTCATCCTAAACTAAGCTTTCGGTGCGTATTGAGGTTATCGGCAGTCCTTTTACCGAATAAATAGTGGATTTTAGTGGAGAGTGCTAGTAGGTTAGGTATATATACCTTGACGGTTAAATTTGTGAACGGACCCTTAAGCACTGCTTGTCTATCCCGGATAATCTGACTAACATCAGTTTGAGAAAATGCTCTGTAGCGAGGGTGCTCGCGATCCACAAACTCTCCTCGTAGTACTCGCTGACTTTCCACACTACCTTCTGCCATCATTTGATGAATCTAGAGAACACGAAAATTTAAAATCAAAGTAATATTATATTGAACTGAACACTTGGCTCAAATTCTAAATTTATAATTCCTTTATCTTTGCTACCTGATGGTGTAAACCTTTAAACTTTGATCATTTGATCTTTAAAGAATTCAAAGTTTGAAGTGTCTAAGGTCAACGACATTAGTTTGCAAAGATATAAAGATTAGAAAATTTAAATTGAAGTATTAAAAGAAAATAATTTTTTTGTTGAAGTTTTTAAATCCCAGTTTACCGCAGTTTACCTTGTGATACTCGTGAGTATAGATTGACTGGAAGTTTATAGTTTACCTTGTGATACTCTGTGTATAGATTGACCGGAATTTTATAGTTTACCTTGTGATACTCGTGAGTATAGATTGACTGGAAGTTTACTGTTTACCTTGTGATACTCTGGGTATAGATTGACAGGATGTTTATTGTTTACCTTGTGATACTCTGGGTATATATTGACAGGATGTTTATAGTTTACCTTGTGATACTCTGGGTATAAATTGACAGGATGTTTATTGTTTACCTTGTGATACTCTGGGTAAAGATTGACCGGAAGTTTGTTGAATATCAGCTGAGAATCATCAACTGCACGACGGAACACGTGCACAACAGGGATATCATAACTCTACACAATTTATGTAATTAACACTCAAACAATTCATTCAATTCATAGAATTTCATGAATTCATACAAAACATGAATCTGTCTAGTTCAGACCACTTTTCCTTTTAATTAGCTCTTTAACGTTAGAAGAAGTAAAATAAACTGTTCTAAACCAAATTTGTTTATTTTAAATCATTGATTTTCAGAATTGTGAGGTTTTCAAATCCTGCACATTACAATGAATAATGTAAATAGCTCAATTACTGAGCTTTATTTTCATGGAAAATCCTATTCTAGCTTTAAAACTTTAAAACTTTTAAAGAGCAAAAACTGTAAAAAAATTGTTGTGCCTAAATGTGGTAAAAAATCTTAAGATGCAATCTGAATCTGATTTGGGAATCCCAGTGTAATGATGCATTTAAGAAATTCAGCTGGATGAGATGGTCGGGGGGGGGGGGGGTGAGTAAAGTACAATCGTCGTCGTCGCATATATCAATACAATTAAGACGACTTTAGATTTAAATTTTGATTTATATCAAGCTGTTAAACAGCATTGATACACATACACATATGAAGTCAAGATAAGCTATTAATTAAAAAAAAACTTTACTTTGATTACGTGCTTTGTATTTCGAATCAAAATTTTAATAAAAAAGTCGTCTTGATTGTACGGATATAATCATCTACCATTGTATAGGAGACAGTTAATAACATTTTGAACTATTACCTGTGCACAAATGATAGCATCAGCTGCAGAAAGTCCTGCTCCGATAATCATTATTGGATCAGAGTTAGGAGTAACAGCTCCTGCTTCTATAGCAATCTCAAGCTCTCTAAACCAAACAACCAATATTCAATTTTAGTTTTTAGTGAATTACGTAAGCTTATCTTTTTTCAAAAATGTTGAAAACTTTTATGTTTATTTAACTATAAACATGATTTTTAATATCACTGGTGATTTTGCAAGCACTGACAAGGTAGAATATATTTTTAATAAGAGATTATTTCATGATTGTTGTTACACTGAGTTCTAATAAACATAACAAATGTATTCATCTGTATAATAAAACAAGACATTCGCACAAATGTTCCCTATAGCCGGCAAAATGGCTGGACCGAATGGGCTGAAATTGTTTAAGGGTACCCTGGGGGTAACAGGCTAAAAAATTCTAAAATTTGTATTTCTCCACAAATCGAACTTTTTTTCAAAAATTGTATTTTTTTCAATAATGGATTTTTTATTCTACGGGCAATGCCAGGTCCTTGAGCTAGCTATTATTATTATTATTATAGGAAAACAACCGACAGCATTCAATATTGCAGATTCATGGTTTATATAGTTCAGACATTTTCAAATGTTTAAAGTATTTGGTTGAATTCCTTAAGCTATGAATTACAAAGTTCAATTCTTCTCCAGGTACCTCCAGCCTGTTGGGTTTATCTAATCCTAAATTATTAGTTTTTTTATGAAAATCATTCAAATCTAATAAATTTGAAAACCTTTGATTTACATAAACTTTTTAATGTCCAATTCTGGGAATTCTGGACTATACAGGTTGTCCCAAAAAACATGGGAATTCAGTGACGAATTGGATATCGTCTTTGTAATGAATTAGCATTGCATTGTAATACCTAATAACATTGTTATGTCTGCTAGAGTTTATTTTATGAAAAGGGTAAAGACTGTAAAGATGTGTCTAATGTCTCTAATGTCTCCGCAAGGTAAACAGTGAAGTTTACTCTGTTTGTATTCTGCAATTTTCTTGTTTTACTAAATACAACCGTATGGAGTCAAAACATAAACAAACAAAATGTGAACATATCAGACGAAACTCTTACAGATTACAGCTTTCTCAGTAGGTATCGCTATACTAAATCAAAGAATTATTTAAAAAGACGATATTGAATTCGTCACTGAATTCCCATGTTTATTGGGACACCCTGTATCAACGTTGAATTATCAATAGAACTAAAAACCTGAATCAAAATGTACTTAAAGGCCATGCAATTGTGCGCAAGTAAAATCCACTTGCCTTGAAAACCTAACTCTCATCCCACAATTAAAGAAAATGTTATAAAGAAATGTGAACTTGTATCCAATAAACTTCAAAACGGCTGAACCAATCGGGCACAAATTTTGTGTGGTCAGGTACTTGAATATACCTGTAGCTAGAACTACATTATGTGTCAGGTACTTGAATATACCAGTAGCTAGAACTACATTATGTGTCATCAGGTACTTGAATATACCTGTAGCTAGAACTACATTATGTGTCAGGTACTTGAAAGGTTTGGTTTCTCTCTCTCCTGTCTCTGAGGTCTGGATTTCATAACCTCGCACCTCGTACAGGCTCTCAGGGTTTTCACAACTAAATTAGAAATTATATTTAAATATATTTTTTTTAACACATTTCTTTACAAATATATTTAAAATTGTTTTCTCAAAATTGAAGTTTAAAAAAATGATTTCAATATAGTTGCAGTTTTCAAACTTGATTTAACCAGTATGAATGAGAAACTGGGTTGGGTGTCTCCAGTTTATTCCAGTTAAAAAAAGGGGATGTGTGGATCTTTATTCTACATAATCATCTTCACAGGTTTGAATTGTAATTACTAATTGATTGTCCATGAATATCATATTAAACCGATGAAGTTTATTTAAAACTATGCAATTGCCCCTTTCAAAATTTTAAAGCCCTCTGCACCATGTATATAAACTAAGCATTCTCGATATTCTAGTTTTTATCAGTTCAGAAAATCTAGTTTATATGACACGGCATAGTATAATGTATACTGCAGTATATACACGCCAATCTATATAATAAAACAAGACATTCGTATATATGATGTTTCCATATAGCCGGCCAAACGGCTAGACCGACTGGGCTGAAATTTTTTGCGGGCACTGTGGCCGGGGGGTGTTATACTGTTATAGGCTAACACAATTCAACAATTTTTTCAAAATATGTTTATTTATTTTTAAATTTTTTTCCCGGGCAACGCCGGGCCCTTCAGCTAGTACTATAGTAATAGTATTTATTGTAGCTGTTTGCTGTAAACAGTGAGAACCAGAAAACTGTGGAATAGGAAGACGACTTTCAAATGATTTTCAGGTGTTTTAATGTTGTTACAAAGCAAATAGTTTTAATAGTAAAAATCCAATCTGTTTACACTGCACAATTGTTGTATCTCATGTTCACAGGAATATATAAAATTTTACTGAGTCTAAAAGTTGTCTCCTTATTTCACAGTTTTCTGGTTCTCATTGTAAGTTAACATTCGCATAGATTTAACATGAGTTTTCCTGAAAGCCATGAATGCGATATTGTTTTTTCCTTAATTACATGATCATTGGAAGCAGACCTTTATTAACTATGGTAACGATAAAAGACAAAAAAGACATGTTAATGTGCTGTTCTGTATAAATAGGACGGGTTAGCTAACATTGTAAACCATGATAAAGTTAATGATATGATGAATGAAATGTTTCATCAACGGGTTAGACATAGTTTCATGGGTTCTATATATTTTAGGTTTTCCCAAGATATAATAAATTAATGAGAAAAAAAGGCTTCATTAACTGGTTATAAATAATTTACAGGCCTAACTGTTAAAGGGAACTATTTCAGGCGTTCGCAAGATTTTTGGAGGTTGTGATGTTTTTGGAAAAATATCTTGAATTGTATAAATGAACGAACCTAAATGCAGACAGAGGAAGAGATTTAGCGGAGCAGGATAGTTTACAGTATCCTGGAGAGTTTAATTCTGCTCCGGGTATCCTGCTACACTGGATATCCTCCAGCTGGGACGGGTTCAAGGAAGGTCTCCTGGGTAGACTGAACAGTGCTGGGTTGATGATAGGATCCCAGCTCGGACATATATCAGTATCATATCCCTTAACAACATCAAGGTTTTGATATAGAAATAATTTACTGGTTTTATTCAATATTCTACTAATAAACTAAACAAAGGTTTTAAGTAAATTGCAAACCAAGATCAAGCTCTCACGCACAAGCATTATTTTTACAATTACTCCTTTTAATCTTAAGCTAGAAACTAGGTTATTGCATTTTAAAAATGTAAATGTCTAGGGCTACAAAAAGTATAAGTAAGTTTGTGAGGTGAAACCAAAGGCCATGGCGTTACGACACTCTTTAAAGTCTAGGCTTTCTAAAAATTTGATTGATAACTTTCAGAGTTTTCTAGATATCAGTGCTGATACAAGTTCTTTCTTGATCCACTCACCCTATAAGAGCATCAAAAAAGATTTTATGTTTTTTTAGTTTTTTTTTTTACTTTCATTTCATCTTTAGAAACCAAGATGTCAAAATGGTTGTGTGGTTTTGTTCCTTCGTCAATACTATAAAGGAATTGAGTAATTGTCACAAACAATAATTTTACAATCCTGCTTAACTAGTCAAAGTTTGAAATGAAATCATCAGATAGCAAAGATATAGGAATTAGAAAATCTGAGTTTGTTGCAAGTACTTAGTTTCTTTAAACGTTGAATTTTGACTCTATAGTTTTTCTTGTTGTTGTAACACGGTAAAGAAGAGATTGTTATACGCTTTCTGGTTAAGTTGCCACAAAAACAAAAACAAAACCAAGAACTACAGATCTGATCTGAAGTATTTACTCGGTCTGTGATAAATGATAATAACTTACCGGGATAGAAAATGAGAATGAATTACTGGTTTCAATATCACAGGGAGGAGTTTGTTTACTCTCAGCAGAGCTTGATGCTCTCCCGGAGTCGTTAAAGTCGGATCCACTTGTTCTGCGTTCTCTTGATTCACGATCACAGGCGCTGAAAACAAATATTACGTCATTAAAAAAAATATAGATATTTTGCCTCTTTCTTCTGGGTGCCATGGAAACCTTTCAATGTTTACATTTTAAAAATAAAAATTTTAATAAAAATCTTGCAGGTAAATATATTGTTTAACATGGTATTGGAAACCAGCATAATAATGTTCATCTTTAAAGTCTAATCTTTTAAAATCAAATTGTTGAAGATGGTTGAAACATTCCAACCTTGATTCAGGAGAATCTCTAGATGGACTGCTGGAGTGATAAGTCAAAGAACTACAACAGCTAGAGAGCTCTCCATCCTCCATACAGAACATCTCATCCTCACCTCCAGTCTCATCTATAGTATAGTATAATAAACCTCCATTCTCATCTGTAGTTTTATATTTAACCTCCATTCTTATCTATAGTAAAGTACAATCAACATCCATTCTTATCTTTAGTATAGTATAGTCAACCTTCATTCTCATCTATAGTATAGTATAATTAACCTCCATTCTTATCTATAGTAAAGTATAATCAACATCCATTCTTATCTTTAGTATAGTAAAATCAACCTTCATTCTCATCTATAGTATAGTATAATCAACCTCCATTCTCATCTAGTATAGTATAATTAATCTCCATTCTCATCTATAGTCTAGTAAAATCAACCTCCATTCTCATCTATAGTATAGTAAAATTAATCTCCATTCTCATCTATAGAAGTATAATTAACCTTCATTCTCATCTATAGTATAGCATAATTAATCTCCATTCTCATCTATAGAAGTATAATTAACCTTCATTCTCATCTATAGTATAGTATCAACATTCATTTTCATTTATAGTATAGTATAATCAACCTCCAGTCTCATCTATAGTACAGTATAATCAACCTCCATTCTCATCTTTAGTACAGTATAATCAACCTCCATTCTCATCTATAGTATAGTATAATTAATCTCCATTCTTATCTACAGTAAAGTATAATCAACCTTCATTCTCATCTATAGTATAGTATAATTAATCTCCATTCTCATCTACAGGGTGTTCCAATAAACATGGGAATTCAGTGACGAATTCGATATCGTCTTTTTAAATAATTCTTTGATTTAGTATAGTGATACCTACTGAGAAAGCTGTAATCTGTAAGAGTTTCGTCTGCTATGTTCACATTTTGTTTGTTTATGTTTTGATTGTATACGGTTGTCCTTAGTAAAATAAGAAAATTGCAGTATACAAACAGAGTAAACTTGTCCGTCTTCACTGTTCATCTTGCGGAGACATTATTGACACATCTTTACAGTCTTTTACCCTTTTTTATAAAATAAACTCTAGCAGACATGACAATATTATGGGTTTTGAAATTAGGTATTACAATGCTAATTCATAACAAAGACAATATCGAATTCGTCACTGAATTCCTATGTTTTTTGGGACACCCTGTATAGTATAGTATAATAAACCTTCATTCTTACATTCGTACATTCAAGTTTTGACAAATTGTTTAAACATGATAAAGTATAATAAAAATACCTTTTAAACTCTGGGATAAGATGTTTATTGGCTCCTTGTTGGTGCAGATCTTAGGAGAGGAGGATTTCTCCTCGCTTAGACAAGGTTGATATCTTCTCTTCTCCGGGTTAGTTGGACAATGCAGGATCTGCTTCACGTGTGTCACAACAGTGTTGTTCCTGAAATGGTGGATTTGAATTAATTGTATATTAAACTAACTGAAGAGCCCGGCGTTGCCCGTTGAAGTTTTTTAAAAATCTAATTTTTAAAAAATAATTTTTGAAAAAAACAATTACAATTTTTGAAAAAAAAAATTCGATTTTTGAATAAAAAAATCAAATTTTTTTACCTATGTTTCCCCCCAGGGTACCCATTGGTTTCCTCAAAAATTGTCAGCCAATGCGATCCAGCCGTTTGGCCAGCTTTAGCTAACATATATATAAACATACAAATATATATATATTTATATATATATATGTATATATAAGCAAAGAGCTTTATTATATAAATTAAGGTTCTGCAATTACAGATTATAGAACTAACTTCTCCAGGCACCCTTCAAAGAACTAACCTGAAATTCTCAAATACTTTATATAATACTTATCTAGAGTTCTCCATGTAACCGTAAGTTCTCTGGGTGATCTATAACAGTAACAACCTTATTTTCTCCAGGTATATATTAAAATACAAACCTAAAGTTCTCCAGGGATAATTTAGAATACTAACCTGAAGTTCTCTAGGTATACTTCAGAATACTAATTAAAAGTTTTCCAGGTATACTTTAGAATACTAACCAAAAGCTTTCCAGGTATACTCTAGAACATTTACTTATAGTTCTTAAAGTAAACTCTCAAGGTATACTCTACAATAATATCCTAAAGTTCTCCAGGTATACTTTAGAATACCAACCTAAAGTTCTCCAGGTATACTTTAGAATACTGACCTAAAGTTCTCCAGGTATACTCTAGAATACTAAGCTAAAGTTCTCCAGTTTACTCTAAGATACAAGCCTAAAGTTCTTTAGCTTACTCTAAGATACTAACCTAAAGTTCTCCAAGTGTACTCTAGAATACTAACCTAAAGTTCTCCAGTTTACTCTAAGATACTAGCCTAAAGTTCTCCAGTTTACTCTAAGATACTAACCTAAAGTTCTCCAGGTATAATCTAGAATACTAACCTAAAGTTCTCCAGTTTACTCTAAGATACAAACCTAAAGTTCTGTGAAAGATCCATGATATCCACGTAGTCCATGTAGTACTGAGCTACATTAGAAAAGCTTGTTCTTCTAAATAAAAAAACAGGCTAATAAAAAAACTAAAACTAAAGACGGAATTACCACTGATTTAAAGGATAATATATTTGAAAAAGACAATTACAAACTGTATTAATTCTACCTGTTTACAAGTGCAGTATTATGCGCTTCCCACTTGGGCATACTCAGGTTAGGGAGCTGCATCCAGGCACCTAGACTTACAGTCTTCAGGTTTCCATCTAGGGTCTAGATAATAAATAGTTACGGAGCTGCATCCAGGCACCTAGACTTACAGTCTTCAGGTTTCCATCTAGGGTCTAGATAATAAATAGTTAGGTAGCTGCATCCAGGCACCTAGACTTACAGTCTTCAGGTTCCGTCTAGGGTCTAGATAAAAAATAGTTACGGAGCTGCATCCAGGCACCTAGACTTACAGTCTTCAGGTTTCCATCTAGGGTCTAGATAATNCAGCTACAGTATCTATTTCATGCATTTTGTTAATATAACAGTCCCCAGTTACCTGGTTAGAAAGCAGATCAAACGGATGAGTTTGATCTTAATATTCGTAATTGTCCATGACAAAGGAAATTAGTTCATACCACACACACTATAATCCCTATATCTCTGTAACCCGATGTTGCAGACCTTTGATATCTAAACGCTAAGAAATTCAAGAACACGAATAAGTTAAACTTTCTGATCAAAAGCCCAGCGTAACCCACAGAAAAAAAATTTGAAAAAAATGTTTTTTAGCCTATATGTCACCCTCAGGCTACCCTTGAGTGTCCTCAAATAAGTTCAGCCTACTCGGTCCAGCCGTTTGGCCGGCTATACGCAACATATATATATATATATATATATATGTCTTGTTTTATTATAGAGAAGATAAATGTTGAAAAGTAAAGTAAACTAATATGCCAAATATCGTAAATATTACGCATAGAAATGATAAGCTAGATAGTCTCCATCGCGGCCATTGAACTTTTTAGATTTTTATAAAACAGATCAAAATGTTTTAACAAATTACTAAATGAAAGAAAATATAGCTTTGTAAAAAGGAAGTAATTTAAAAAACCGTGTGGCACTAAATTATAAAGAAAGTTTTTAACAAATTTTTTAAACAAATATAAAGAAAAATAAAGAATGTAGACATCTTTTATTATTAAGTAGGTTTTAACTTTTTTGAAATCTTCAAATTTAGTTTCGCTAAATAAAAAGTATTTATTTCTGGTGTGTTGTAAAGTCAAAAATGGCTTTCTTGTTTTAACATTATAATTAAAAACTAAAACACAATTGAAGGAGAATGTCAGATCAACTTAATTCAAACATTTCGTGCTTTCCGTGTTCAAACATTATCAAATATTCATCTGGATCTAGAACTTTCAATCACAAATAAATCTGTATTTCTAATATTATACTCCACCCTAGAAATATATGTTTAACCCTAATCTACTATATACTCTACCCTAGAAATATATATATTTAACCCTAATCTACTATACTCCACCCTAGAAATATATGTTTAACCCTAATCTACTATATACTCTACCCTAGAACTATATATTTAACCCTAATCTTCTATACTCTACCCTAGAACTATATGTTTAACCCTAATCTACTATATACTCTACCCTAGAACTATATATTTAACCCTAATCTACTATACTCTACCCTAGAAATATATGTTTAACCCTAATCTTCTATACTCCACCCTATAAATATATGTTTAACCCTAATCTACTATACTCTACCCTAGAACTATATATTTAACTCTAATCTACTATATACTCTACCCTAGAACTATATGTTTAACCCTGTTTATACCTGCCAAACTCCTCCAGGTTTCCCCCTGCCTAAGACAACATGTTTAACCCTCCTGCTTGTATCCTGTCTCCAGTCTAGAAGTGAAGGTAGATCTAGTCCTAGATCTGCCTGTGGGTGCTGGAGAGTGTCTAGCAGGAGGGAAACTGGATTATTAGATCTTCCCTCCAGTCCCTAGAAATATTAAAATTTTATAATTTTTAAAAAGGTATTTTTCAGAATTTAGAAAAAATCGAAGATCTAGTCAACATTATTGTTTGCATTTTCAATCACAGCAGTCTTATTATATCAAAAAGTTTCCAGTTCAAATTTGTGAGAAGAGGGCTGTTTTTGTTATTTTTAATCTCATAAATCTTCATATACAGAGTAAATTGCGATAAGCAATTTCATACATAAATTCTAATATTCGTGCATTTCAAAATATATTTTTGTACGTTTGAACATGTAATGTTCTCGTTAATAAAAGTTTGAAAAAGAATTTTTTTTTCTAATTTCCTTCAAAAATATATTTTAATGGAAGATAGAGTTTTGCATTTTTAAAACCCCTCTTATTTTGTAAAAGCTTACATCTGAGAGAAAGGCAAGATCTTGTTCTACTAAGGATAGATCAGGTTCCTGCTGTAGACGGGTATGGAGCAGTTCATCCTCACTTTCTCCTGTATAGTAAGGCCAGTTTCCGGAAAGCATGTAGGACAGGGAGATACCACTTGGACCATTTCCTAAACAGCAATAGAATGTCGTCTTTAATCTTGATATTGTAAAATGTGTTTTTTTGATTGATTTAAAAAAAGAAAATTTTGAAATATTTAAGTATTTGGAGTCACAAAGTTGTAAGAAGAAGCTCAGGAACCCCTGGACCGATTTGCCTCAAATTTTGATTGAAACTTGAGAGAGCGCTGGGAATTTTCCTCGCTTGGTTTTGAGATTCTTAATTGAGTGGGTCCACTTCTTTAAAGAAAAATATCTAAAATCTTAATTTACGACAAAGCACGGTTAAACGGTGGGACTATCTATGACAACCATGAGCAACGCTGGGTTCCCAAGCTGGTGTTGTTATAAAAGATAGAGAATAAATGACCATTCTTGATATTTAGACGGAAAAAAAGAATAACTCACTCTCGCATCTACGTGAGGTGAACGTTAAAATTTACGTTCGCTGTTTACAATTCATATTTTTTAAGGTTGATTTTATTGAAATTATAATATTAAAATTTTTTCCTTTAAACATATTTCATCATATTTCAACATGTATCAAACATGTAAATAAAGTAAGAACATATGACGGAGTTTATGATTGTTAATACAAAACAATGGTGAGTGGAAAATTTTAAAATGTATTGCGTCACAATATAATTATGAAAATTTCTGTGAAACCATTTAAAGGTATAAACATTATAAGAATATAAAAATAAACAATACCTGAAGGAAATGAAATGAATGCTATCATGATTGATAATAAAAAATATTGCACAACTACCTTTCCTTCTTTTACAGATATAAAAACTGTAGGGGGTTACTGAATATGTTTCTTTAAATCATGGATATAGACAGTGTTCACTCATTTTATAATATCTTAAAGGGAGTGAAAACTTAATTTTAAGTGACCCACCATGGAAAGATTGCAATGCCTGATTTACAACGGTACGTACCCTAGAAACTTTATCTGATCAAATATGAATTATATATTAATGTTTTTAATATTTAAAACAAATTATTTTCAATTGTGGTTTCTCGACAAAAAGTGGCTTGCGCATTATATTTCTACTGCAGGAACATTATTGATCTGCAGATACAAGTTTTGATGGTACTGTTGTAAATGGGGCATTGCTATTCTTGCATGGAGGGTTACTAGAAATTAACCTTACAGTCCCTTCAAGACGGATTTAAATATATCTTTGTATACGTAAAACCCACCAATTATGACAAACTCGTAAACATCGGTTTCCGTGATCTCCTGGTCCTTGTTTATCTCCGGGTTCTGTTTATGGTTCGAACAGCATCTGGCCCCAGAGCAAGCTGCTGCCGGCATATTGATCAATTCAGGTTTAGAGTCAACTTTATCACGTCCCTCCTACTCACACACCGATAACAGACTGAAAATAAACTATATAATATTTACAGCTTTATTCATGAGTCCGGCTCGAACACGTGGAAAATTAAGAATGTCCCGAAAATTATTAAATTTTAAGACTTTTATAAAATGTATGATTTTTGTCCCCAAAAGTAGAAAATTCCCACAGAGATAAAAATATATCCATCCCTGTTTATATTGTCAAAATCAAACCCCCCCCCCCCCACTAATCTCCTGATATATATTTGACCACCACTTTTCCAGTCCTAACCGTATAGATATTGGATATATTCTACTAAATCAACCCCTCCCCCCACTAATCTCCTGATATATATTTGACCACCACTTTTCCAGTCCTAACCGTATAGATATTGGATATATTCTACTAAATCAACCCCTCCCCCCACTAATCTCCTGATATATATTTGACCACCACTTTTCCAGTCCTAACCGTATAGATATTGGATATATTCTACTAAATCAACCCCTCCCCCCACTAATCTCCTGATATATATTTGACCACCACTTTTCCAGTCCTAACCGTATAGATATTGGATATATTCTACTAAATCGTCTCCATTTTTATTTTGGTCATGTAAAAGTTTTACAGTTTTTGCCAAGATGTCACAAAGGAATTGAGTCTTTGCCACAAACTCTGGTTTTTAAATCTCTATATCTTAACAACCCAATGTTGTAGGCCTTAGTTATTTCAAACTATGACTTCTGTTATATCAAACAATCAAAGTTTGAAATATCTAAGGTTTACATAATTTGGTTGTAGATATATAGGTATTAGAAAATTGGGATTTGTTGCAAAGACTCAATTCCTTTGTCATTTAAATCCCCAAAAAATAATGATTTAAATTTCGTTCGTTATCTTTGCAGTTTTTCATTTCAAAGTTATTTAAAAGTTTTTTTTTTACAAAATTTTACATTCACAAGGTTATATTTGCAATGGGCCATGACCTGCATCTCATAATGTTGCTTCATGCTGATTTATGCATGCTTTCTACACAAAGTAAAAGTGCATACTGGCAGAAAGTTATGAGTTTAAAGAACTGTTTAATCTAGGATAATTCTAGAAAATCAATTTCATCATTTTTTACAAACTTTACATTTTACCACAATTAGTTCACATTTATACTAAAGTGTAAACATTGTGTGGTTAAGAAAAATGTTTATGAAAATACAAAAGAATATGAAAGAAAATTTAATTCTAATTTTTTTCAACTTTTATTGTCTACAAGAAAAACTAAATAAGGATTAGAAATTTTAATTAAAAATGTTGAGTGTTAGACCCTTATCTATTATATTTCTTATTTACATAGTAATTATAAATAGCTTGTAAGTTTGCAGGAAGGACAGACAATAAGTATGAAATAGATTTGATAGATAGAATTTGATAAGAAATATTTGTCTAATGTACAATTACCGCGTATACAATAACCTATTCTGAATATTTCTTATACAAATGGAGTACCGTCTGCAAAGCATGTATAACAATATGGTAGGCGGGCCGCGTCAGTTGTTTGTATCTCCAGATATATTTCATACTTATTGAGTACAGAACAATACAATTGAAAAAATATTACTGCAGTTAGACTTGCTGGAAAAGCAGAATTACTAAAAAATAAACTTCAGTTATATCTTTGTACGTACAAACAAATTTAAAAAGATGTTAATCATTTTATATGATTGATTTTTAAATGAGAGAATTTGAAAGAGAAAGAGAGAAATGAGCGAGTAGGAGCAATTTTAGACGAATTTACGGAGAAAATTTAATTTAAAAATTTTTAAGGTTTCAAATTAACAAAAATATAATTATACCCCCCCCCCCCCTCCACCACCAAACACACACACATAAAACTTTACATTTTATAACAAGAATAAATTTACAAATAAAAAGTATGGTTTAAAAAACCTTTTTTGCAACTGTGACGTTTATCACTTGAAAAATTAAACCAATTATGTTTCAATTAAACAATTTTATTAGTTAATAATTTCATATTGGATTGAATTAAACAAAACTTGAAGGCTTCTAAAAATCAACATTTTTTAAAATAAAAGTTAACCTTTTCCTGACGAAAAAAAATCCTTGCCGATCGAATTCACTGAAATTTTGAACTAAATTGCGGATTTTTCAGATTAAACTTGTCGATTTCTAACATTTTTGGTGGCTTGAAAAATAATTAGATAAGATTTTTCATGTTAATCATAATTTTTGGTCAAGTTTAGAAGGAAAATTGATATTAATTCAATAAACATGTGTAAAACTATTTCACCACTGCTGTTTCGCATTCTTTAAAAGTTACTACACACCCAAAACGTGAAAACCACCTTTCTAACTGATCTTTAAATCTTGAAAAACCACTTTTGTATCATCTATCAAGTTATCAGTCTATCTGCAACCACAAGAATAGAATTAGCAAAGATCAAATAAGAAGCTGATTCACACAAACTGTTTAAAGATAATAATAGAAATTGAGTCTTTGTCACAAAACTCGGATTTTCTAATCACTGAAATCTAAACATATCTGAAAAATTATTCATCAAATGTTTAGACAGCCTAGACCTCGGTTTTACCTCACCAACTCTCATATACACTTTTGCAGCGCTAGACATATATATTTCAAGATTTCTAGCCCAAGTTTTAAATTCGAGTAAATTTCAAAATACGGATCGATTTTTGTGTGAGGGCCTGCACACCTTGGTTTGCAGTATAATCACCATATCTCTTCAACCCTTTGTTGTAGACCTTCGATATTTCAAGTTATGTTTCCTGTTGGGTCAAATAATCTAAATATGAAATATCAAAAGTTTCCTAGATCAGGTTACCAAGATATATAGGGATTAGAAAATTTGACTTTGTGGTAAGGATTCAATACCTTTAGGAGATGAGCACCAAAGTTTTTATCATTATTTATTATTTATAAAAAATGCCCCCACCTATCGGAATTCATTAAATTATTTCGAAAAAAATATTTGTCGTAATTGTTGAACTATAGAAAATATATCTTTGTGAATCATGGATGTCACGTGAGCTCAAATAAAGGGAATTCAATTCACAAAGGCTTTAAAGCAGCACTTTCACCATGTTTTTTCTTCGAAAATATAGTTTTTTTTAAGCTTGCCATTCATTGGAACGAAGCGAGTTATAAATCTTGTCATTTTGGCACGGTTTAGACTCATAATGTGGATAGTTTTAACCACTGCAGACAACATCGGCCAAATAATTTTATTTTTGTATAAATTGTTACCAAAAAGGTGTACAAATATTTTAACAACACAAAACGGAAAAAGGCCATGAGAGTATAAATCAAAACAACAGAAAAATGTTAAAAAAGCTCATTTGACAAATTACCATCATTCATTTTCTGATTGATGATTTAGCTAAATCGTTATTGATATCAAATCTAAGCAATTTTCTGTATTCTTTGAAATATAAAAAACTTACGTATTTTAGTGAAAAAAAATTTTATTAATCAAAAATATATAGAAGTTAATCGTTATATTCATTAAACATTTTTTGAAGCAAATTTCAAACATGGCATACAACTTTCCGACCCCCCATACCCAAGCACTCTTAAATTGCAGACAGAAAAATAAGTATAGTTATAGTATACACGAAAATATCAATCAATCATAAATAATTATTTTTATAAATAATAAATAAGTTTTGTTCCTTCAACCCGGAACTAGGAAATAAGTACAGAATAATTATTGTTTTTGTTTTTCAGAGAAATTAGTCATTTCTTTAGTTTGTCTACAAAATATATTGACTTGCGTGTGGGAAGACTGTCCACATGAACAACGTGTTTTTTCTTGTACATTTTTCCCATGGGCGTACAGGAGCTTTAGTGCACCCCCTAGCAGAATTTTTACCCGTCATTTTGAAAAAAATATTGATTCGTTTTTTACCTATATTAAAAAACCTTATTCTTTTATACTTAGGCTTTGCTTGGGTTACCATTATTTCTTGTGTTTATTTTCTTTAAAAAGTAAATGGATAAAGGAATTGAGTTTTTGCCACAACCTCAAATTTTCTAATTTCTATATCTCTGGAACTAGGGGGTATAAACCTTTGATATTTCAAACTTAGATTATTTGATCTAACAGAATTAATAGTTTGAAATATCTAAGGTCTACGACATTGGGTTGCTAAGATATAGGAATAAGAATATTTAAGTTTGTGGCAAAAACTCAGTTCCTTTAAAAAAAATTAAAAACTTGTCCTTTGATGTCCAATTTTTCAGTTTTTTTTTCCAAAACGTCCTTCATTTTTCATCGAAAAAATAAACAAAAACAGTTTATAGCGTTTGATTCAACAAAAATTTAAGCAAAAGTATAAATTAAAAATATGGAACACAAGATATTTTTTGATAAATTTGAAAGTTATGTAATATTGAATTTTACAGACACAGAAAATGCCGGTCTATGTATTATTACTTACCGGGATTTAGTTTGAACTGTAATCCAGGTTTTCCAATCTACCGATCACTAATCCTACAGATCTTAATCCTTCCATAGTAAGGAGTAAGGATATATCAAGGTTCTAGGATATCTAGGATTACCCCTGGGAGCGCGGGTTCTACACACACACAGTAGCACCAGGCAAAGTCTCCCAGCCTACTAGTACTAGAGTCTCAGTCTGCACTCTGCAGTCACACAAACTTTAAACAGATAGATAGATAGAGAGATATAGATATTCAGACAGATAGATAGATACAGAGACTGTAGATATTATAGACTGATAAAATGATATAAATATAGAAGTATCTGTCACAATTCATGTACAATTCTTAATGTTTTTAAAGTTTAATAAAAAATGAAAATATTAAATACTCCTTTTTTGTTGAAAGAGCTTGATGGAACACCTTATGCATGCACATCCTGCATGCACAATGTACATCTATAGTTACATTTTCATATTTATATTAACAAGTTTGAAGTAGAATATTTATAGATAGATCGATAGATAGACAGATAGATAGAAAAGAAGAGTGATACAATTGCCTAGAATAGTTTAAGCATGCGCAGGAGAGAATATATTGAGTAAAGCCAGGGTTCGTATATTTTGAACCCTTCAGGGTTGGGTTCATAGTGAACGGAGTATATAATAAAGACAGGTTATATATTTGACATTTCTAGAACACGTTTCAAAGCAACCGAGCCTTTGCCACAAAATCAAATATTCTAATAAATAAAATATAAATGTTTTAAAAGCTTGAAGGGGCTGACTTAATGTTTAATATTTCATAAAAAAGTGTTCTGCTCTGAATAGACTAATTTTATTATAGTTTGGTTGGACGAGTAGGACTTCTAAATTGAATTGTTCATCAAAACTATTTTCATTACATAAGAGAAACTTTGCAAAAAAATTCTTGAAACCAGTGCAACATTTTGCGCCTAAATACTGGTTTTGAGAACTCAGTGAGACAATTCTGTTCCAGACTGTCATTACATAACGTTAAATACCAACCCACCCACTTCTTAGAGAAGACTGTACAGAACTATTTTCTTATATTCATGCTTTCCTTCAAACTGCAGATAACTTTTTCATTCTTTTCCAAAACATTAAATAAGCCATTAAAAGACGACTTGAATTGACCTTGGAATAAAAATATTTATTGAGGTCGTCTTTTCAGTCTCATCTTTGGTGGGTAACACTGCATTTAATACAATGATCCACTGAGTGCAAGCTTTCACGCAAACATTGACAAGAATCTTGACAAGGATATATTACAAACCAAAAGCCGAAAGCACTTCAAGGGATATGAGTAGCCTCATATCTTTGCAATCTAATGGTGTAAACCTTTGATATTTCAAACTAGACTACATGATCCAACACAATTCAAAGCTTAAAAAGGTCTACAGCATTTTGTTGCATAGATACAGTAATTAAAAAATCAGAGTTTGTTGGAAAGAGTCAATTCCTTTGACACTGTCTTGGAAATTGATTCATAATTTTCGTAGCTGTCTGTATGGATAATATAGATATGTTAGCTATAAGCTGGCCAAACGGCTGGACTAAAGGTAAACAAAATTGGAAAATTTTTCTTCTTCAAATTGAAAAAATAAAACTTTTATTCTACGGCCAACTCCAGGCACTTCAATTAATATTATTTATGTAATTGTGTGATATAACTATTAAAAACAAGATTATAAAACAATCCTTTTTTGCAAAGAACAAGTTTCAGAGTTTGCAAATCTGATTTTGCAGTTTCTTTTCTGTCACCACGCGCAATAAAACTGTACATATGGCATACTGGTTTAATCCAGTTTTATGCAAACGTTAAGTTCTTTTCTATGTAGATATTTCTGGTAATCTTTTATTGGCATCTTTTGCAGGGAATTCCATTATTGCGTCAGATAAATTTTGCTCGTTATAGAATACAGTAAACTAAAATAGTTAATTCAAACCAAATTCAGATCCAATATTCTTCAGATTAGAACTTCTAAATCTTGATGATACATATAAACTAGGTGTTCTATCTTTTATGCATAAATACTTTTATAAAAACTTCCTTCCATGATATGTTTAATTCTTTAGCTGAACCAAATAGAACAAAATCTTTCTTTTTAAAACGTTAGAATGTTTTCCTTCCGCTTAATTTCCAAAATTATGGAATTCGATTGAATTAGAGCTTAAAAACTAAATCTGCAAAACTGTTTTAAAGAAAAATCTTCAAAAACTATATCTGTAACAAAAATAACTATTTTCCATGTGGATAATCTTAGTTTTTGCTATCTTCTTCACTTTGTAATTCATAAACATGATTCTGTTACATCCCTTCTTCTGAGTACCTGCTCTTTCCCTTATACTTTTTCACCCCCTCATTACCTTTTTCATGATTTATCATCATTGTTTTGTTTAAAATGTACATCCATCTATTTATTTACAATTCTTATTCGCTTATAATGGGCCAACCAATCAAAACATGGTTAGGCGGGTCCAAACTGCATAGTAAATTGTGATTTTTTTTGTATTATCTCGTGCTTTGTAGTTGAATAAAAATATGAAATATAAACCAAACTTTCGGTGTGCACTGCGTTGATCTGCAGTACACTTACTGAAGAATTAGTGGGTTTTAGTAAAGAGTGAGAGTTCAGAGGTAAAACTTTTGGATAAAATATCGCTGTAATCTGTAACTTCTATCCACCTTCAATTTGATTGCCTGATCGCTCAATTTTAGTTCTCCATCTGCTGGTTTTCGAACACGAGATATTCAAAGAGGAACTTTTTTGATCCTTCGCTCGACAAAAAAAAGACTGAAAACTGCTTGATCCATGCATGGTTAAAAGCTCAACCGACAACCGTCTGACCTCAGAAAACTGATAAAAGATTCTATCTAAAAGTTGGTGCGCGAGCAGACACTTTGTTTTATGGCAAAATGGCAAAATCTTGTTGTCTTTCTGTTTGATTATTAGTGTTGTATGGAAACTCTTACATAACCCCGTTGGATATTTTTAGCTGGTCGAAACTAAAGACTTTTGCCTTGAAAAAAATCATCTTTTCTGATTTTTGAAAATCCATCAATCCGTGAAAAGCTTTGTTTAGGAGTATTCCGATGTAAAAATGACGGTTTGAAAATCAAAAGTTATAAACTAAAATTGGCCCTAAGCGGCGCCTTAAAAGCATACAAACAATATATTTCAATAAGCTTTAAAATGAAAAAAATTAATGCTTATTGAACTAAATAATTATCACTATGTAAAATAAAGCATAGTGAATATTAAAGATAATAAAGCATATTGAATACAGGTGAAATCTATTAAAATAGGAATGTTCCCGAGGGGAGGGGGGAGATGTTGGATTTTATAAATATCCCTGGAAACTAAATAAGTTTAAAGAGTGGCAAGTAACTGTTAATATAATATAGCTAATTTATTTCGTAACTTTGTTTATCAAACAAAGAGGTAAAATCATTCTACTGAAATCCTTTTCATGGCATATAAGGTTTAATTTGTAGAGTTAGATCTAAAAAAAATAAAATTGGTTCTTTGAAAACAATAATTTTCTTCAGAATTTGATGTATTTTTCTGAAATAATGTAACTGGATTGAAATGAGAGAAAAAGAAAAACAACGAAATTTAATCAGCTTTCTAGATTACGGCGTCTAAAAATAAATTGAATTAAAGTTTCAAAAAGTTATGTATATAGTTGTAGCAAGGTGGAGTAATAACATGCAGGGTTTGATCAATGAAATCGGAGAAAGTTCGGAGTAATAAACAGTTACGGAGAACCAGGACGGAGAGAACTCCGGGTTCTGTAGAACTAGAGAACTGTGGGTTTAGGAGAACTACAGGAGAGAGTGAAACAATAGATATCTGTGTTCAGTACAACCAGGATAGAGATTAAAAATAGAGATTAGGAGATTTGAGAGGTCACGTAGAAAGTAAAACAAGAGAACTTCGGATTCAGTTGAACCAGGATAGGGAGTAAAACTAGTGAACTCCAGGTTCAGTTAAACCAGGATAGGGAGTCAAACTAGATAACTCCGGGTTAAGGAGAACCTAAGAATCTCATAGAACCAAGGTAAAGATTGGGACTAGAGATCTATGAGCTCAGCTGAACAAGAATAGAGATGCAACTATAGAATACGGCAGGATAATGATCATCCAGGATTATATGATGAGGAAGTTTACGTTGAATAGAACAAGGTTGGAGTCAAGATTGGAGAGAAGTCGGAGAATTTAGAAGATTGCAGTTTCTAATAGGAGTCAAACGAACTCTATATCTTCTCAACCGGTTTATTTGAGACAGGGGCCAAAATGGTTTTGTATTTATTATACATTTTATTTTAAACAATAAATAAGTTTGATAAAATGACGTTAAGTATGCGCAGATCTAGAGCAAAAATATCAACACTTACACAAAATAAGGTATTTTTTATCTAAAAAAGGAGAAAAGTTTTTTCTTCATTTTCCTTTCTTCAGTGTTGGGAAGTTCACGGAGAAGAAGATGAATTTCGTCCCAGAGCTAGAAGTCAGAGCAAAGATCAAAACAATTATACTTCATCAAGATCTCTGCAAAGATCTAAATCTTGGAAAAGGATTCCTTCCCCTTCCTCCAGTTCAAGAGCATTTACATCTTCTCCTACTGGGAGAGAAGGTTTCTCTCACCAGCTTGATTCGTCTTACTCGTCTAGATCTAATGTAAGCCTGGAGAAACACAACCTTCGTCCTGTTCATCCTGAACCTAGAGCTCATACTCGTCTTAAACCCGGAGTTCTCCACATCCCTCCACTCCGTCCTAAGCCTGGAGCTGAGGTGGACCAGGTATAAAAATTTATGGCCTGGCTAAATGTAGTTAGGTTTGCCAATCTTTTTTTTCTTCTTTTTTCTTCCATATATTTTTTCTGAGGTTCAAAATTTGGCGCTAGAGTCCAAAAACCCTGACAACCCTGAAAATTATGAAAACTCTGAAAACCCTGAAAATCCTGAAAACCCTGAAAACTCTGAAAACTCTGAAAACCCTGAAAACTCTGAAAAAGCTGAGAACCCTGAAAACCCTGAAAACCCTGAAAACCCTGAAAACCCTGAAAACTCTGAAAACTCTGAAAACCTTGAAAACCCTGAAAACCCTGAAAACCCTGAAAACTCTGAAAACCGAACCAAAACGAATAACATCCCTAAATGTAGTTGGGACTGTGACACATTGATAACTTTTGCACATTCAAACCATAAAACCTACTCATTTTTTACACCGTTAAACTTTTCTTAGTTTCTCCTTGAAAAATGCACCACATGAACTATCAGTGCCATAAATCACTGCAAGAGCATCTTATGCTGAAAAGTAAAAATAACAACTTAATGATCATTGTACATATAGATTTAGTCTGCTATAAAAGGTTGCATCAAGTTTTAAGACAGGGTCGACTCTAAAGTGTCTTTGATTTATTTGCTCAATTATGACTTTTGATTTTTTGCGTGAGTGCTTGCAACCTTTAAATTCAAAATTGTAGTGTGTAATCATTGACTGTTTACTGATATCGTCTTACTAATTTATTTATTTCAACTAATTCAGGATTTATATAATTTTTTTATTTCTAAGATATTCTTTTTTTATACAAAACATCATTGATCGTAATAAAATTTGCTTTCAGGTTCTAATTTACCTAGAGAAAATGCAGCAGTACATCACTGATCTTAAATATAATCATGGTAGGTTGAATGGAACTATGCAGCAGTACATCACTGATCTTAAATATAATCATGGTAGGTTGAATGGAACTTTGACTAAAAATGAACACACTTTTGTTTGACAAGTAATAAATGTCGTCTTTGTCTTGAAAGGATAAACATTAAAAAACTCCATGTTCATTTAGGATGATACCAGGCACGATATGAGACCTGTGTGTATTTTGTACCTATACAAATTGTAAATTTACATGTAAATTGTAAATTTTTATATGTATATATATAATACATATTCATATATTAAAATATTTACTGGTTAGTACTTACATGTAAATTGTAAATTGTAAATTCTCTGTGTAAAGGTTATATCCCTTTGTAAAAATATTTACTTTATATTACTTGTAAGTGTAAATATAAATGTAAATGTAAATTGTAAATTCTCTGTATAAAGGTTATATCCCTTTGTAAAAATATTTACTTTATATTACTTGTAAATGTAAATATAAATGTAAATGTAAATTGTAAATTCTCTGTATATAGGTTATATCCCTTTGTAAAAATTATTTACTTTATTATACTTGTAAATGTAAATGTAAATGTAAATGTAAATGTAAATGTGAATGTAAATTGTAAATTGTCTGTGTAAAGGTTATATCCCTGTGTAAAAATATTTACTTTATATTACTTGTAAATGTAAATATAAATGTAAATATAAATTGTAAATTCTCTGTGTAAAGGTTATACCCCTGTGTAAAAATATTTACTTTATATTACTTGTAAATGTAAATATAAATGTAAATGTAAATTGTAAATTCTCTGTGTAAAGGTTATACCCCTGTGTAAAAATATTTTCTTTATATTACTTGTAAATGTAGTTCCTGTTTAAAATATTTACTTTTTATTAAGTGTAAATTTCAATGTAAATTGTTGCCCCTTTCTCTTAAGATATAAAGTAAGACAACACCCTGCTCAAAATGAACCATCAGGTTTCAAGTCAAAACATCTAATTTTTTTCTTCGGAATATATTAATATACAGGCTTCTTAGTTATTATCTAAATTTTTGTTTAATTTAAAGACCTGTGAATGCACTTGATTTCTACAATTTCTTAAATATTGATTCGCTGAAATATTCCCAAAGTGGCATTTTCTGAAAATGGAGAATATAACTCAGTAGCCTGCATATAAACATAATCACAAGAAAAAGTTTAGGTATTTTGACTTGAAACCTGATGGTCCATTTTCAGCAGTGTGACAAATAGACAACATTCAATATTTTTTTGTCAAAAGATAAAATTTTATTATACATCACACATACATATTTATATACAGGGTGTCCCAAAAAACATGGGAATTCAGTGACGAATTCGATATCGTCTTTGTTATAAATTAGCATTGTAATACCTAATTTCAAAAGTCATAATATTATTATGTCTGCTAGAATTTATTTAATGAAAAGGGTAAAAGACTGTAAAGATGTGTCTATAATGTCTCCGCAAGATGAACAGTGAATACGGACAAGTTTACTCTGTTTGTATACTGCAATTTTCTTGTTTTACTAAGTACAACCGTATGCAGTCAAAACATAAACAAACAAAATGTAAACATAGCAGACGAAACTCTTACAGATTACAGCTTTCTCAGTAGGTATCACTATACTAAATCAAAGAATTATTTGAAAAGACGATATCGAATTCGTCACTGAATTCCCATGTTTTTTGGGACACCCTGTAATAAAATTCCAGACATGATGAGGTTACTTAAAAAAACTATTAAAATATTTTGATGTTACATTCGGATTGTGTAACAAAATATGACCTAATAAAAAACATGAACAAATTTGACGATAATTATAAACCAAATGCTAGTTAGGAGGAGAGACCATAATTTTATCGGCATTTAACATGGGTTTCATGTTATTTTTGTAAAACCACTCAGTTTATCTATTTCTTTCTTTAACTAAGCAATGAAGATAAAAGTTATGCTTTTGTTTTGTCAGAGAGTTTAAAAATTTCTTAAAATTACTGCGCCAGACGTCTGCTCTGCTGCTTCTGTGTTTGGATGAAGAAATGTTGAATATAGTTCATTTATAAATATTGGATAATCTTTCCTTCCTTTTTCACGGACATGGTTCTAAAGTAAAGGTAATTGTTTTTTTCGAAATATTGTGTTAAAGAAAAGAAAAAGAAAACTGTCCCCTGAATTTGCGCATTAATATTTAATAAAATAAGAAAAGATAATTGCCTTTATATGAAGTAAATCAGCTCCTTTTGAGAAAAACCATTACTCCGAGTTTGGTATCCATGGACAACTGGTCCGTTTCACAATTCTAAAGTTTTATGCGTTCAAGGTTACACTTTTTAGTCAGAATATCATTAATGATTTAACATATTAAGAATCTTTGTTTATTTCCATTATTATAAATAAAATCTATAAGTTCAACAAAAATGATATTCTGACCATTATCATAAAATAAATTAGTATCATTGATATTCAAACATTCTCGCATATACAGTTCTAAATATTTAATAGTTGGAATAACAACTTGTGAGATAGATTCTGAAAGATATAAAGTAGACCAAAATCTAATAATTGCTCCAGGTGTTACATAAAATAAATGTCCTCCTGAATAAGTTGTAACAAGTCCTGACGTATCCTTATTGCAATTTGTTCCCTCTTGATCTTGGGTCATTTCAAAATTATTTGTTCTTCTCATAGCTTTAGATCTTAAGATACGATTTGTTCCCGTTACTTCAGGTATTGTTTTTAACTTGATATGAATCTTTTTTAAAACAAGATTGACAGTTTACCTTTACAAATAAGTTATGTAAAATAATATTTTACGCACAGATGTAACCTGTACACAGAGATTCTAAATCCTTTACACAGAGAATTTACAATTTACATTTACATTTACAAGCAATATAAAGTAAATATTTTTACACAGGGATATAACCTTTACGCAGAGGATTTACAATATACATTTACATTTACAAGCAATATAAAGTAAATATTTTTACACAGGGATATAACCTTTACACATACAATTTACAATTTACATTTACATTTACAAGCAATATAAAGTAAATATTTTTACAAAGGGATATAACCTTTACACAGAGAATTAACAATTTACATTTTCATTTACAAGTAATATAAAGTAAATATTTTTACAACGGGATATAACCTTTACACAGAGAATTTACAATCTACATTTACATTTACAAGCAATATAAAGTAAATATTTCTACACAGGGATATAACCTTTACACAGAGAATTTATAATTTACATTTACATTTACATTTACATTTAAAAGCAATATAAAGTAAATATTTTGCACAGGGATATAACCTTTACTCAGAGAATTTACAATTTACATGTAAATTTACAAATTGTATAGATACAAAATACACACAGGTCTCATACCAGTCCTCTAATGTTTAGGATCTGTTATTTGCTTTTTGTTTGTTATCTAGATGATGTTCCTCTGAAAATCCAAGCTCAAGCAAGCATGATTACTCACTACAACTCAGCTAAGGTAATTATAATCCCCCCCTCCCCCCCAAAAATGTTAATAACAAATTTTTTAGAATTAACACTAAATTACTTGTATCCGTCTTGGTGATTGAAATTATTGAAAATGTATTAAAAATGGAGATACCAATATTTTAAACTAAATAATGATTATTTAAGAGAATGATACGTGAAGGTCAACCTATGAAATGTATTTTAGAGAATGATACGTGAAGGTCAACCTATCAAATGTATGGATGCAATCATCCTTGGTATTCATCTAACAACAGGCATTCAAGGTGTGTACTATGTACCATGTACTGGTTTTCTTGAAATACATTTTTTTAGACAAATAAACTGTTCCTTGGAGCTAGTTTTACTCTTAAAATGAAACTTTGTAAGATAATTCCAGGTGTTCTATAGTAAATTTTAAACCTCTTCGGAGACTTATTTTTTTCAGGGTGGAACAATAACTCTATTTTGTGGATTTTTTAGTAGAATATATTTTCATCTGCAAGCAAAGTGTTCACTGCAGCACACAGGAAAACAAGCTGACAATATACAGGGTTACCCACAAAGGATGAAACTTCAGAGACGACTGTACATCATTTATAATGTCTTTTTTCTTATATTTATAATTATCTGCAACTGTAAACTTTGTCCTTTGTCAGATGATTAGATAATTAATCAATAAAATAATCACATATTTAAGGCCAAAAACTACTAAATTCAACCTTGGAATCATCATGATTAATAAGTTTGAGGTCGTTATTACAGTCTCATCTTTTGTGGGTAATCCTGTATTTTACAAAAAAAAATATAATTGTTCTGTACCCTTTTAAAAAGTATTAAGTTAAGAATGAACATAAGAATTGCAAAATTAAGTTATACCTGGAACATGTCAGTCATAGTTTGATTGTAAGAGTAAAACCAGACCCAGGGATGTGTTCATATCTTTTTTGAGTAAAACTATAAATGAGTGATATCTTTTAGGACTGGGACGCTTTCCAATCAACTTTAAATCTGAAATTCATGACAAAGCCTTCAAACCTGGGAGGCATGTAACTTTATATTTCAATTACAGTATCGCGCTCATATTTCATGATTAGTTGATTGATTTTTAACAGGATGTACTATTTTAACTATGTGGTTTATGTCTAATTGTTTATGATTGGTTGATTGAATATTAACAGAAAGTTGTATTACCACGTGGCTTATGTCTTATTGATTGATTATTTACAGGAAGAACTATTCCTCATGGTTTATATCTTATTGATTGATTATCAAGAGAAAGAAGTATTACCATGTTGTTTATGATTGATTGATTGAGTATTAACAGAAAGTTGTATTACCATGTGATTTATATCTTATTGATTGATTATTAACAGGAAGAACTATTCCATGTAGTTTATGTTTAATTGATTGATTATTAAGAGAAAACAATATTATCATATGGTTCATGATTGATTGATTGCAGGGGTGGATACACGGGGGGGGGGCGGCAGGACCTTTTCCCCCCTGAGATTTCAGAATAGCTTCTCAATAGTACTTAAGGGAAAGAAAACCTAGTGAAAAACAGAAAAAAAAAATTTATCTTTAAGAAAATGTTCGCCTTCGCCGCGTCTTTTGGTTCCTAAATCTGGATATTTTGGTCCGAAATAAATCTAGCCCCCCCCTCACTTAAATCCTGTATCCGCCCCTGATTGATTGATTTTTAACAGGTAATAATATTTCCACGTGGTTAATTATTAATTGATTGATTATTAAATGTACTATTACCACGTGGTTTATGTCTTATTGATTGATCACTGACAGGATGTACTATTACTACATGGTTAATGATTAATTTATTGACTATACAAAGTACTATAACAACGTTGTTTTTGATTGATTGATTGCTTATTAACAGGAAGTACTATTACCACGTGGTTCTGGGTTTACTGTACAAAGGAAAGTTTGGAGCAGTTGGTTTATCTAGGTAAATACCTTGTAGATTTCTTTTATAGGATATTTATTCTAGAACGGATTCAATTTTAATAATATATGAAATATTTAATTATTTCCATCTAGAAAATCTACACTAATGGATAAACCTCTGATTTATTCTTCCCTGTTTGATCTCATTCTGGTAAGTTTACCTGTATTTTAAACGTTATAAAACTCTTAGCTTTAAAGGGACTGTATGCATAATTTCCAGTGACCTTACATGCAAAGATGGCAATGCCCGATTTACAACGGTACCCTGGAAGCCTTAATCTGATCAAAAATGTGGAAGATAACATCGTTTTTCTGACTCAAAAACTGTGAATTTCTTTGAATTTCTCTAAATAAGAACTGCTAAAGTGCACTTTCACAGAGATACCGCAATTGAAAATAAACAGTATAAAGAAACAAAAACATGGATATTCACTGATATCTATTTCATACTTGATCAGACAAAGCTTTACATGGTACCATTGTAAATCGGGCATTAAGCCATCTTTTCATCGAGGGTCAATTTGGAATCACGCTCGTACTCCCTTTACTAGCCATGCCCCAATATCACATGATTTTGCTTTCAAGGCAACTTTTTTAATTTCTTGGATTGGAAAATTCTAAACCATGGCAGCAAGCATCATACTTTCAGAGTATATTGAAGGAGTAACAGAGATCCTTTAATCCTAGTATATTAATGAAGTACCAGAGATCCTTTAATCCTAGTATATTAATGGAGTACCAGAGATCCTTTAATCCTAGTATATTAAAGGAGTACCAGAGATCCTTTAATCCTATAAGTATATTAAAGGAGTACCAGAGATAGTTTAACCCTAGTATATTAAAGGAGTACCAGAGATCCTTTAATCTTATAAGTATATTAAAGGAGTACCAGAGATAGTTTAACCCTAGTATATTAAAGGAGTATCAGAGATCGTATACTGAATGTAAACATACTCTCCTCATGGTGAGGGTTGGAGATATTATTTCACATCTTCAGGTCTGTAATATTCTTCTACCTGACAACACGTCAAACTATCTTTTTTTTGAGAATTTTTGATATTTCAAACTTTAGAAAAACTTGATCTAACAAAATGCCTTGTTTGAAATATCAAATGTCTACACCGTAGGGATTAGAAAATCAGAATTTGTTGCAACAACTCATTTTTTAACTGATCAATTTATTTAAAAGTGTCAGCAACGATTATCAGTACTATATAACATTCTTCTGAGAAACTTGGCGTCGTTATTACAAAACAAAACATTTTCTGTCATATTTCAAGTTGTCAAGTCTGTAAGGTGCTTTCCATATAAGCTGTGGCATCAAATTATCAAATTTTAGTTAAATGTTTGGATGTCAATTTTCTAAATCATCTATTTAGAGTTTAAGATCGTTTTAAACTTGATCTATTTTCGTTAGTTCTCCGTGTCCCCTATTCCTTGGAGAGGGTTGTTGGTGAAGACGGATAACCAGGATAGTTTCTCCAGGTACTATCTTACCGTTAGCAGGATAGTTTCTCCAGGTACCAACTTACCATAGTCATGATATTTTCTCCAGGTACTATCTTGTCATTAGCAGGCTAGTTTCTCCAGGAACTATCTTATCATTAGCAGGATAGTTTCTCCAGGTACCAACTTACCATAATCATGATATTTTCTCCAGGTACTATCTTGTCATAAGCAGGATAATTTGTTATCATAAGCAGAATATTTTCTCCTGGAACTATCTTATCATTAGCAGGATAGTTTCTTATCATTAGTAGGATAGTTTCTCCTGGAACTATCTTATCACTGCACAGACAAGTTTCAAATTGACAGATAGAATCCTATGTTTAGAGAGAAAGTTGGCAAGTATGGACGATATCTTAAGAGTTTAACCAAACTTCAGGTTCATTTTTCATATTTATTTTATAATTTCAAGATTTATATAAAACAGCTTCTTTTATCTAGGACGTGAAACCAAAAGAAGCCTGGGTTGGTTCATGATATCCATGAGATGTTTGAACCTGATCCTTAACCTGATCCTGATTCTGATCCTGATCCGGATCCTGATCCTAAACATGATCCTGATCCTGATCCTGACCCTGATCCTGATCCTGATCTTGATCCTGGTCCTAATTATCAAGAAAAAGATCATCAGAAAAAAAAGAAATAGATTCGAGATTTCAATTCAACATTACTTTGCTATCAATTTACACCTGTCAGCACATACATACATAATGCATAAAGTGAAAAATGGCAGTTTTATCGGGAGCTGTTTAAAATAAATTTTGCTTTCAATATTCATATCTCCACCTAACTGAAAGACAGAAACAACAGAAAAATTAGAAATCGAAAATTCTCTTTAAAACTTTTGCATCAAAGATGACTTTAAATCCTTATGCTTATTGAGACCTTCTGTACATGTTCAACATAAAAAACACTTCTGTATTTTCAACAACAAATTGTCAATTGTTCAAATGTTTTGAGTAAAACTGTGAAATAATAATAGTAATAATAATAGTAATAATAAGAATAAAAACAATCATAATAATAATAATAATAACAGCAACAATAAAAATAATATAGACGTAATTGTCAACTTTTGTCAAATTTTAATAGACATTGAAATCAATTATTAAAAATTCGGTGATGGTGATGGACCAAACCTCTGTAGAGTAAAAAAGTAGATGTTAGTTCCAAATTTATTGAAAATATATTTTAGTCTTTTAGTCTGGGTTCACCCTCGTCAGTTCTTAGGATTGTTTATTTCATTGACAATGTCTAATTCTTCTCAAACCATATTCTAGTTATATATAACGAAGACGACTTTCGATTTCAATTTTGATTTATATCAAGCTGTTAAACACATAAACATATTAGTCAAGAGAAGCTTTCAATTAAAAAGCTTCTCTTTATTTACTTGTAAACTTGTATTTCGAAAAAGCTTGTTAACAATCAATACTTAAATAGAGATGTCGTCTTTTTGTATTGGGATAATCGCTTACCACTGTATTATATACAGAAAGTTTTCAAGAAGCTTTAAACCTCATTTCTCATTTCTATATACGCCAATATACATCTTACAATGCATATATAATAATTGGTAATTACATTGGCAAATGTCACATATATTATTCTTTATGTTAAGATACTCAAATAAAGGGCATGTATACTATAGGAGAAATTCTAAGTGACCATTCATTTAGAAAGAGTACGATTCAAAACGATACTCTTTAAACCTGATCAAGAATGACGTATGTATCCTTATTTTTCTCGCTAAAAATTTAGAGCCTTTACAACACTGTACATTCGAGTCGGCTTGCATTCAATTTTCCTTTACAAATGCAGTCGAATTAAGCTAAAGTTCATTGATTGATATCAGATTGAAATCTCGTATGTTTTTGATGATATTAAATAATCTTTAAAATCCTTAAATGCAACCAAACAAATTTGATCTGTTCCACTATAGGAGTTATGAGGTTGCCTAGGCGCACCAGCAATACCACATTAATTGAATGTTTTCCTTATGTTAAAATTAGAATGAAAGGGTACTGTTGTAAATCGGAAAAACCACTTTATAAATGGAGGGTTACTCTAAATTACGTCTACAGTTTCCTTCTAAACAAAAAATTGTCAACTCCTACTCCTACTCCTACTCGTACTCGTATTCCTACTCCTACTCCTACTCCTACTCCTNGGGGGTGACAGAGGCATGGAAAAGGCTGGTGGAGGGGAATACCAGAGGTTGGTAAGAGGTTATACCTGTCTGTATATATTTGTATAGAAAACAGTGTAGACATAGATCTGGAGTTTTATTTTTATTCAATTTAACCTTGATGAAACTACTCAAGGTAAAATGTTCAGCAGCAGCACAACCGTGTTGAATATATTTCTATGGAATAATTGGATTTAAAAAGCAACATTAGAGCTTTTCTCAGTGTTTTTAAAAGTGAGCTGAATAATCGGATTGGATCTCAATGATCATTCATTGATCTCATAAGAACATTTAGTCAAATAAATTTTACAACCAAAATTTATAATCAGTTGGTGTTTTTCTATTCTTTTAAATTTCAAATATCAGCATTTGTAAAAACTACTTCAGAATCTAAAAAGAATTTAGGGTGGATGAAATGGATAAATCTTAACTTCAAGTAAACTTAAAGTTGACACAAAATAGAAATATTTAATGCATAAATATATATAACTAGGCTTTTAGGGCGCTTCGCGCCCATCTTCTATTTAAATTGTGAACATGTTCTTTTTGTTTACATCTTAAAAAAAGAAGAAAATTTTTTTGCGGATTTAAAAAAAAAATTCGCGGATTTTCAAGAATTTAAGTTTTTTTTTACAAAATTAAAAACCTTTAAAACACATTTTTATTTTATTTTTATCATTCATAAACCTTCCCTGTGGTCACGTGATGTCCTACAAAATATTTGGGCCCGATCGGTTCAGCCGTTTTGACGTTTATTGGATACAAACAAACAAACAGACAGACAAACAGACAGACAAGCCAAATTTATATATAGAAGTAGTAATCTCTGTTTGCTAGTCTGTTTATTTGTATATCTGATCATAAATCATGAAACCCATAAGCATTTGCTGCACATTTCGATTGGGAAACTCGATAGAACCACGGGGATGTTCTTTAGTTTCCAGGTAAATCTAGACTCTCAAGCTAGTATTGGCGGAATATAATTCGATTATCGTTTTCATTGTTTTTACATTTTAAAAAGTTCCAGATAAAATGCACTAACGGAAATGCTATCAAATATCCGGTCTGTATCACAGTGGATACAGAATACAGAATACAGAATGCATCCTGTATGTCTAAAGGATAGTAACAGAAACTTCCACTAGAAAACTAGTGGATTAGTCCACTAAATAATCCACTTGAAATTTGGTGGATTAGTCCGCTAACTAATGGCGGCGGATGTGCCCCTGCTAAGCAGTTATAAAAGAGGGTTTGTAGGAAGACGAGTTTTTCATACTTTGACCGGATTTAAACCTCATCCTGGAAACCAACCATTCTTTATTCCAATAATTCAGGTATTATCAAGATTTTGGAAATTAATAAAAAAACTAAAAAGTAATTATTATTTAAATTAAGATTTATTTTGAGAATATTCTTTTTTCCGAGGTTTAATAGGTACTGTTCTTCAAAACGGTAACCTTCAAACCTTTATTCTATCAATAATGGTTTGTAAAATGTTTAAATCTGATAATTCTTAGATTGCTTTCCTGTTGCAGAATTCCGCAATTAATTTTAGAAATCAGAATAATTAATTTTTAGAATTACAAACATGGGTATCTACTTTATACTCGATAGAACAATGCTTTTAAGGGTACTATTGTGAATTGGAGATGGCATTTTATAAATGAAATGCAGGGACTAAGGAATAGAAGGGAGATATAACTGACGCGGTTCGCCCTACCATATGATTATACATGCTTTGCAGACGAGTACTCCATTTGTATAAGAAGTATTTGTCTGATGTACAATTACCGCGTATACAATAACCTATTCTGAATATTTCTTATACCAATTTAGTACCGTCTGCAAAGCATGTATAATCATATGGTAGGGCGGGCCGCGTCAGTTGTATCTCCCTTCTATTCCTTACTCCCTGATATAATGTCACTTGAAAATACGCCTACAGAGCCTGAAATGAGTGAATGAACTAGGATTGTTATCATTGACATTTTTAAGGAAACAAATTAGATATAAAGACAAACGTTTCTGCTAGTAAACTGAGCAGACATTTTGTTGATATAAAAATATTTATCTCGATATTTTTAGATATTTCTGTGGTGTTTGCCTGGCACAGTTGCTCTGCTATCAGCTCAGGTTGATTTCAAGTTTTAAAATTTTCCAAATTATTTTTTTTTAAATATGATTATTTTAGAATGAAGAGTATGGGCCTTACATCGGAGGTGTTTGTGTTTTCACACTCGGCCTACTTCTTCATGTTGTACAGTGTACTGTAGTTCTAATCAAGGTAGGTTTCATATACAGCGTACTGTAGTTCTAATCAAGGTAGGTTTCATATACAGCGTACTGTAGACTGTAGTTCTAATCAAGGTAGGTTTCATGTACAGTGTACTGTAGTTCTAATCAAGGTAGGTTTCATATACAGTGTACTTAAGTTCTAATCAAGGTAGGTTTTTATTTACAGTGTACTTAAGTTCTAATCAAGGTAGGTTTTCATGCACAGTTCACTGTAGTTCTAATCAAGGTAGGTTTTCATGTACAGTGAACTGTAGTTCTAATCAAGCTAGGTTTCATATACAGTGTACTTATGTTCTAATCAAGGTAGGTTTTCATGTACAGTGAACTGTAATTCTTTTTAAGGTAGGTGTTTATCTAAAATTTAGTATATTGGTATTATTTTTTTCTATCCATAAAAATATCAGTATATTTAGGGGCGGATTGTTTCCACTGCGGCGGATGAGAATGGCGGAGGGGTTGGTGGTATGTTGGATGAGGAGGATGAGAGTGGCGGAGGCAGATCATGGATGACTCGTCTCATCCCTGGGAAAATTTTCAAAATAAACTATTTGATTCATCCAATTGTAGCAGGTTTAGTTTTCATTCATTATCCAAGATGAATTATTCATCTATATAATAAAGCTCTTCGCTCATATATATATATATATATCCTTTTTTATCTGTTTTTAAATTCCACGGGCAACGCCGGGTACTTCAAAGTTCAACTGGTGTTTTATAAATATCATAATATTTCAAAAATTCTGAATCTTTTACAATTTTTTTTTTTTTTAGGGGGAGTCACAATCTTGAGCTGCACAGTTCTGAATTTATTCATCATAGCGCAGGATATAGGATACATCAAGTAAACAAAAGAAAAAAAGGAGTAACATACATAATCTTTCAAATTCAATTCTGAAAATTCGACATTGATTTCTGAGAGCAAGAAGTGTGTTGCAAAAATGTTAAGACCTTGGTAACAAAAATTGGGCTTTATTTAGTTTAAATACATGTTCAGAAAAAAGTTTAAGATAAATGTTTATTTTTAAATCCCCTCTATTATTCCTTATTTTTTTTATAATTGCTGGAGAGAGAGAAAAAATTTAACTGCATGCCTTAATTATATAATTTTATCATAATTTTCTAAATATAAAAATGTTTTTTTTTATTAGAAGCTTTAAATCTGGTACAAAAAAATATTAAAATATAATTTTTGATTCTAACAAAACTATTTGTAGTGGAAGTGTTGTCTATGCTCTTTGTTGGATTTCCTTTAATATAGGAGTTCAACCTCTGCTGATTACACCTACTCCGGAAACTGCTACTTTTAGGAATACATCCATTTGCAAACAGGATATTTCAGGGTCCATTTACAACTAGGATATTTAAGGGTCCAGAGGCCGAATTTAAAGAATTTGAGCCGCGTCTTATTTATGGTTGGTTTCAGTTAAAAATATATCAAATGTTTCAAGATTCAAGCCGGCGCTCAATTTAAACCGGGTTTTGGCGGATTTAAGCCGCGACTTAAATTCTCTAAATTCGGCCTCAGTTAGGATATTTCAGGGTTCATTTATAACTAGGATATTTAAGGGTCCAGTTAGGATATTTCAGGGTCCATGTACAACTAGGATATTTCAGGGTCCATTTATAGTAAGGATATTTTAGGGCTGCTTTTTTATTTTACACAAGATTTGGAAACTATATGAATGTATCCATTGTTTAGACATGTTGACACCTACGATCTCAATGTATACTCTAGACCACTGCACCTGGTTCTTCTACAGGTTCGGATACTTTCATTAAGTTTATTCAAATACTCTGAGCAGGTTCGGATACAATTATATCAAGTTTATTCAAATACCCTGAGCAGGTTCGGATACAATTATATCAAGTTTATTCAAATACCCTGAGTAGGTTCGGATACTTTTATTAAGTTTATTCAAATACCCTGAGCAGGTTCGGATACTTTTATTAAGTTTATTCAAATACCCTGAGTAGGTTCGGATACTTTAATTAAGTTTATTCAAATACCCTGAGTAGGTTCGGATACTTTTATTAAGTTTATTCAAATACCCTGAGTAGGTTAGGATACTTTTATTGAGTTTATTCAAATACCCCGAGCAGGTTTGGATACTTTTATTAAGTTTATTCAAATACCCTGAGCAGGTTCGGATACTTCTATAAAGTTTATTCAAAATCAAATACCCTGAGCAGGTCACTCTAGTATGCCGAGTCCATTAGCACCTGATCCAATCAGGGTTAAGCTTCAGTCATGTGTTTGTTGTCTATTCTGAACCAATAGAAATAGTATGGTGGTAACATTTATCTTTCTATCTATCTCATTATCCAATAATCCTGCAATCGACGCTATTTATAGTAAAGGAAATATTTACTTCTACTAAAACTATAGTGGCCATCTGAGTGGCGCTTCTCGATATTTGAATACACTTTATAAAGTATCCGAATCCACTCAGGGTATCTATATATAAATTTGGCTTGTCTGTCTGTTTGTCTGTTTGTTTGTTTGTATCCAATAAACGTCAAAACGGCTGAACCGATCGGGCCCAAATTTTTTGTGGGACATTACGTCACCACAGGGAAGGTTTATGAATGATCAAAATTTCAAATATTTGTCTCCATCAAAATTCGATCTTCATTAAATTTTTTAAAATTTTGAAAATCCACGAAATTTTTTGTGAAAATCCGCGAATTATTTATGTTTTGTTTTACGATGTACACAAAGAGAACATTTTCACAATTAATTTAGAAGATGGATGCGAAGCGCCCTCTAAGGCTAGTTTGAATAAACTTTATAAAAGTATCCGAACCTGTAGAGAAATACAGTATTGTATATTCTTATTATTATCATTTAAAGTGACTGTAAACGTAATTTTAAGTGAACTTCTATTTAAAGATTTGAGAACAAAGAATATCAATGTCCATCATTGTCTGTTAAGCAGAAATCCGCAATCCACTTTTGAACAGAAATCACAATTAAAGGGAGTACACTTATGAATTGGACATGCCTCTTTATAATTGGAGGATCACTTGAAATTACGTTCACAATTCCTACAAATTGATTAGAAAACCATTTCATAAAAATTTATAATTTAAAACAATTTTTCTTTTGAAGGTTTGCATCTATATTGGTCTGTATCTGGGTAATCTCCCGGTATTTGTACTGGTTTGTTATTCCGTTCACTCAGCTCTAACCTTACTTTGGATTCTAGGTAGGGGAAGGACAAGGACAAGGACAAGGACAAGGATAAGGACAAGGACAAGGACAAGGACAAGGACATGGACAAGGACATGGACAAGGACAAGGACAAGGACAAGGACAAGGACAAGGACAAGGACAAGGACATGGACAAGGACAAGTACAAGTACAAGTACAAGGACAAGGAAAAGGACAAGGACAAGGACAAGGACAAGGACAAGGACAATGTAAAGAAATATCTAAATAATAAAGCTCTTCGCTCATATATATTTATATGTTATAAGCTGCACAAACGGCTGGACCGAATGGGCTAAAATTTTTTGAGGGAACCCATGGGTGCCCGGAGAGTAATAAAAGCTAAACAAATTTAATTTTTCCACGGGCAACGCCGGGCACTTCTGCTAGTTTTAGATTATAATATTTTTCAGGAATTCTTCCCGGAATTGAACCTTTGCTACTCTGGATCAGGTAAATTAATATTTAGAAAATTTATTTTTCAGTAATATTTAATAAAGTCAATATTTAGTGAGCAGACCTTAGTATTCGTGTTCGGGGGAAGTAAGACCAGTTCTGTTAGGAAACTAATCTTATCTTTTCTCCTCTCAACCCTCCAGGTTTAGATGCAACATTATTAAATTCTTTATAAAAATGAATTGAGTCTTTGCCACAAACTTTTTTTTTAAGCCCATTTATCTTTTCAACCCAATGTATAGTAGACCTATGCTATTTCAAACTAAGAATTATGTTGGAGCAAATCATCTAACTTTGAAATAACAAAGGTTTGCATCCTCTGGTTGTAAAGAAATATGGAATAGAAAATTTGAGTTTGTGGCAAAGATTGAATTTCTTTGTATTATCTGCTTGCTGGTTTACTTTTATCCAATAAACATCAGAACTCCTGAACCTATCGGGCCCTAATTGAGGTAGTTCATGGCCGGTTAAGATTTTTAAAATCTTATTAAAAGAAAAATCTACAAATTCTTAATTTTCAACTTTTTTACATGTACAAAGAAGAATTGTTGAAGGTAAACACGTTTAAAGCTAAAATTATTACAATATGTAAATCCAAGTTTATATTTTTGTTCAGGTTACCGCAGTTTGTTTAATTTCCAAAGATCTTCATACTGTTATTCTTATATCAGCTTACAGGTTAATATATCTTGAAATTTTTTATTTTTCGGAAATATTTTTCTTCCTACATTTTATATCTTTCTTTCTTTCTTTTTTTAGCAGAGTCCTCTTTATCCTCTATACCTGACTTTATTTAATTACTTTAGTGTTCAAAGGAATTGAGTCTTTGTAACAAACTCTGATTTTCTAATATCTATATTTTTTCCACCTCATGGTGCATGTACACCTTTGATATTTCAAACTTAGATTATTTGATCTATCAGAATTCATAGTTTGAAATATCAAGGTCTATGGCATTGGGTTACAAAGATATAGAGATTTGAAAATCATAGTTTGTGACAAAGGCTCAATTCCTTTAAATATTCTTAAATCCATTCTTATAGGATGAAATTCTTAATCAATTAGTAGGAAAGCAATATGCCAGCGCCCAGCAATATATAAAAATGAGATTTAACAAAAAATTTAATCCTTGTAAATACCCTCTTTTAAAAAAAACTTCAACTTTAAAATTTAAACATTAAAAACTCAAAAAATGTTAATTATTAATTATTCTACCTAATTTTAAGTGACACTCGATTAATAGAGTGACATGCCTCATTTATAAGTCCGCAAATCACTTTCACAGAGAAACTAAAAATCAAGAATAATCATTTTTCAGAATAAGGATATCTCATTTATTTTTGAACAGACAAAGGTTTAAAGGGACAGACCGGCTATGTAAGGTTGTTAAACTGAGTATGCAGTGTTGCGGACAAATTCTGTAGAATTGAGATATATTAAACTTTTTAAAGATCTGTAAATCCTGAGTTTGAGCGCAAAGTCGACGTATCGTACTTTTGGGTGAATACGTTTTTTTTAAAATTATTTAATAACGAAGACAAAAAATGTAAACAAAATTCTACAGTAAACTAATTAGTTGTTTAGGAACAGGTTGAGAAAATAAGTAATCATATTCAATTATTAGTTTCTATAATCTCTCCTTAATCACAAAGATTTACTTCAGATTTTCTAAAATTTTATGAAAAAGACGACATTTGAAGAATTTGAAGAAATCTGCGAACAAATTCATTGAAAATAAGAAATTCAATATAATGTTAAAAAGGAAATAATTAATTCTTTTTTCGATTTATTAACAAATTTCTTTTGAGAAATATGTTCCTAAACATCTAATTAGTTTACTGTAGAATGTTTACTTTATTTTTCGTCTTCGTTATTTAATAATTAAAAAAAAACGATCCTGAAAACGAACCCACCCAAATTCATGATTTTGAACATCGACTATGCCCTCAAACTCAGTAATTATACATCGTGGAAACGTTTATTATTTCTCTAATGAATCCTAAAGAATTTATCCACAACACTGCATACTCAGCTTAACTACCTTACATAGCCGGTCTGTCCCTTTAATGAATATGGTTGTGAATCAGACTTGTCACTCTATAATGGAGAGCCTAGGGTCTTTTTAAATAACACTTACTGTCTCTTATATTTTATTGTTATAGTGGATACATCCTGAGCTCACATCTTCTTGGAATATTTTCTTTTTTCAAAGAAATCCACCAGAAGGGAACCAAGGTCGGAGCAAGTCAAACTATAGTAGCTGGTCAACCTACAGAAGCTGGTCAACCAACAGGAGCAGGTCAAACTACTGAAGCTGGTCAACCAACAGGAGCAGGTCAAGCTACTGAAGCTGGTCAACCAACAGGAGCAGGTCAAACTACTGAAGCTGGCCAAATTACAGCTGGATCCCCTGTAGCAGGTCAATCTATTGTATATCCAGGTATGTCAAACAAATATTTTTCAAAAGTTTACACAAATACAATCAGATTAATTCTCATATAACGGAATTAAACAACTAGTATTTCATTAGAAATATTTATTTTAAAACAAAGAATTGAGTCTTTGTCACAGAATCTCAAATTTTATATATGCAAGCTGGTGGTTTAAACCATTGATTTGCCCATATGCATAGTTTGAAATATTAAGGCCTACTACATTAGATTCCAAGATTATAGAGATTAGAAAATCAGAGTTTGTGACAAAGTCCTTAATATCAACATTCTGAAGTATGAAGAGAGGAACCATGTTGAAACTGAAAAAAGTTCTTGAACAAAATTATTGATTGTTGGTGTAGGTGTTTTGCATCGAAAACTTGAAAAGTTAATTTCCTTTCTTTCATTTATCAATGACCTATGCAACATTTTATACAATTTTTTATGTGTAACCTGATAAAGTTTTTAGATATGAAATATGAAAAACCTGGAGTTGGTTTAAGATTCCTAGGTTCTCCAAGATGGATTCATTTTATTCAATCCATTCTTTCTCATCTAAGCAACATAATCCTACTCACCCTTCTAATAACCTTAGTCGAGAACAATCTTACTTTACAACAAAAACAAGGGAATTTTACAAAATAATCTATATAGTATATATAATTGTTTGTATGTTAGCTTTAGCCGGCCAAACGGCCGGACCGAATAGGCAAAATTTTTTTGAGGGAATCCATGAGTGCCCGGGGAGTAACATAGGCTAAAAAAAACGACTTTTTCCCAAAAATCGTTTGTAAAATTCTAAAAAAAATTCGACGTGCGACGCCGGGCACTTCAACTAGTATCGAATAAAAATAAATTGCTCATTTCATTGAAAAGAAGATAATAAAGAAATTCTCACCAAAATTCGAAATATCATTTATGCAACTTAATTGCTTTTGATTAATTGCCAATTTTATCGATTTACTCTTGCTTTGATTTCTGACGGATGTAAAAGGACAGAGGGGTGGCAGCGAAAGGGTGCGTGCTTTCTACTCAACAAGAAAGAAGCTTGAAATGGATTGATCCAAATGATTGATGATAAAGAGAGGAAAGGTTGACAAGCAAGGAGACTCAGGAGAGTCTATGGTTGCAGCTATAGGTACCTGGAGGTATCCAATCCAGGCTTACAAATAGCCTTCCTGTATGTCGGCGGGGTCCTTATCTACCTCCAGGATACTCTGTCAAACAGTGAATTCTTAGTGGACACCGGAGCTTCCCGTTCTGTTTTTCTTCATCATTCATCAGCTGCTCCTATGGGTCCCTGTCTCCTGATGGCAGATGGACGTCCAACAAAAGTCTAGGGATTCAGAATTCTCCAGCTTCAGTTTGCTAACTTCCGTTTTCAGTTCCCTTTCCTTCTCGCCGAATGGTCTGGTTCTCAACTTAGAGAAATACAGTTTTGCTCAGATGAAGATTGATTATCTCAGACACAATATGTCTCCTTCAGGAATTGTTCCTCTCTGCCGTCATGGTGATGCTCTATTCCTTCAGCCCAGTCCCCAGGATATATGTGGTCTCCAGAGGTTTCTAGGAATGGTTAATTTCTATAGGCATTTCCTGCCTATGATTGCCAAGAACCCAGTTCGCCCTGCTTGTGGTCGCCCATCTGCTCCCTGCTTGGTATCAAGCACAAAACCACCATGGCTTTCCACCCCCAGTCCAATGGCATGGTGGAGAGGTTCCACAGAAAATTGAAAAATTCCTTACATGCTCGCCTGGCCTCCTCCAACTGGTTTGAACACTTACCTTGGGTTCTGTTGGGATTACATACTTCTTCCAGGGAAGACTCTGCCACCTCTGCCTCAGATGCCTTCTACAACCAACCAGTTTTATGAAAACCTCCGAAACTGGATGTCTGATTTCTGCCCTGTTCCAGCTTGTCATAATACTCTGTCAACTACAGATCTTCCAGAGCAAATTCCAACCTCTCTCTACTCCTGTCTAATGGTTTTAATACATAAAGATGGACATGTTCCTCCTCTAGCTCCTCTCTATGAAGGCCCTTACAAGGTTTTATCTCGTTCCATTTTCGCCTCCATGAGTAGAAGTAGTTTTGTTTCAATACAATGTCTTAAACCAGCATTCACTGCCGACAATAAGTCTCCTGGGTTGCCTCCTCTATGTGGTCGACCTCAACACCTAGCTCAGCCTGCTCCTTCGGGCTCCACTTCGACGTTAAGGGCGATCTTGAAAAGCTGTAACTGCCTCCTCCACCATTGCTCCACCGCGTAGGAAAGATCAGTAAGGTTTAAGCTCTCTCCAGTGATAATAGGAGATTAAATTAAATTCTCGACTCTTAGCAGTGTGGAGGACGATATCTAAGTTCTTATAGAGTAAACATATACTGAAATAGTTATCCCTGCGTTTTACAAGAGTCCGTCCTCATAGCCTCTATAAAATAATAATAATATAATAATGATAATAATAAATAATATCAACAATAAAAATAATAATAACACTATTATTAATAACAATAATAATAATTTTGTAAAATTCTGTAAGATGGTGGGAACTGGGTTGGTTGGATACTGGTAGGATATACTGCTGTACTATTCCTATACCTGGAGCTAAACAAGGTTTATTCATTTTGCGGAGCTCTTCGATCTCCGATATATACCCTGAGGAGGCCGGCAGGGTTTACTCCGATAAACTACTTGTTCTCGCTTCTCCATCCGTCCCTGGGAGCTCTACTTTCTATTCTTTTCGCTATTCTAACAGCTTCAGGAGATACCAAAACTATTTCAAGGGAAATCAGAATGAAATTAAATTCTCAAGTACTGTTTTTTCAAATTTTTTCTCATTTAATTTTGTATCAAACTGTAATTTCTAAATCGGTTTTCTGAAAATACCTTTTTAATCTGAATTGTTCAAGATCTTTCTTATTATGATGTTCACATTAATTTTAACTTCATAAGGAATTTCTGTTAAATGCAAAGTTTTTATTATTTTATTCTGATATACTGTCTAGACTGAGTGGAGAGTTTGGAATATCCTTCCTTCTTGAGGTTCTCTCAGTTCTCCGGGTACTCCGTTGGAGTTGGCAGAGCACTGTATCCGTCCTGCTAGAGATCAGTGCTTATCAGATCATAGCTTTCATACTAGATCGGAGCAATTTCAACCCAGGAGTAGGTTGGGAGTTATCAAACCTTCAGGTTCTCATGCTCATCAGCTTGTGTAGAGATAGATTAGGTTAGAAAACTAAAAAAAATATTTTATCATTGCAGGGTTTTTTAAAATTCAATTTTATTGCTCTATCTTAGTATTTTTTAAATCACCCTGTAATCAATCATTTATCGTGTCATTTTTAAAACACCCTTTTTTCTCAGGACAAATTGTGGATAAACTGTTTTTCTTCCTGGTTCTCACAGCAACATCTATGGAAGATAGAGCTTCAAGGAAACTTTTCAGAATCTATTTATATAAAATAGTGATATCTGTTTATTTGTATGTCTTTGGTTTTTTTTGCAATGTCAGATCATAACTCATGAACTGCTTGACCCTTCTGCCCCAAACATTGATAGGGTAGCTCGGTAGCACCACAGGAATGTTTTTTTTGCGTGGTTTAAAAATTTTAAATTGAGTGGGTTGACTTTTGTAGAAAATTTTTAGTTTCCTGGCAAAGCTGGATTCCCTAGCTAGTACGAAATATGAAAATCTATCCTACCCAAACTTTTTGTCAGAAGTTTCTGTTTATATTTTGATGTTCTGACTAGTTTCTGGATTCAGGAGACCGTATGCTATAATCCTATTTCAGTTAAACCTGATCTTCTTTCCGTTTGTGTTTGTTCTTATCCTTATCTCCTCTCTTCTCTCAGCTCCTCTTCTCCCCCTCTTCTCACTTCCTGTCTACTTTCTTACTTTTCCTAGACCTTCCAGCTTCTGGCCTGCTGCAGCAGGTACAGGTACAGGTACAGGTACAGGTACAGGTACAGGTACAGGTACAGGTACAGGTACAGGTACAGGTACAGGTACAGGTACAGGTACAGGTACAGGTACAGGTACAGGTTTAGATTATGATTAAGAAACCCAATATTTGGTAAAGGTGAGGCTAGTGTTTTCTCCGATGACTCTCTCTACTACCAACAGTGCTCCAGGTCTACCCTGAGCTCTCTAGAGAAAGCTGCAAGGTTCGGAAACCTTGGTAATCTCCAACCTCAAGATATACTGCTGCTCCGACATGAGGATAGAATCATGTGGGCTCTGGTAGGTTCTTAAACTAGTTTATTTTCGCATGGGGGGGGGAGTCCCTTTAACTGGATAAATCAATTACAAGGACAGTCCCTTTAACTGGATAAATCTATTACAAGGACAGTCCCTTTAACTGGATAAATCTAATACAAGGACAGTCCCTTTAACTGGATAAATCTAATACAAGGGTAGTCCCTTTAACTGGATAAATCTATTACAAGGACAGTCCCTTTAACTGGATAAATCTATTACAAGGACAGCCCCTTTAACTGGATAAATCTATTAAAAGGGCAGTCCTTTAACTGGATAAATCTATTACAAGGGCAGTCCCTTTAACTGGATAAATCTATTACAAGGGTAGCCCCTTTAGCTGGATAAATCTAATACAAGGGTAGTCCCTTTAACTGGATAAATCTATTACAAGGGCAGTCCCTTTAACTGGATAAATCTATTACAAGGACACTCCCTTTAACTGGATAAATCTAATACAAGGGCAGTCCTTTAACTGGAAAAATCTATTACAAGGGTAGTCCCTTTAACTGGATAAATCTATTACAAGGACAGTCCCTTTAACTGGAAAATCTATTACAAGGACAGTCCCTTTAACTGGATAAATCTAATAAAAGGGTAGTCCCTTTAGCTGGATAAATCAATTACAAGGGCAGTCCCTTTAACTGGATAAATCTAATACAAGGGCAGTCCCTTTAACTGGATAAATCTATTACAAGGACAGTTCATTTAACTGGATAAATCTATTACAAGGGCAGTCTCTTTAACTGGATAAATCTACAAAGGTTTGAATGATATTATAGCTGTTGTATAAGGTTGGAGAGGTTGGAAACAGATTTATCTCGTTGAATCTTCGAGGCATGGAACTACAGGAAACCTCCTGCCATAGTTTAGAAGCTACCAGGATAGATGACATCTTCGACTCAGCATTCGAGAAGAAGACGTTGATGAACAGGTTCATGTTCCACACCCTCACCCCCCTCAATACCCTCGAGGTCAACATGTACTCCGATACCAAGAATGTTCTCACAGGAGTGATTAACACCAAGGAAACTCTCCAGGTTGTGGCGGAGTCCTTCCTGGAGTGTTTTCTCTGGTTTGTGGTTGAACATGTGTACCAGGAGAATAAGGACGGAGGAGAGAAGAAGGGGAAGAGAGAAGAAGACGAGAAGGGAAGAAGAGGAGACACCGCTGTTGTTTCTTTTGACGAAGGTAAAAAACCTTAAACTAAGCTTTCGGTGTAAAGGATAATTTTTATATTATCCTGTGTGGGAACTGTGTGAGATAAAGATAAAAAAGTTAATTAGAAAATTTGAGCTTTTTTCAAAAATACCTGAAATTCAAAATTCAAAACTGTCGAATGGTTTAGAGGCACCTGAGAGTGGAGAAGGTTTGAACCTGGTGGATCAAGTAAACCTATCCGCTAGTATAGAACAGGTTAATCTAGACTCCTGGCCGGACTCAGATGAAAACCTTCCATGGGCGACCAGGAACCCTGCAGGTTCAGCCTCTTCAAGCATTCTTTTTTATTCATCTTTTCCTTCCCTATTCAACTATTCTTGTTTTCCCAATCCAACCATCCTTTCCTTCCCTTTTCAACCATCCTTTCCTTCCCTTTTCATCCATCCTTGCCTTCCCTTTTACCTATCCTTTCCTTCCTATATTCATCCATCCTTTTGTTCTCTTTTCATCCATCGTGTCCTTCCCTTTTAACCTATCTTTTCCTCCCTATTCTTCAATCCTTTCCATCCCTTTTCATCCATCCTTTCCTTTCCTTGCCTTCACTATTCATCCATCCTTTCCTTCCTTTTTCATCAGTTCTATAATCTTTTACTTATTTTATCTGTTTTTGAATCTTTTTATATCTATCTCATCCTTTCTTATTTTCTTCATCCCACTTTTGATTTTTTTTTTGTCATTCTTTTTTTCACTATTTATCTGTAGGAAATCAACGTCTGGGTAGCGTCCGTATTAGTAGATATCTCCAGCATCAGGACTCCAGCTCCAGTATATTCAAGGACCTGGAGCAGGACGAGGTTCAGGATTTTCAAGAGATTAGGATCAATCACAGAGTCCCAGAATTAGAAAACCAGCTGATACAACCAGACAAAACGGAGAGGTAAGAAGAATTTATTATTTCAACAAAAAACAAAAACATTAAGCAGAAAAAAGGCATGATATTTTTATAACAGAAAAATGAAAAATGATTTCGATAATTTCCAATTTAAGTTTGTTGCCCGGACTCCTGGATCCAATACGTCCCAGCTCCTCCACCCTTGGATGGAAACCTTTACAGAAAACCATCCTTACTCCGGCTAAACTCAGGGCCAACCTGAGACCAGAGTCCTTGAGATTTGAGCTCCCTGATCACTGGTTTGACCGGATTAAGGACTCTGAACCAGATCAGGGCTGGTTCCCCTCCAGGTTCTACACACACTGTATCCAGGTTAAGGATTCAGCTGCTGCAGAGGATTCAATCCTACTCCGACAGTATAAAATACTTACTCAGTATATCTTCAATAAGATCTACGGGGTTGGAGGTAGTCCGTCCAACGCTTATCTCCAGGGACCTAATCATGTATTTAAACACTTCAAGGATTTCTCCAGTTCAACTCTATCCTCGGATCTGAGGGATATAACACACCAGGCATATAGAGCAGCAGTTAAACTTGCTCTAGGTATGTTCAATAACAGTATTTTTTATATAACTAATTATTGACTTAAAAGGAGAAAAAATAAGTATTTGAATTAGAAAGCGAACTATAAATCACTTAAATCCTGATGGTTTTCATTTAGATAAAGTTCTTCTGGGAGACATGGAACAAGATGAAATAATAACAAATCTCTCCGAACTTAAGAAAAACTGGTTCCTGGGCATGGAAACTGATCCTAGGTTCAAAACTACGATAAATTTTTAAATATTTTAAGAATAAGGTTTTCAAGGCATTATTTTAAAAATATTTGAAAAATATGTTAACATATCTTTTACAAATTTCAGATGGAAGGAGAGTATTGTCACAGAAGTTCCTAATTTGTTCAGTTTACAGGTAAATACGATAATCTTGATTATACTCATTCTGAAAGAACACAAACAGATATTACATAATGTCAAACAGACATGATTCTAAGTTTTACGAGAAAAAACTTGGAATGGAAACATAAACCAAAACAATACGTCTTTATCTTAAAAAAACTAAACAAATATTGTTTAGATAAATGAGGGTAGAGAAACTGGACAAACCGTATTCAAGTCTCATATTCTAAACCTGAGAACCTGTCAGGTACCTGGTACAGAGACTTCAATGCCGAGGTTTAAAAAATATATAAATCAGGAAAATAAGAGTTTCAGAAGAGTAAAAAATTATTTTATCATAATCTCCTTGAATTTGGCTTTCATCTTGTTCCCAAACAAGAATCTGGTAAATTGATAAAACTAAGTTAAGAGCTGTAGGGAACCATANAAACTAAGTTGCGAGCTGCAGGAAACCATAAAACTAAGTTAAGAGCTGCAGGAAACCATAAAACTAAGTTAAGAGCTGTAGGGAACCATAAGACTAAGTTCCGAGCTGTAGGGAACCATAAAACTAAATTTTAAAGACATAAGGCTGGGAAAAAGCTGTAAAGTCGTCTCGTTCATTGTGACACATCCTGAGAGAGAAACTATTGTTCGGAATAACGTTTGTGTACAGTGTACAGTTTTTGATTTAAGGATTCAAAATTATTTCCTGGGATAATTTGCAAATCCACGAAATAAAGAAATACGTCAAAGAGGTATTAGAGGGGGAAAGTAACCGTCTAAGCCCGAAAGGCAAAGATTTGAAAGAAAACGATTCTCCCTCTGTAAAAACATGTAAACAATATTTCAGAAAGACCAGAAGCTAAATTTCAAACTTTGTAGAATACAAATTTAAAATCCTTGACTCTGATAAATCCAAGAAAACTCTTATTTTCTATATTTATTGAAGCTTCCTGCAGCAAAGGTTTGGATGAGGTTGAGAGGTTTATGTTTCTCCCTATCCCTTGAAATCTTTTACATTGGAACCCAGGAGACGACTGTTAAAACTCAAATTATGATTTTGAATAGTCCAATGGACATAAAGCACTAAAAACTGCAATTGTGCAGTGTACACTTAATGTATGGATGAAGGTTGAAGGGAGAGGTTGTGAGAGGTTTATTGTCTTCTTTATACCTTGAAAATGTATGGAAAGTGAAGGTTGGATGGTTGAAGAGAAAGGGTGTGAGAGGTTTTTGGTCTTTTTTATGCCTTGAACACTTTAATGTATAGGTGAAGGTTGGAAGCATGAAAGGAGAGGTTGTGAGAGGCCTGTGGTCCTCTTTATATTTTGAACTCTTAAATGTTTAGGTAAAGTTTGGAAGGTTGAAAGGAGAGGTTGTGAGAGGTTTATTGTCTTCTTTATACCTTAAACTCTTTAATGTATAGGTGAAGGTTGGAAGGTTGAAATGAGAGGTTGTGAGAGGCCTGTGGTCTTCTTTATATTTTGAACTCTTTAATGTATAGGTGAAGGTTGGAAGGTTGAAAGGAGAGGTTGTGAGAGGCCTGTGGTCTTCTTTATCTCTCGAACTCTTGTATCTGACCAATGACGATGAAGAAAGATATAGTATACAGGTAGAATAGGTTTATCAGGGTTCATAGCATCAGATAGTGCACACTGTTAATACATTTATTTGGTTTTTATTTGAGTAAAGGAATTGAGTTCTGGTCACAAAATCATATTTATCTTTGCAACATTCTGGTGTAAACATTTTCAAACTTAATTTTTTTGATCTAAAAGAATTTATAATTTGAAATTAAAGTTATACGACATCAGGTTGAAAAGATATAGTGATTAAAAATTCAGAGTTTGTGGCAAAAACTTTTCATCAGAACAACTTGAAATGTTTTTATACAAAACCATCGAGTAAAATAAATCATCAGATTTAATCATATGATGTGGGGAAAAATGTGAAAGTTTTAATAAACATAAAATCTCTTATCAATATGGAACATAGATACAGCATAAAGGAACGAAGTTTTTGCCACAAACTCAAATTTTCTAAACACTTTATCTTTGGAAACTGAAGTTGTAAACCTTTGATATTCAAACTTAAATTATTCTAACCGAATTCATTGTTTGAAATATCCAAGGTCTACGATATTGGGTTGCAAAGATAATTAAAAAAAATATAATTTTCGTTTTTTAGGCTGACGAAAGATTACTCAGAAACTTGACTGTTCAAGCTGCCAACCCTCCTTTAGGTAATTCAAATTCAAGTCTCCAATTTACAACGTTTTTTTAAATGATTTTTCTTTAAGGGACTGTACAGGAAAAATGAAAGGGGGTATAGGATAATAACTGAGAATCTCAGGCGTTGAACGATGCATATAAGACATCTATCTGATGTTCCAGTCTCGAGAAATTGGTATAAAACTGTGTCAAAATTATACGAAAATTCAAATTTACACAATTGTGTATAAAAGTTGTAGGTAGAAACAGATCAGATTCAGCAAATACGCAAAAAATCTTAAAAGGATTATATCCCACAGGAGCCTGAGAATCTCAAAGTTGCTCCTATTATAATTTTTTTTATTTTGCATTTTTAATAGATATAACTGATATTATTATTTCATATATTTCGTATAATCCGTATTACGTCACCAGAGCTGCAGCAAATGGCAGTGCAGATACTGGTCGCGTGATACAGACGGAAATCACGAGACCAGTTTACTGCATTTGCCTTGTGCATTTCTGCTTCATAAACTATGAAGGAAATTGCCAGCGTTCATGATTATCATTGTTATTTTTTTTAGGATATTCAATCTTTAATTCTGGAACTACAACCTTCTCTAGATGATGATAAGACAAACTATAATTAATTAATAATAATTTTGAATTTAGCAATATTTTTGATATTCTTGCATTGAATGTTTGTATGTTTGTACACACTATTTTATATACATACATTAGTGTTTTTCACAAAAATATATATTTTTACCTATTATTATTACTTACTGATATAAATAAATAATAACTAAACAAATAAAATGAGGATTTTGACACGAAGAGTTTTAAATATTTATCTCAATTTTATTTCATAATTGTAGGACTGAGTAATTTTATCAACTAACGATTATTAAGTGATAAATAAGTTTTTCTTAAATGCTTAAATGTAATCTATATAGCTTTACGTACATATATGATATTTTTCAGATATTAAAAATTTTTAATAATTTCTACTTTCTTAAAATATATAATAATGGTCCTCCTGAGCAAGAAGTACGGTTTTCTATATATTTGTTTTTCAATTTTTATGATTTATTAAAAGTTTCTTTGTTTTATTTACTGAGGACACTCGACACTTCCCACCGGAGGATCAATCCTAAATATAAAATTTGAAACATAGACAATTAATGCATGATGAGTTGAAGAAAAGTGTGATTGGTGTCATCTCTATCATAACAATTTTTTTTCACGTGAAAATGCCATTTATGTTATGGTTTAGAATTTTTAATTTTTTTTTGGAACTGATCGACAAAAAATATATAAACAAATTTTTTCATCAAAATCAAGATTATTTCTATAAATTCTAAATTTTTGTCAGGATCTGTTTGATCAATTACGAGATTCTTTTTTGACTCACCCTGTAAAAAGGAGAGTTAATAAATAAAGAAACAGGCAGAGTTACCTTTTAAACAATTGATTGTCTATCAAGAATATACATTTTTAAATTATAATTTTACCATGTCACTTTTCAAAATAAAGTTAAAATCATTTAAGGTCAAGGGATTTTACGACTGTTTTGGATAGGTCTGGTTACTACATACAGATCTTTGCGCCTTCACGCACCGGCCGGTAAGTTTTACGGAATTTCAAAATAATATCATTTTGGACTTTTTATAGTTACCAGTACGTTTTACTGAATTTTAAAATAATATAATTTGGATTTTTTTAGTTACCAGTACGTTTAAAGAAATTTCAAAATAAAATAATTTTGAAAATTTTTTAGTTACTCGTGATGCGGTAAACTTGAATTTAGGTTTATTTAGTAAAAAAGCGACCTGATTCTATTTATTCTTATACCTGCTGGAGTTACTTATTCTTCTATCAGGTTTAATCCAAACACCTTCGGCTTTATATCTACATACAGAAATTTAGTAATTATTGAAAAAAAGAATAAAAGTTGTGATTCCATTCGGGAAGTCTATAATCTTTTTGGGTGTCCCAAAGTATAGATAAAGAGCTCGTATTCTTAATCCTATCACGGCGGGGGGGGGACAGTCAAACGGCGGGTCGGTATTAAAAAAACAGTTTTATAATTGAGCAGGCCTTGAAAAGTTGGACTAAGGACATGTATCACACTCCACTATCTCAACTCTTAGGACAAAATCATAGGGGGGGGGTGAGTGGAACACCCCCCCCCCCTTAGCCTATACAAAAATAGCCCAGCCGCGCCGGGATAGGGTTAAGGGATGACGATGTTTAATGATGATGTCTGTTTGTAAAGTGTCTGTCTGTATCAAATAAACGTCAAAACTGCAGAACCGTTAAGGTCCATATATTTTGGGCACCTCGCATGACCCTCGGTAAGGTTTATTGACCACCATAGATGAAAAACTTTGCCCGGAAAATGTCGAAATTTATTATTTTTGAAAATGCATCTAAAATAACAGAAAAATACGCGAGAATTAAGAATTGCGAATTTCAGTGCAACAGTAACAAGCTAAAATTGTTAATAGAAAGTGGTTGCCAAGTGCAATAACAGCCTAAGTTTATAAAAGGTATCCATTTATCCATTAAGATACTTTTTAGATTAATAAATATTTCCAATAAGGATTAAACGTACTCACGAATGTCATGCGAGTTCTTATTATAATCCAATATTGAGGCACCGAATAATATTAATTCTGCTAGTGGTCTCTTTTGGTTTCAAAAAGTTAGTTACCCGAAATATATTTTTTGTTTTCTAATATTTGATAAATCTTGCCTTGTTACTCCATCAGTACAACAGCTTGCTAAACCAACCAGGAAATATATTACACCAACAACAGCAAAATATCCAGCATACACAACAAACTTAATTAATTATATACAAGCTAAAGTACCCGGCGTGGATTAAAAAAAATCTAATTTTAAAATTTCTTTGGTTTTTAGAAAAATAAATTTGGATTTCGAAAAAAATAAATTCGAATTTTTTAGCCCATTTTACCCCAGGGTAACCATGGATTCCCTAAAAAAATTTCAGCCCATATCTAGTACTAGTCCTACTCTGTCTACTACCTGAGTTCTGATATCCAGACTCCAGTGCTAGTCCTACTCTGTATGCTACCTGAGTTCTGATCAAATACTATTCCTACTCTGTCTACTACCGGAGTTCTGATATCTAGTACTAGTCCTACTCTGTCTACTACCTGAGTTCTGATATCTAGTCCTACTCTGTCTACTACCTGAGTTCTGATATCTAGTGCTAGTCCAATACTCTGTCTACTACCTAAGTTCTGATGCCTAGTACTAGTCCTACTCTGTCTACTACCTGAGTTCAGATATCTAGTACTAGTCTACTACTTGAGTTCTTATATCTAGTGCTTGTCCTACTCTGTCTACTACCTGAGTTCTGATATCTAGTGCTAGTCCTACTCTGTCTACTACCTGAGTTCTGATATCTAGTGCTAGTCCTACTCTGTCTACTACCTGAGTACCTGAGTTCTGATATCCAGTGCTAGTCCTGCACTGTCTACTACCTGAGTTCTAATATCCAGTGCTAGTCCTGCACTGTCAGCAACTGTAGCAGTGAGTATAGTCTGGAAGAGAAGAGCAAGAAAAGTGTTGAACCCAAAAACTAATCCATAACTTTCCTGGGTTATATGACTCGCAATTTCAAAGCTAAAAAAATAACGATTCTCAAATAAAGTTTAGATTTCTCCATGCATCACGTGAGGGCGTATAAAATGCTAAGCTTAATTTTGCATTGAGGTAGGCGTTGTGGGGTGGGGTGGGGTAGGGGGGTAGGTTTATTTGTAAAGAATACTTTATACCTTGCAACAGTTATCATCATCTGATAGAGTGCCCTGAATATCAGATATCCAATATATGCTGTCCATATACTACCAGCTTCAGCCATCATGTACAGTACTACAGCATCCAGTACTAAACAGTATAATTTTTCAGTACTACAGCATCCAGTATTAAACAGTATTCATGTACAGTACTACACATCCAGTACTAAACAGTATTCATGTACAGTACTACAGCATCCAGTACTAAAAATTATTTATGTACAGTACTACAGCATCCAGTATTAAACAGTATTCATGTATAGTACTATATATACAGCATCCAATACTAAAAAATATTAATATGCAGTGCTACAGCATCTAATACAGTATCCATGTACATTGCTGCAGCATCCAGCATATATCAAACAATATTTATGTACAATACATATCTATATACAATTTACAGTCCAAGACTAGGAACTATGTATGCACACTGTACAGTATGTACGCGGTATTCTCACCTGAAATAATAGCAACAGTAATCTCTCCAATAAGCGACCAATTAAGATGTAAAAATCCAAACATAAAAGCTAGAAACAAACACAGATATCTTTCATGTTAACCCTATCCTGCTAGGGAGGGGGGGGGGTAATTTGACCCCCTACATTTTTTTTACATAACTCAAAAAGTATTGGTTGAGGCTGTTGAAATTTTCTGGCTTTTCCTACATACCCATAACCCTCCCTTTAAGTCTAAAACCGGGCTTTTACACTAACTGCCTGAGTCCTCAGGCACACTGGCTGAATGACTACTTGTTCCTGTTACAAACTTAATCTTTGTCTTGACCCACTTTCAGTTGTCAAATTTTGATAATTTCTAGCTTTTTTTACAGCCTATAACATAAGGAAACGGAATGCAAAAGTACGTTTTGCAGAGTAATTTTTGAAAATTATTTGCATACAACCAGTCAAAAGAAATTTGCACATTTTTAGTTTTTCTTTATTGCACCAGGATATTTAAAATTTTGCAAAATTTTTGCATATTTAAAATGGCTTTTGGTCAAGAGCTTTTCAAAAATGCATAATTATCATTTTTTGGACATTTTTTTGGCAAATATATGTAGAGTTCAAGATAGCTTTCCTATAATGTATGGTTTGTCATATTTGGACATCAAAAATGGGATTAAGAGAGGGAAGGGGTCAAATTGACCCCCCCCCCCAGCGTATCCCGGTTTTCAAGTACCCAAGCAGGGAAAGGTTTAAACCAAAATATAAAATTATCAACCAATCAAGAAAAAAGTTTTTGTAAAGTTCACAAAGAAAGAGAAACCGGTTTCCTAAAGCAGCTCCTGTAAGTGTAGTTGCTGCTTCCACTGCTCCATTGTACAGCTCCCCTGTACACAAATTTCGCTATTTCAAAAATATCAAAGATGTTTCACTGAAGAAAAGAATTATTGCATATAGTGGAAATTACACAAATTAAAATTATTAAAGCTATTAAATTAAAGATATTAAAGTTATTGAAAATTTAATAAACACTAAAGATAGTGAAATACAAAAAAATTTAAAGTTATTAAAGATATTAAACTTATTAAAGATATTAAAGATATTAAAGATATTAAACTTATTATAGATATTAAAGATATTAAAGATATTAAAGCCACAGAATATATCAGAAACCTGAGGTTCCGTTTGACTTCATTACTTCCTCCCAAAGGGGCTGAATATAGTTCCCAACCTAGAACAAAAATAAAGAAGTAAGAAGTAGAACAAACCTTGAGAAGTTTAGAACTAACCTAGAGAAGTAGAACAAACCTTGAGAAGTTTAGAACTAACCTAGAGAAGGAGAACAAACCTTGAGAAGTTTAGAACTAACCTAGAGAAGTAGAACAAACCTTGAGAAGTTTAGAACTAACCTAGAGAAGGAGAACAAACCTTGAGAAGTTTAGGACTAACCAAGAGAAGTAGAACAAACCTTGAGAAGTTTAGAACTAACCTAGAGAAGTAGAAGTAGACCTAACCTGGAAGTTTCCACATGTTCCCAAGGCCCACCAAAGAGACCATTTCAGTATATATGGATTTGAGAAGGATTTTACAAAATCTTTCCCCACTAACCTAAATGCAGTCATAACAGACTCCCTAAAAAAAATTATTAAACGAAAATTTAAAAATTTAGGATCAAGGCTGGGAACTTGGGGGGGAGGTATACGGGGTGGCTAAGAAAATTCAGGGTTGGGAACTTGGGGGGGAGGGGGGAGGAATAAGGAGTGTCTAAGAAAATTTGACCTGAGTGGTTTATTTACTGTTTCTGGTTCTACTAGACCCAACCCTCCATCATCTTTATTCCTGAATTATAAAATATAAATTTAAGAAAAAAGGTTAAAAATGTGACAATAATATGGAATCATGGGATAACTTTTATTTAATTTCAAACTAACCTTAAAAGTGACATAAATTATGGAATGTTATACTAGGATACTAGGATATTCTAGGATATACTAGGATACTAGTATATACAAGGATATACTAGGTTACAAGGATATACTAGGATATACTGATATACTAGGATATAATGGGATATACTAGGGTATACTTGGATACTAGGATATACTAAGATACTAGGATATACTAGGATATACTAGGATATACTCGAATATATCAGGATAGGATATACTAAGAAACTAGGATATACTATGATACTAGGATATAATAGGATATAATAGAATATATTAGGATATACTAGGATATAATCTTTATCTTTAAACAAATATGCCATGTCTCTATAATTTCGATACCTATGGAAGTATATAGTAGTTGGTACAGATGGAAGAAGAAGAGATGAGACAGCAGCTATTGACACCATTGCAAGAGATATATAATTCAAACCTCTGATATAATACAAACTATAGAAACCATAGTAATAGATATATAATTCAACCCTCTGATATAATACAACCTATGGAAACTATAGCAAGGGATATATAATTCAACCCTCTGATATAATACAATCTATAGAAACCATAGTAATAGATATATAAGTTAACCCTCTGATATAATACAACCTATAGGAACTATAGCAAGAGATATATGATTTAACCCTCTGATACAAATAAAATACAACCTTTAGAAACCAATAACAAGAGATATATGATTTAACCCTCTGATACAATACAACCTTTAGAAACATATAACAAGAGATATATAATTCAACCCTCTGATACAATACAACCTATAGAAACTATTGCAAGAGATATATGATTTAACCCTCTGATACACTACAACCTTTAGAAACATATAACAAGAGATATATAATTTAACCCTCTGATACAATACAACCTATAGAAACATATAACAAGAGATATATAATTCAACCCTCTGATACAATACAACTTTTAGAAACCTATAACAAGAGAATATAATTTAACCCTCTGATGTTATACAACCTTTAGAAACATATAACAAGAGATATATAATTCAACCCTCTGATACAATACAACCTTTAGAAACATATAACAAGAGATATATAATTTAACCCTCTGATATAATACAACCATTTTAAAATACAATTTTTTCACACTCTCAAAAAAGAAAAAAAAATTTATTTTATAATTTGGTGTTAGGTTGTATTCCTGTAATCAACTACTCCGGATGCAATTAGAACTTGGGAGAGAAGACCAGACAAGAACCTGGAGAAAATAATCGTTAGAAGATGAAGAAGAAGAAGAAGAAGAAGAAGAATAAGAATAACAAGAAAAATAGAAGAATAACAAGTAGAAGGAAACGGATAATTTTTAAAAAAATTACACATTTTTAACCTTCCTAGAAGTAGAGCAGTTCTTGTAAAGCTTGTGACTTGTTGGTAATAATGCGGAGAAACCTAAATATTTAAACCTATTCTTTTTATCCACCGTCACCATCAAGTATATAGACAGTATTCTTGATTATTTTATAGCTATAGTGATTGTAATATAGATGTATCTATAGTTATTTATAATAATAAAAATTTTAACAAAAATTGTCAACCTTTGCATAAATGTATGTGAAGTATGCAACTTCTGTCGATGTAGCAACTCCATATGCAAACTGCATAAACTAAACAAAATACGTTTAAAGGGACTTTTAAGATACTAGCCTTAGAGGGCGCTTCGCGCCCATCTTCTAAATTAATTGTGAACATGTTCTCTTTCTGTACATCGTAAAACAAAACAAAAATAATTCGCGGATTTTCACAAAAAATTTCGCGGATTTTCAAAATTTTAAAAAAATTAATGACGATCGAATTTTGATGGAGACAAATATTTAAAATTTTAATCATTCTTAAACCTTCCCTGGGGTCCCTAGATGTCCCACAAAAAATTTGGGCCCGATCGGTTCAGCCGTTTTGACGTTTATTGGATACAAACAAACAAACAGACAAACAAACAGACAAGCCAAATTTATATATAGACTAGAAATTCAAGGCGCTTCGCGCCCTTCTTTCTAACCTTAGAGGGCGCTTCGCGCCCATCTTCTAAATTAATTGTGAACAATGTTCTCTTTGTGTACATCGTAAAACAAAACAAAAATAATTCGCGGATTTTCACAAAAAATTTCGTGGATTTTCAAAATTTTAAAAAATTTAATGAAGATCAAATTTTGATGGAGACAAATATTTAAGATTTCAATCATTCATAAACCTTCCCTGGGGTCCCTAGATGTCCCACACAAAATTTGGGCCCGATCGGTTCAGCCGTTTTGACGTTTATTGGATACAAACAGACAGACAGACAAACAGACAGACAAGCCAAATTTATTTATAGATTTGGGCGATGTGGGAGATACCAATTATTGAACAGAGAATTCAAATAATAAGGCTGTATTGATACTTCAGAAACTAAAGCATGGGCGAAAAATAGTGATTTCATCTATTGTCAAAATTTTTGAAAGACTTCCCACAATTTCGGTTTCTGTCGTCTTCAACGAAGATAAAATTTTGGATATGTCATAGTTTTTATTATTTGATGTATTTTATGAATTAAAATAAGAGATTTTAATGGATGATTTTTAATAACTTCTATTTCAGTGCAATTTAAAACCCTAAGCATGATAATCTATTATTTAGTTAGGACAGAAAAAAAACCCAGAAAACAACGAGTCTGCAGTTAAGTCTTTTGGGTTGAACTGGCCCCCCTCCCCCTCCTCTCCTTTATAGATTCAAAACAGTTTTATTGGATAGGTTAGGTTAAGATATTTAGTAACTGAGGTTGCTGTATTGTAAGAAGAGGGGTGGGGGGGGGGGTGCAGACTGTATTTCCTTAGATTTTACCAAGTCTTTAATGTGTCCTGTCAAAACTACATATGATGTAAACAAACATGGTGACTATAAACTTACATACAGTATGCTAATTTTATTGTTTTAAACAAGTTTACTTTATTTATTTTCAAGCTGACCTGCATAGAGAGAAGGCCTTTCCCCCAGAGCAATAAACTCCATGTTGTAATATACGCAATTCCCTCAAATACGATCACGGGCTTGTACCTAGGTAAAAACAAGGTTTAATAGGTTGGAGGGATTAGAGAATAAACGCAATTCTCTCAAATACAATCACAGGCTTATACCTAGGTTAAAACAAGGTTGAATAGATTGGGAGGATTAAAGAATAAAACGCTATCCCCTTAATAAGGTCAAATATTTAGGTTGAACTTGAAACCAAGTCTAATAGGTTGGGAGGATTATAGATTAACGTAGTTACCTCAAATACTAGCGGGGGAAGACAGGCGGCCCGAAGCCATAACATTTTCCCCTTCCATGCCACATATTATCTTTTTTTCTTCCGGCAGCAATAAGCGCACAACTGGTTGGTCTTCCATGCCACAGCAATTGTAATACGTTATCAAATGCTAAATTTATTGCCTTGAAATCGCGTTTTTCAAAAATCCAGCAACAGTTGTAAACTTTGCAGTTGTCCGACAATTTTTGTTCATTTTTAGGTCGTCTTCTCTTCCAGTGTACTCTTAGTGACCGTTTTAATACTTACTTGAGAAGATCTGTAAAGAGAAAAACAAGAATAAGAACTCCTAGATAGGAATATGTCCAAATAGGGTAGACATCTTGGTACACCTAGGAACTTTTATATCGTCTTCGATCCATGCGGCATTTTTTCATTAACACAACGCAGTATTCCAGCTTAAACATCATTAACTAAAACGCTTGGTCATGAGATTTTCAAAATGTAGTCTACAATTTTTGTATTTTCAAAGTTGACTGAGATATTGAAAAATTTGTACAAATTTCAATTTATTCAATAAATCAAAACTATCTTAAAATCTAATATTTTCGTCAATTTTTTAGATACAGAAAGGTGTTTATAGACCACTTTATGAAAAGCTCGTCAGACGTACATGCCTCGTTTTTTTTTCTTTCGTTGCCAGGCATTAATTATCATTAATCAATCTCTCAATTCCCATGTTTATTGGGACACCCTGTATATATGTATTAAAGGGACTGCAGGAGTCTTAATTTGAAGTGATTCTTCATTGAACATTTTCAAATCATGATTTGATACCATATTTAAACTTTAGTCTGATCAAAAATGATAAGGTTAATATGCCTGTTTTACTATTTCAAATATGATTATTTTTAATTGTAATTCTCTATTAAAGTGACTTGTGGATTTTTGCTCTCGGGAAAAGGAGGAAATTCAAATAAATATAAATATTTTTAATATTTTCAATACAGACAAATTATTTTCCTGATTGTTCAACTGATGAAAGACTAAAGAGTACTGCTGTGAATCCGACATGTAATACTATAAATTGAAAATTACGTTGACAATTTCTTCAATTTTTGAATACTCTTTGATCTAAGATAAAAGTGTTTTCCCAAAAAAGAAAAGACCTTATTTTGGACCAACAAAGCTTAATTGTACCATTGTATCGATACGAAGGTCTTCTTCCTTAAAGGGACTGTAAAGGAAAAGTGAAAGGGGGTATAGGCTGAAAGCTAATCATTTTAGCTCTCGATCGCGACCCATGAAAGTTATATCTGATGTTCCTATCTCGAGAAATTGATTTAAAACTTTGTCAAATTTATACGAAAATTAAAATATATAAAATTTTGTATAAAAGTAGTGGGTTTAGATAGATCATATTCAGCAAGTAAGCAACCAATCTGAAAACGATGATATCCCAGAGAAAGCTAATTGTAACTTACGTTTACTCCAATTCTAATCTCATATTTGTTAATTCTATTTTTAATATATTTAATTCATAATATTAAGTCCGCATTACTTGACCAGAAATTCCACCAATGGCAGTGCAGTAAAGTGGTCACGTGATACAGGCGGAGACACGTGATCAGTATACTGCTCTGCCATTGGTGATAGTTCTGGTCATGTGATTTAAGTTTCAGATTTTCAAAATTTTACATATATGAATTTTCGTATAATTTTAACACAGTTTTATATCAATTTCTCGAGACAGGAACATAAGATAAAACTTTCATGGGTCGCGATCAAGAGCTAAAGTGATTAGCTTTCAGCCTATACCCCCTTTCATTTTTCCTTTACAGTCCCTTTAAGCTTATTATTAAAATTGTTTTACTTTCAGATTTAAATAAAAAGATATAAAGATAGAAGTTTAAAGGAAACAACATTATAAAAGTAAAGAATGTCCTCTTTAAAATCTCATCCTTTGTGGGTTACCCTGTATTGTATATTGGGTGGATGGACGAATTTGAATATATTATGGTAATATCGTATGTAAATTGACGAATTATTTATATAAAATGATGAAACCGTTTACACAGGATTGTGTACATAGTGGACGAATTATTCATATAAGTTCACAAACTAAATGAAAGAATGGACGATTTACCTGCTCCTCTGTTAGTCCTGTATTATTCCCTACTAGGTATTCTGTAAGGTAGGGTTCAGAAGGACGGATTTCTTTAAAGAATCCATAAAGGCAGAGGATCAGAGTGGTTCCCACCCAACCCTCCATTGTTCTCTGAAACTAAACCACTTTTTCCCTTTGAAATGCAAAGATTCACACTTGAATATTAAAGAAATTGAATCCTTGTCTTAAACTCATTATTTCTAATCTCAATATCTTTGTAACCTGATGGTATTAACTTTTTATATTTCTAACTTAGATTATTTGATTATTAAAGGGAGTGACCGGCTATGTAAGGTAGTTGAACTGAGTATGAAGTGTTGTGGAAAACTTCTTTAGGATTCATTTGAGACATATTAAACTTTTTAAAGATCTGTAAATCCTGAGTTTGAGCGCAAATTCAACGTTCAAAACTCCTGATTTGGGGGTGGAAACGCTTCCAGAATTAGTTTTTTTTTTTAATTATTAATTAACGACGACATAAAATGTAAAAATATTCTACAATAAACTACAGATGTCATGTTTAGGAACATTTTGAGAAAATAAAAATTGATCTTATCGAAAATAAGTAATCTTGTTCAATTATTAGTTTCTATTATTCTAGTTTCTCGTTATTCACAAAGATGTTCGCAGATTTTCTATAATTATTATTGAAAAGACGTCATTTAAAGAATTTGTAGAAATCTGCGAATAAATTTAAAGAAAATTAGAAATTCAATATAATAATGAAAACGAAATAATCGATTTTAGCATTGATTTATTGACAAATTTCTTTTGTGAAATATGTTCCTAGCCATCTATTAGATTACTGTATAATTTTTACTTTATTTTTCGTTGTCGTTATTAAATAATTAAAAAAAAAACTAATTCTGAAAGCGTATCCACCCCCAAATCAGGAGTTTTGAACGTCGAATTTGCGCTCAAACTCAGGATTTACAGATCTTTAAAAAGTGAAATATGTCTCAAATGAATCCTAAAGAAGTTTTCGACAACACTGCATACTCAGTTCAACTACCTTACATAGCCGGTCACTCCCTTTAATAGTTTGAAATATCTACTGTCTACACGACGCTGGGTTGCAAAGATAGGGATTAGAAAATCAGATTTTGGCATACATAAATAATGTTACTTTTTGTAAAAAGGAATAGTGAAAAACAGGTTCTTTTAGCCATGATGCCCAATTTAGTTGAAATTGAATAAAAGTGGAGATTGCTAAATATGTGAAAGCTGATATTTTTCACGGATCGACACTTGATCCCTGTCAGATATCGACACTTGATCCCTGTCAGATATCGACACTTGATCCCTGTCAGATATCGACACTTGATCCCTGTCAGATATCGACACTTGATCCCTGTCAGATATCGACACTTGATCCCTGTCAGATATCGACACTTGATCCCTGTCAGATACAAGATCCCTGTCAGATACAAGATCCCTGTCAGATACAAGATCCCTGTCAGATACAAGTTTCCGCTCAGGATATTGAGCTCAGGCGGCGCTGATTAGCATTATCTCAAACCAAAGTAATTAATCCCAAGATGATAATTGAAGTGTTGAGTTGTGTGTATTCTAAAACTGATACTGCTAGATAAATATTCTAATCTCTGTTTGCCACAGTTAAAGAGCGTGTTAGCGTAGCGTAATTGTATGTGAAACTCCATGCACAAATGGCAATGTCGGATTCACAACTGTACCCTTGAAACATTTATCTGATCGATAATGTGGACGATATTGTCGTTTTTCTAGGTTTAAAGGTGTTAATTTCAGCTATAAGTTCTTATATCTTCCTGCAGCTAATTTACTAAAGAAAAGAAACCACGAATAAAATAATCAGTTTTCAAGATTAAAAACATAAATTTTTAATTGATATTTCATCGGACAAATCTTTAAGGATATTGTTGTGAATCGAGCATTTCAGATATCTTTGCATGGAGGGTAACTTAAACTTAAACTTACAGTCCTTTAATTATTAAATGAGATAATTATCAAAATAAATAAATAGATTATTTAAACAAAAAGTACAAGAGTGCCGATAAAAGGGAAAAACATAACATTCAAACACATTTTATAGATAGGACATATCATAAGTATAAGATATATCATATAGATAGGACTTATAATATAGATAGGAGGACTTATAATATAGTTAGGACTTATAATATAGATAGGACTTATAATATAGATAGCACTTATAATATAGATAGGACTTATAATATAGATAGGACTTATAATATAGATAGGACTTNAGCACATTTAGATTTGTTGTTTGATAGATAGCACATTTAGATTTGTTGTTTGATAGATAGCACATTTAGATTTGTTGTTTGATAGATAGCACATTTAGATTTGTTGTTTGATAGATAGCACATTTAGATTTGTTGTTTGATAGATAGCACATTTAGATTTGTTGTTTGATAGATAGCACATTTAGATTTGTTGTTTGATAGATAGCACATTTAGATTTGTTGTTTGATAGATAGCACATTTAGATTTGTTGTTTGATAGATAGCACATTTAGATTTGTTGTTTGATAGATAGCACATTTAGATTTGTTGTTTGATAGATAGCACATTTAGATTTGTTGTTTGATAGATAGCACATTTAGATTTGTTGTTTGATAGATAGCACATTTAGATTTGTTGTTTGATAGATAGCACATTTAGATTTGTTGTTTGATAGATAGCACATTTAGATTTGTTGTTTGATAGATAGCACATTTAGATTTGTTGTTTGATAGATAGCACATTTAGATTTGTTGTTTGATAGATAGCACATTTAGATTTGTTGTTTGATAGATAGCACATTTAGATTTGTTGTTTGATAGATAGCACATTTAGATTTGTTGTTTGATAGATAGCACATTTAGATTTGTTGTTTGATAGATAGCACATTTAGAATTGTTGTTTGATAGATCAAGTTTAATAAAATTTAATAGATTATAGGACATTTTTTTTATAAAATAGTTCATAGATATTATAAATTTAGAAGTTCATTTTAAAGGACATTTTCAAATTTTATAAAATTCATAGGAATGATATTTCATATATAGATAGGACATTTCTTAGAAGGGATATTCACAGATATAGACGATCTAAATTTACATCAAGAAAATATATTTATATATATATCGTAAATCTAAAATTGTTATAAGATATTTTAAAGACAGAAAGTAGTTTTTCAAAATTCTAGAAAAGACAAATTCGTCCAAACAAATAACAAATCGAAATTCAATGATAAAGTGGACTCGCTCTTTGTCACTGCACTTTCATAAAATATGAGAATTTGATACTTTTTATTCCAGAGACTTTTAACTCTTTGGAAACCAAAATCAGAGAAATATTACGCAACAAATCTGGTGCAATCTGCTCTAAGAATATAAGTACTTTTACTAAAAACTGTGTAATTTCCCCGTTTTATTTTGAAAACTTTAATATTTTGTTTTTTTACAATTGTGAGTAAAGAATGGTCTCAGACCCCGAAATGAACTAGTGAACTGGGGATAAGGTTTGGTTTACTTGAAAACATCTGACTCCGCGAACAATTTGTATTTTCTGCTTTCAAGGAGAAAGTTTAGCTTTCTCCATGCTTTCTATCTTTCTATCTTTCTATCTATATATATATCAATATATATTTTTTCTTTCTTTCTTTCTGAAGAAATTGAGTCTTTGCCGCAAACTCAAATTTTCTAATTCTAAGGTGTTCTCAATATGGTTGCCAAAATATAGGGATTAAAAAATCAAAGTTTGTGCCAAAAACTCAAATCCACTTTCTACTTTGTTTATAATTTGTATCACTTAATCTTTCTTTTTTAAGCGTATTTTGTGAGAATTATTTTATTGTAATTAAAATTTTACTATTCGTTGATTTTTTCATTTAATTTTTTTCCTGTACATTCCATTAATGTTTGTTTTTACTGTCGTGTATTATGAAACAATACCAATCTTTAAGCTTTCGCAGAACCCCGGAGAGGTGACTATAGTTTAACATTTTTTTTTTAATTCCGCGGGCAACGCCGGGAATTTTAGCTAAAATTATAATTAGTTATCAAGCGCGGGTAAACGGCAGGAGTAACTTTAATTTTGAACAATAATTTTCTCTTTGGTCACGTCGGGTACTCCAGCTAGCTTATAATGTATTTTTAATATCATTATTATTTTCATTACTATTTTAATTATTATTTTCATTATTATTATCATTCTTAGATCACTATTATCATTAATATAATTATCATCAAAATTTGAATTGTTATCAGTATTAGAATTTTTAGAATTTATATTATTTTTATTTCCTTATGAATTAAATTTAATATTCTGATATCAGAGGATAGATAGATAAACACAAGGCCCTTACTCCCAAAGTTAAAATCCTTCCTTCCAAATTTAAAATCCTTCCTCCCAAAATTTAAATCCTTCCTTCTAAGGTTTCCTTCCAGTCTATGTTTGTTAAAAGATTTATTAAAGATTCCATGTTGCTTCTTCTGAAACTTTATATTTGAAAAGAGTTAACTTGAAATGTTTTCAGGAGTCTGCTAAATCCGGCTCAAAAAACTTCTCTAAACTGAAAATTCTCACATTAAATTAAGTTTTCAGCTCAGGGACATTAACATTTTTTAAAAACTTAAAATGTGACGAAAATCGTGCTATGATGAATTCTTGCATTACCCAGGAACCTGACCACAGTAAACGAAACCTGGGGCTGGCTGCTGGTGGGAGCAGGGTTGGGCGGGCGGTCAGTTGGTTCAGCTCTAGCGGGGTTAGCCATGAACAGCTCCGGTTCTCACACAGGTATTACAGTTTATTCACTGAAAAGTTGATGGTAATCTACAAAGCCGACATCTGGAAATGTATTTAATATGCCAATATTAGCAGGATAACCTGCAGAGATCGGAACTCTTGAGTTTATATTGTAAATCTTGAATGCTGGATCTTGACATCCAGTGTGGGTACTTTAAAATTTGAGGAGAAGTGCTTGATCCCTCAATTAAAGTTATTCCCGCAGGGTATTACCATCAGGCCATCACTGTATATCGAATCGAGGAATTAACTTAATCCGTAGATCTCCATCAGACGGAGATCAATGCTTGATCTCGAGATCTCCATCAGACGGAGATCAATGCTTGATCTCGAGATCTGCATAAGACGGAGATCAATGCTTGGTCTCGAGATCTGCATCAGACGGAGATCAATGCTTGGTCTCGAGATCTGCATCAGACGGAGATCAATGCATGCTTGGTCTCGAGATCTGCATCAGACGGAGATAAATGCTTGATATCGAGATTCCCAACACATCTTCTAAATGTTTATCTCTATAGTTTGCAATCTTTATCAGAGATTCATTTTAAAAATGTTGAATTTTTGTGTTATATACGGTGCTGTAGGTGATTTAATCAATAAAATGAAGACGACTTTTTGATTAAAGTTTAATTGTTGAAAAGTTTTTTTTTACGAATTACAAGTTAGATTAGGTTTTTGTGTATTCATTTTAAGCTTAAGATATAAATCGAAAGTAGTTTTCATAGTAATGATATAATCGCTATATCTCCGTAGTAAAACCTAGTAAAACGTTACACTAATAGCTAGGTGATACTGGAGGAGGAGGAGATGCGCAGGGGCAAGGAGGAGGAGTGGGTTTAATTGATAAACATGGTTGTGCACTTGAACATAAATACTTGATCAATCTATAGTAAGTGCAATATAGTTTTTATAAAGAATGATTTACCCGACTTTGTGACCTCGTAGCTCCTCTAGGTTTGATTTTGTACACAAGTATGTGAAAAGCAAAGGAATTGAGTCTATGTCACAAACTATGATTTTCTAATTTCTATATCTTTGTATTTCAAACTATGAATTCTGTTAGATGAAAAAATCCAAGTTTGAAATAACAAAGGTTTACAGCATCAGGTGGAAAAAATATAGAGATTAGAAAATCAGAGTTTGTTATAAAGACTCAATTCCTTTATCCGGTTATATATTGGAAAATCAAAACATATATATTCGTACTTCTCAATAGCTTGTCAATCAGAGGAGTTACGGTTAAAGAAGGCGATTTTAATTTACTTTTCATTGGAAAATTCATATTTTCAACCTCAGACTCAGACTAAAAATAATGTCGTCGTTTATCAGAATTAACCTTTTGTATTAACAGTATTTCAAGCAGGTTGTAAAATCATATCTATATAGGAAAACAAGACATTCGTATATATATATATGTTCCCTATAGCCGAAATTTTTTTTTAACATTTTGTTTTCCCCGAAATTTTTTTTATAGCTTTTTTTCAGGGGCAACCCCGGGCCCTTCAGCTAGTTTCTAATACAAATTCCACGGTTATTTAAAACTGTCATATTTTTCTATAAAAATCTAAATAAATAAAACAAAAAATAAGAATAATTTTACATAACTTTGAAAGATGTTCATTTACATCAAGGAATACTATCATTTTCACTATTAAGCTTTATTTCAGGATATAGTTAATAAAATCGACGTATAATTTTGATACCATTTATAAATATTTGACAACAGGATGATAATTTCATATTCATACAATGAAATGTAATATAGTTTATATTAAATAAACATTATTAAATACTAATCCTTTTATTAAAAAGCCTAAACATAAATTTAAAGATATATACTTCCACAGGAAAAAATAAACTTTACAATAAGATACGAATCTCTTTGCAATATGCAATAGCTAACATCAGTTAAATATTTTCTACAAACTAGGTTACTCACAAAGGATGAACCTTGAGAGACGACTGTACGGAATTTATACCGTTTGTTTCCTTATATTCATGATTCCGGCCCTGCAACTGTAAACTAGTGTCTTTCTTTGCCAAATCATTTAATAAGCCATTAAAAGACTTTATCCAAGACGGAATACTAAATTTAATCTTGGGATCGTCTTAAAAGTTTCAATTGTCGTCTTTACAGTCTCATCCTTCGTAGGTAATCCTGTATATTTAAACAAGTCTAAAACAAAAAAACTTTTTATTGATCTAAGTCTAATATAGACTAAAGAATACTAAATATGTCTACTATAGACGACTAATTTGCTTATAAAGCTTAAAGAAATACTAAACTAAATTTTAAACTGTATAGCTTTAAAATGCATAGTATTTTGATAAACTAATAGTTTTAAACCAAAAATATTCTAAATTCCTGTCTTTTTAAAACTAATCTAATTCATTGTCGGACAGGATAATATCAGAATATAAAATATGAATAATTTATACTCTCTAACAGTTTACAATGGCGAGCATGAAAAATGAATTCTGAATTTGGTTTAGATTGCTTTTACAGATCGACTATTATTATGTTGTTAATTTATCTCTGAAAATATGAAGAACATTATTTATCTCCAAAAATATGATGAACATTATTTATCTCTAAAAATATGATGAACATTATTTATCTTTGAAAATATGAGGAACATTATTTATCTTTGAAAATATGAGGAACATTATTTATCTTTGAAAATATGAGGAACATTGTACCCTTTCTTCGCTACTTCAGACACAGGTTTAAATGGAGTCTAAAATATATTTTGTATTTTTTCGCGGGAAAATCTTTGCACATTGAGACCCATAAAACTGTTGAATATGAAGACGACTGTTAGGATTAGAATATTATACCGTGCACACAGGGCAGTGTACTGGTAGAAATGTTAGCTTGATACTGACATTATATAAACATAAGATTGCTTATATGTCGTCTTCCAATTCACACAATTTAATGGGTCCCACACTAAATATATATATATATATATATATACATACATAGCCTTATTTGTACTTATTAGCCCTTAAAAAATTGCTTTATTTATAATAAAGATATTATACAAAGACGATTTTCATTCAGCGTTCATGGTTCTGACTGTACAATGTTTCGAAAATATTGTTTAATATTCTACCTTCATACGCTTCTCAGACTCCGGGACAATCAAATGTTTTCCTGCCAAAAAAATACATTTTTTTCTAACCGAAATTAATAAAAAGAAATTTATTATTTTAAATTGAGAATTGTGCAATCTTTAAAACTGTGGAATAGAAAGACTTATATTTATAAATATACAAATGTTAACACATGAAACACGGTAACGTTGTTGATTGTATAATACCGACTTATTTTTCTTAGTAAGTTCATTTTCAAGTTGCTGATAACACTTTTTGCTGTATGCAAATACATATAAGATTGGGCAAATATCTTCTTCGTAGTTTACATTTTTATTGGTTTCACTGGAGTTGTTTCAAATCTGTACTCTCGGAAAGTTTATCAATTATATAATTGCATTAATTGATTAGAATAAATTTATGTTTTTCCTTCGATACATTCATCGAGAAGCCTCTCCAGCCCTTCTCTGGGTTTATCTAAATATCTAAACAAAACATTAGCATATTTTACCAAAGAAGAACAAATATTTTGATATTTACTTTTCCTCCCAGGCAGTGAGGAGAAGATCGTAGTAACTTGGTTTATTCATGAGGTCCAGGTATGGTTTCGTATGAATAGTTGGAAATATCCTCTCATACAACTCGGTCTGGGTCAACTCATCCTAAGATGAATAGTATGCAAATGTAAACAGACCTATAGGAAATGAACACGTAGAGGCTGAGCTAGAGTTAACCAACCTAAAGGTACAGCTAGGGTCCTCTACAGGTTAACAGATCTGAAGGAAACTGACTTATAACGGACTTAAACAAACCTGGAGGGAAACAGAACTAAAGGAAACCGATAAAAACGAACCGGATAGGAAACTGAAATAGAGACAACCGTCCTAGAGAAGACTGGCCTAGAGGAAAACCAACCTAGAAGAAACTGACTTAGAGGAGACTGGCCTAGAGGAAAATCAACCTTGAGGAAACCAACCGAGAGGAAACTGGCCTTGAGGAAACTGACTTAAAGAAAACTGACCTAGAGGAATACCAACCAAGAGGAAACTGACTTAAAGAAAACTGACCGAGAGGAAAACCAACCTAGAGGAAACTGACTTAAAGAAAGCTGACCTAGAGGAAACTGACTTAGAAGAAACTGGCCTAGAGGAAAACCAACCTAGAGGAAACTGACTCAGAGGAAACAGGCCTAGAGGAAAACCAACCAAGAGGAAAATCAACCTAGAAGAAACTGGCCTAGAGGAAAACCAACCTGGAGGAAACTGAAATACAGTAAATTGAACAAGAGTAAACCCAAACTTTAGAGGTGGGACAACCTACGAGAAAACTGATCTAGAGGATTTTTGTGCCCTAAATTGCAGCCATAAATCTATACTTATATTGTTAATATTATTCCTTTTAGGTTTTGACATTTTTAGACCGAAAGCCATTTAAGAACCATAAAATAAAAATTACTTTGAAAGAATTATTGTCAGATCAATTAAAACACTCAGAGTCTAAATTTAATGAATTTGAGCCGCTTCTTAAATCGGCCTTAAATCGGTTTTGATTGAGCGCCGGTTTGAATCTTGAAACAGTGAACACAATTTTAAGTGGAACCAACTATATTTGAGTCGCGTCACAAATTTAACCCTATCCCCGCTGGGGTACTTGAAAACCAGGATACGCTGGGGGGGGGTCAATTTGACCCCCCCCTCTAAATCCCATGTTTTATGTTCAAATTTTACAAATGATACATCATTAGAAAGCTCTTGTGCTCTACTTTTAGAATCTGCAAAAAAAAGGGCTTTGGGTATGTAAGAAAAGTCAGAAAATTTCAACAGCCTCAGACCAATACTTTTTGAGTTATGTAAAAAAAATTACAGGGGGGGGTCAAATTGACCCCCCCCCAGCGGGAATAGGGTTAAGCCGCGGCTCAAATTCTTATAATTCGGCCTCTGGTTTATTTTTACCTCTGTGTTTATCAATACTCTGACATCACAAGGAGTAAGATTGTCCAAGATGGAAGGTTCTGGTTTTTCTTTAGAATTATTTTTACAATTTCCACTTATCTTCTCTTCTTCTTCCTCATCATCATATATATGCAGAGGATCCTCTTTATCCTTCTCATTCTCATCATCCTCATCATCATCCTTCTCCCCATCAAGGATAAGATCCTTGTTCTCCGTTCCAAGATACTTGTTCATGAAGTACTCCTGCTTTTTCCTCTCTTCAGCATTTAGAGTCTTCACGTATAATCTATAATATTAGTTAGTTAGAAAGAATCTCGTTGTAGATATTAAAATTATTTCTGGTTTTTTATCTGTTATTGTTAAAGAATGTGATTTTAGCGTTTCACCAAATTAAAAAAAAGTTTTATTTTTAGACTTGTCCCTGGAATGAAATAGCATTGGCGTCCTGCAACTCGACTTATGGAATTGAACTTGAAATTTCTAATCCCTAAATCATTGAAACCTGACAAGTTAAACTTTCGATATTTCAAACTTAAAATAATTTAATCTTAAATAGAACTCAAACTTGAAATATCTAAGATATACGACATTGGGTTGCAAAGATATAGGATTTGGAAAATCCGAGTGGCAACGACTCAGTTTCTTTATTTGGTAGATTTTTTCTCAAATATATGATTTATTTCAACATCTTCTCCTTTATCATTAAAAAATCTAATCATGTGCAATAAGGAAGTGATAAAATAAATCATAAGATAAATCATCTGAGGGTTACGAATATATTACGAAAAAGGTTTGGCCAAGAAGTCTTTGAATGCAGTCGTTGCCGTTCTAAATTTTTACCTGTGATCAAATCCAATATTTTTAGTTGATGAATCGGTGAGATGCTTGTTTATTATTTCTTGTTTATATTTTACCCCAACACTGGAACTGATGTGATGGCCACAGATGTTTAATGTCTCTAAATAGTAAATAAAATTAGATAATTGCAGCAAACTCTATTTTTCTAATCTCTTTTACAATAACACTGAGGCAGAACCCCGAAGGAGTTACGCGCAGGCTCTTTCTCTGTCTTGTTATTCTACGATAACTGCGCCAAACTCTTTTGGGCTTCTGCCTCACGGTTATTGTGAACGAGTTTCAAATCTTAAAAAGATGAAATCTAGTGTGCTATCTGTTATTTTAATTAATCTATGGACATAGGACAGTCCCTGAAATTAACCTGCGACTAGTGGACCCTTGATATTAGTATCAATATCCTTTGATATAGAGTTAATGAAGAGAGAAGGTATAGTGTTCACCTCGAGCAGGTTCGGTCTGAAATCATTTCTTTTGTAAAATATTTTTCCAAATATTTATTGTTTCCCATCGAAATGGGTCCGTTAGAATAGAACCTCATTTAAATCAGAAAATCCTTTAATTTTTCATATAAATTTTTGTTTACGTTTTAGAGTACAATACAGTGCAGCACAGTAAAACACAGTGAAGTACAGTACATTACAGTACAGCACAGTACAACACAGTGAAGTACAGTACAACACAGTGAAGTACAGTACATTAAAGTATAGCACAGTTAAGTACAGTACAATAAAGTACAGTACAGTAAAGTACAGTACAGTAGAGTACAGTACAGTAAAGTACAGTACAGTAAAGTACAGTACAGTAAAGTACAGTGCAGTAAAGTATAGTACCGTAAAGTACAGTACAGTAAAGTACAGCACAATAAAGTACAGCACAGTAAAGTACAGTACAGTAAAGTACATTACAATACAGTACAGTACAGTACAGTAAAGTACAGTAAAGTAAAGTACAGTTCAGTGAATTACAGTACAGAAAAGAACAGTACAGTAAAGAACAGTACAGTGAAGTACATTACAGTAAAGAACAATACAGTAGAGTAAAGTAAAGTACAGTAAAGCGCAAAGCTGAACAGTACAGTGCAAACATGTAAATTACAGTGAAAAGCTGTACAGTACAGTTCAATGCAGTACAGTACAGTTCAGTGCAATTCAGTACAGTGCAATACAGTGCAGTACAGTACAAGTACTGTAAAAAAATGAATAAAGGATAAGAAAAATTGCCAGAGGTTTAGAAAAATCAAATAATGTACAGCGACTTCTTTACAAAAAAATTCAAGATTTTCTATTACATTTTACATTTGTCAGACCAAAAAAAAATCTGGAAATGTAGAAAAAAGAAATTCTTTAATCCTTACCTCATGTTTTCATCAATGAATATATCAAGACCAAGAAGATTATAGTTGTTGTAGAATGAAGGACTGTTATTTTCAACTTCTCTAAAAATGGTTTGTTCGGATTTTAGGACTTCAAGTTTGGGAATATAAAGCCGCAGAATTAAACTTTTAAAGCTTTGGATTGTCGCATTAACGAAGAAACAATAAATAACGTTGGGATTTGGTGATGGCACTTAAAAATTACAATAAAATGAACATTTACTATCCACCTTTATAAGTTCAAATTTTAAGAACAAAATCTACAAATATATACATTTATACTTTTCGAATTAGAAAGAGCGTAAAATTAAACTTAAAGGGACTGTAAAGGAAAAATAAAAACTGGTCTAGTCACGTGATACAGACAGAGACACGTGACCACTATACTACACTCTCATTGGCGGGAGTTCTTGCGACGTATAACGGATTTATAAATAATATCATCAATTATATCTGTTAAAAATAAAAATAAAAATCATAAATATAATTGGAGAAAACCTAAATTACAATTAGGTTTCTTGTGGATATCTTCGTTCTCAGAAAGTTTGTATGTTTGTTTAGTATGATCAGAGCTGAAAACTTTAGAATGGGATATCCTTAATCCCGATCGGTAAATTAATCTAGAGAACAAGCATTATTTATCTGGAGATTAAGAAAAAGAGTGGATCAAGCATTAATCCCGATATCTACCATTCAAAAGTTCCCAGATCTGTTTAAACCTTCTACTTCTATACAAAATTGTATATTTATGAATTTTTGTATGAATTTGATACAGTTTCATATCAATTTCTCGAGACAGGAACATCAGATAAAACTTTTATGGGTCATGATTAGTTTTCAGCTTATACCCCCTTTCAGTTTTCCTTTACTGCAGTCCCTATATAAAGCTAATAAAAGAGGAAAAATTTACAACTTCTAAAATTCATGAAAATACGAATCATAAAACAAGACTAAAAACAGCAATAAAAAAACTGTCATAGAAGGTTTTAATTAGAAAACATATTTTTTGTAATCTTGATCAATTTTTTTCAGGCTTTTTAAAGAAACCTACCTTGAAATTTTTTCGTGTGCGCATAGAACAGTTTTGATTACAACATCCTTAAAAGTTAAAACGGTGAAATTTTGTTGGAAATAACAAAATCAGAATATTTCTAAAAAGTAAAGGAAGTGAGACTTTGCTTCAAACTCTGATTTTCTAATCCCTAAAACTTCGCAACCCAATGTCGTAGACCTTAGATATTTCAAACTATGAATTCTGTTGGATTAAATAATCTAAGTTTGAAATATCAAGAGTTTACGCAATAATGTTGCAAAGATATAGGGATAAGATCTTTTGAGTCTGTTACAAAGACTCAATTCCTTTAATAGTGAATTGAAGACGACAATTTTAGGGGGAAAATGATCTACATTGTTCATTGATGTCCATTAAACAACATCTACCTTACTTGGCAATATCGTCTTCTCCAGATGAGTTTGAGATATACGATTTCAAACCGATGTACAGCCGATTATTTTCATTTAAATGCAATTTTATGAATCACGATTTTGTTCACGGTTAGATCAAAATATTTTAATTATTTACAGCTACTTTACATGGAAGTTAAAGGGAACCTTACTTTACCAAGGGTTCCCAAAAATAATTTTGCTAAAAAAACATCCAAAGCTCAGCGAGGGATGTTTTGTTGGCAAAATAGGCGATTAAGTCAGAGTTGTAAGGCAAGGAAAGTTATTTCAGAAGTGTACACATCTTTTGTACTGCAGTGTACTGTCTCTGGGCGGTAATGTAAACACAAGACGGATGTCGAAGCCTGAAATGGGATCCATCTTTCACATAAAAAATCGATGAAATATTCTGGTCATAGGAAACTATTATGTGAATTATCAAAATTTTCAAAATTTAATGCTTTTAACCTCCTCGGATACTAAACGAACACTGATGCATCTATTCTTGTTTACAAATTCCGCCCAAAGAGAACTGATTTCAATATGTACGCAGAGTATACATGACCGCAATAAACTTTCCTTGCATTACATTCTTGGGTTAAGTAAAGTTTTGATTTCCTGAAAAAGTTGTTGTGCACAATTTAAAATTTTTTAAAATTTTTAAATTTAAAATGCGTGAATTTTTTTACTAAAACTTTGCAGAGCGGGTCGTTATTTTACTTAATTGTTCTAAGGAGCGTTAAGTAACTTAACGTCCCTCTGTTTGGGAAATCATGGGTCGGTAATATTGGTCAAAAAGCGGTAAAATATAAAAATACATTTTTTAAGACTGTCGGAAATCATTAAATAATGGAGAAGTGCTTGGCAGGTAAAAATGTTAAGAAAAACATTGTTTTACAGGATTACCCATCAAATATGAGACTGTGAAGACGACATGAAACTCATCAAATATGACGATTCCAAGTTAAATATTAAGTTCTCTGCCTTTAAATGGCTTATTTAATGATTAGGCAAAAAAACAGACACAAGTTTATATAGTTGTATATGGCTGTAGGGAATCAGATTCAGAAATAAAAGTAAACAGGCTGTATACATTTCGTACAGTCGTCTCTGAAGTCTCATCCCTTGAGGGAAACCCTGTATTTACAAACCTTAACTGCTTCCCAGAAAACACTTGGATCCTCCCCTTTTTTCTTAAAATATTCCCACAATTGATAAATTGTCCATTTATTCACCTGAAATATAAAAAATCATAATTTTTAGTGATTTTTTACATTTTTTACATATTTACTCATGTTTACTTTGAATATTGACGCTGATTTTTATTTTCAATAATTATTTTCAAAAACCTGCCTAATAAAAAAAAAACAATTCAAAAATTAGAAATTCATTCTTCTTATTCGAAAAACATTCGATTCATTCGAAACAATAACAATTTATATTCCCTTTATCTTGGGTTGTCAAGATAAATGGATTAGAAAATCAGAGTTTGTGGCAAAGACTCAATTCTTTCTTGTATACCTGACAACCAGGAGGAAAGTCTGTAACTGATTCCCCATTCTTGTTTACAGTAAAGTTTGTGAGATGGATAAACGTATTTTCCAAGTCTTCATCCTTTAAACTAAACTTCTCCGTAGCAAACCTAGATAATAATAAACTGAATATTTTCTAATCTGTCCAATTAAATCTATCTATTTTAACTCTAGGATCCTAATTCACGTATATTAAGAGTTATATGTATCAAATCCTCTCTTATAACATATCGGTCCAGGCAAGTCTGTAATCTTGAAAATATTGTTGTTCCTCAGATATCTAACCTGACCAATCTCTCCTATATAAGAAATAATCTGTCACCTGACTAATCCGTTCATGTGAAGATAAATGCGTCACTTGACTAATCCGTCCATGTGAAGATAAATGCGTCACTTGACTAATCCGTTCATGTAAAGATAAATGCGTCACCTGACTAATCCGTCCTTGTAAAGATAAATCCGACACCTGACTAATCCGTCCTTGTAAAGATAAATCCGACACCTGACTAATCTGTCCTTGTAAAGATAAATCCGACACCTGACTAATCCGTCCTTGTAAAGATAAATCCTAAACCTGACTAATCCGTCCTCGTAAAGATAAATGCGTCACCTGACTGATCCGGTCCTTTTAAAGATAAATGCGTCCCCTGACTAATCCGTCCTTGTATAGATATATGCGTCAATTTACTAATCCGTCCTTGTAAAGATAAATTCGTAGCCTGACTAAATCGTCCCTGTAGAGATACATGCGTAACCTGACTAATCCGTCCTTGTAAAGATAAATCCGACACCTGACTAATCCGTTCATGTAAAGATAAATCCTCAACCTGACTAATCCGTACTTGTAAAGATAAATCCGTCACCTTACTAATCCGTCCTTGTAAAAATAAATGCGTCACTTGACTAATCCGTCCTTGTAAAGATAAAGGCGTCAATTTACTAATCCGTCCTTGCAAAGATAAATCCTTAACCTGACCAATCCGTCCTTGTAAAGATAAATCCGTCACCTGACTATCCGTCCTTGTAAAGATAAATGCGTCACTTGACTAATTCGTCCTTGTAAAAATAAATCCGTCACCTTACTAATCCGTCCTTGTAAAAATAAATCCGGCACCTGACTAATCCGTCCTTGCAAAGATAAATGCGTCACCTGACCAATTTGTCCTTAAGTAGAGATATCTGCGTCAATTTACTAATCCGTCCCTGTAGAGATAAATGCGTAACCTGACTAATCCGTCCTTGTAAAAATAAATGCGTCAATTGACTAATCCGTCCTTGTATAGATATATGCGTCAATTTACTAATCCGTACTTGTAAAGATAAATGCGTAACCTGACTAATCGTCCCTGTAGAGATAAATGCGTAACCTGACTAATCCGTCCTTGTAAAGATAAATGCGTAAGGGAGCAATACTGGTGATCAACACGTAGATCCGGAAATCAAACTGAAATAGGAAATATTTGTGATCGGGAAAAAATATTAAATAAAGACATTTAAAGATTCTTCAAGTAGAAAAATTTGTTTGAAAATGTTCAGAAAAATAATGAAAAATTGAGCAAGCCCTGAAAAAAATAGTATTTGCAGCCGGAAATTACTTGTGCAGTACACATTTTAGCGTACACAATTTGTACATCGTCCTTAATTATTACTGTTACAATTCAGTTTTTGTTTTGCTTCCTTAGGACAAGGAATGCAAAATATATTCAAATTTTTTGTTCTTTTGTTAAACAAATCTTTGCACAAATGTTTTAAATATAATATTTTCGGAATAGAATAAGTCCAAGTAAACTCCCAATCTGTAAATTAGTAAGATTACTACTATGATAGTATAGCATATATCGACCAAGAATAAGTCCAAGTAAACTCCCAATCTGTAAATTAGGAAACACAAATCTCTGCAGAAATACTTCTTCAGCTTTTGTATTGTTTGATATTTAAGGGGGAATGGTGTCTTGTTTTTTATTTAGGTGCTAAGGGCAGGCAGTCAAATTATCTTCACAGCTCATATTTTTTACAACTTTTTCCTTATTCCAAACGCTAAGGAGATATTCGGAAAAGATGAGCTAGCCAGATAATGTTCTAAATATTTTCGAAGTTGGAGCATCAACATGGAAAAAATTATTGAGTCTTTGACACAAATTTGAAACTTTTAATTTCTACACCTGAGATTGATGAGATATGGCCAGTTACCTTATATCCATTGACTAGATATGGTTTAGTTACCTTATATCCATTGATCAGATATGGTTTAGTTACCTTATATCCATTGATCAGATATGGTAAAGTTACCTTATTTCCATTGATCAGATATGGTTTAGTTACCTTATATCCATTGATCAGATATGGTTTAGTTAACCTATATCCATTTGTCAGATTTGGTTTAGTTACCTTATATTTATTGATCAGATATGGTTTAGTTACCTTATATCCATTGATCAGATATTGTTTAGTTACCTTATATCCATTGATCAGATATGGTTTAGTTACCTTATATCCATTGATCAGATATGGTTTAGTTAGATACTTCTGAACTATGATCGGATCCTCTTTTATAACTTTTTTATTCTTCTCTTGGTGAACTTTCTTCTTGTGAGGAATCTGAAAAATAAAATACTAGAAAATAAATATTTATTTTAAAAAAAAGTTTTAAAAATACTGTAAAATTGCAGAAAATGTCTGTTCTAATAATTTTATTCTTAAAAATATGTTTATTTGCTTGTTTTTAATATTTTGACATAATATTAAATTGTCTCGAAACATTTTTTAATGAAAAACTACACATCATACTGATATTCTTGCACATCGGGTTTTCTTGATATAAATATAAAGTTTTAAGGTTTTTAGAAATAAAGTTTTGAAACCCTGAATAAACTATATTTACATATTTACAAACAATTCCTTGTATTTCATCTCAAAACTTGAAAGTTCCTTGCAACCTACAGAAAAGTTGGGAAATGCAAATTCAGCTGAGAGCAGGGGGGAGGGTGGGAGAGGGGANTATACATTTACCTTGGATATTGGGATATACATTTACCTTGGATATTGGGATATACATTTACCTTGGATATTGGGATATACATTTACCCTGGATTTTGGGATATACATTTACCTTGGATATTGGGATTTACATTTTCCTTGGATATTGGGATATACATTTACCTTGGATATTGGGATATACATTTACCCTGGATATTGGGATATACATATACCTTGGATATTGGGATATACATTTATCCTGGATATTGGGATATACATTTACCCTGGATTTTGGGATATACATTTACCCTGGATATTGGGATATACATTTACCCTGGATATTGGGATATACATTTACCCTGGATAATGGGATATACATATACCTTGGATATTGGTATATATATTTACCTTGGATATCGGGATAGATTTCTCCCTGATATTTACCTTTGAAGGATGTCTAACCACACAGGCTCCAATTCCGCAGAAATTATTTGGAAGTTTGACAATATAAACTTCTTCATAGTTCTCCATTTTCATTCTTAACAAAATATTTTCACAGTTTCACTCCTTCTTTTATACTCCTACTCCTACTCCTGCTCCTACTCCTACTCAGCTACTCCTACTCCTACTCCTACTCCTACTCCTACTCCTACTCCTTCTCCTACTCCTACCTCTTATGTAGCTCCGATGCCTCCTCTGGTAGGTAGTATGTATCTGGATGGAACCCGAATTCTTGTTTTCCGAAGATCAGCTGCATTCGTCGAAAATTCTTCCACAGCAAATCTTTCCTCAAATACAATAAATATTTTTCTATTTTAAAGGGACTGTTAACGTAAATTCATTTCATCTTTCATTTATAGAGAGGCTTGTCCGATTGACAACGAACCCTTTAAACCTCATGAACAATGTGGAGTAGATCGCCCTTGTTTAAAAACGTTTAATTCTTAGAATCTCCTTCATCGCCAAATTCAGTTAGAACTGTTTGAAAGCCATGATGAGACTTATTATTGACAACCTAAATCTCAGGCTGAATTCTTCTTCTTTATCTTACATTAATAGATATATAAAAAATTAGTTTAAATCTACAGGGAATCATAAATAAAAGATATAAGACTGAATACATCTTCATGAAGTCTCATCCTTTTTGGGAAACACTGAACATATTTAAAGTACGTAAATATATATAATAAATATTGTTACTGACATTCTGTCTTGAAAAATTTGCTAAATGAAATTCAGATTTCGCGCGTATTAATACTTTGATTTAGTAGAATTATCTGGATTTGCGTCATTTAACCGATTATGCATAATTAAGTATAAATTCTTTAGTTAAATTACCCTAGCAGTTAGCACGGGAAAAATATTTGCAAAGCAAATATTTTTAGCTTGTAAAATATTTAGTTTTAGCATAAAGAGTTCAGGGTCCGCGGATTAGTGTCCCATGGGGGGGGGGGAGGGGTATTCAGACAAGAACTAATAACCATTTTTAAACAAAAAATAGTGACTATATATAAAGTAGTAATCTCTGTTTTTCTGTTTGTTTAAATATTAAATCAGAACTTAAAAACCCCAAGACAAATTTGCCTAAAATGTTTAATGAAAACCTCGGTAGAACAACGGGAATGATCTTATAAGCTTGGTTTAAAAAGTTTAGTAGGTTGCTCTTTATAAAGAAAAATAAGGGTTCACAAGACTAGTAAATATATATATAGATGTACACAAAATAAGAGATTTCAGAGACGACTTAAAGGAGCTGATTACTTACCGCTAATTCAAATTGTCTAATCCCTTTATCTTTGCAACCTGATGGTGTTTTAAACTTTGACTATTCGATCTGGCAGAATTCATAATTTCAAAAATCATATTGGATTAAGAAAAATAAAAGTTTGGACCAATAAATCAGCTGTTTGCTCTCTGAAACTGAATCTAATGTGAAATACCTGTTTAGATCTCTAAATGCTGGAAACTTGTTAATTTTAACAGCCTGCTTCAATCTTGTAAAATCAATGGCGTCCAATGATTTCTCTACAAGGGGTAGATTATCCCAAATATTTCCAGAGCTGATTATCTCGTTCTCCTCAGCACTCCGTAGTAAACCCTGCAGGAGTTGAGAAGTAAAGTAAAGTAAAAAATTATTTACTTATGAAATATAACAAAAACATACAAAATAAAGTGTTTCAGGAGAAAATATTTAAAAACCTCTAAAAGTAGAGATTGTGGGAATATTTCCCCCCATTCTAAAAAAAAAATAAAAATAGAAATAAAAGGAAAAGGAAAGGATAAGGAAAGTTACATATTTATTTTTTACACTATATTTAATATAAAATGGTGGTGATTTGTTAGTATTTTTCGACATGAACTAACAACTTTAATAAAAATTATAGATTTATTTGTAATGTTAAAAAAAGTAATAAAAGCTTTATGGAGTGTGAAAGAGATATAGGTTCTATGAAAAACAGTAATAAACAAGAGAGAAGTGGAAGATCATGCTCTACGTAGTTCAACTACCTATCCAGCGTGCTCTTGCTCTACGTAGTTCAACTACCTATCCAGCGTGCCCAAGATTTACGTAGTTCAACTACCTATCCAGGTTGCTCAAGATCTACGTAGTTCAACTACCTATCCAGCGTGCCCAAGATATACGTAGTTCAACTACCTATCCAGCGTGCTCAAGATCTACGTAGTTCAACTACCTATCCAGCGTGCCCAAGATCTACGAAGTTCAACTACCTATCCAGCGTGCCCAAGATCTACGTAGTTCAACTACCTATCCAGCAATTCAACTAGCCCTATTCCTAGTTAAAATACTTCTCGCTATTCATTAAATACGATCTTCAAGTAGGCAAACAAGATTCGAATTGTTTAATGCGGTTTCCAGTTCAAACCGGAGTTATGCTCAAAATTACGTTTTAAAATTCTACGAAAGAATTTGATGCTTGTCACAAGCTCAAATTTTCTAATCCCTGTATCTTTGCAACATGATGGTGTAAACATTTGATATTTCAAAAAGACAATTTAATCTAACATAATTCATAGTTTAAACTAACATTTAGCGACATCTTGTTGCAAAGATATAGGAATGAAACATTTCTAGTTTGAGGCCAAAACATTCTTTTGAACCCTTTAGTACCTTCTGAGATACATACTTAAAACTGCATCTTTCTTAGAAATCAATTTTCTCAATCTGATATTAATCTATTCACGTTCATAATTTAAACTTCAAGATAAGCTATGAAAGATGTCTCTAAAATTTGGGATAAACTTTGATCAAATTCTAAAAAAAGATTTTTAATAGATTCCTCATTTGCACTTTGAGTGGAAATATTTAGATTTGCTTTTAAAACTAGACTTTTACACCTAAGATTTTGCAAAAAAGGTTTTTTGACTCTCAAGAAGTAGAAGAATAATTTGTCTTAGATTACAGAAGATTTTTCCTGCCCGGCAACCTGGTATCTAACTTTTGATTTTCAACTAGTTTGCACTTTGACTATCGAGTTTCTTGGTAATATTGAAGCTTCACAACTAGATCTCTTTGACTATCAAATACCCTAACTATCTTGAAACCAGCATGTGAAACGTTATCTCTGACTATCTTATACCAATTGACTATCTTGAAACCAGCATGTGCAGCTTTATCTCTGACTATCTTGTACCAATTGACTATCTTGAAACCAGCATGTGCAGCTTTATCTCTGATTATCAAAGTACCTTGACTATCTTGAAACCAACATTGAAACTATATTTCTGACTATCTAGTACCTTGTCTATCTTGAAACCAGCATGTGAAACTATATCTCTGACTATCTAGTACCTTGACTATCTTGAAACCAGTATGTGAAACTATATCTCTGACTATCTAGTACCTTGACTATCTTGAACCCAGCATGTGAAACTATCTTTCTGACAATCTAGTACCTTGACTATCTTGAAACCAACATGTGAAACTATATCTCTGACCATCTAGTACCTTGACTATCTTGAACCCAGCATGTGAAACTATATCTCTGACTATCAGTACCTTAACTATCTTGAAACCAGCATGTGCAACTATATCTCTGACTATCTGGTACCTTGACTATCTTGAACCCAGCATGTAAAACTATATCTATGACTATCTAGTGCCTTGACTATCTTGAAACCAGCATGTGAAACTATATCTCTATCTAGTACCTTGACTATCTTGAAACCAGCATGTGAAACTATATCTCTTACTATCGGCATAATTTGAGCCGGAAACTGCCACTCCTCCTCTTGAAGCCCTAGAATAATTTAAGCTTAAAAATTTAACAGGGAAAAAAAGTTGGCTCCGTTTTTGATTGAGATATTCAACTAGATTTATTATAATCATGACTGTATGGAATATAATTAATATGTGTTGGGTATTTTCCAAAAGGCATTTACCCACGTTCTTTTCACAGCACTGAATTTAAACCAATTAGTAGATATTTGCATGGTTGTAAACGTAAATAATGATGTTAGGTACTTTCCCAAAGCTATTTTCCCAAGTGGGAACTTCCCCAGAGTGGCAAGTTCCCAAATTTGTAATTTCTAAAGCGGTAACTTCCCAAAGTTTAAGATAGGGATTCTGAGGTGCGGCAGGCTGCAATGGGGCGGAGTGTTTCGGCTAGGATGGGCTAGGGGGCCGAGCCCTGCAGTTAGTACAGACTTGGGAAGTTGCTGCTTGGGATATTGCACATTTGTGAAGTTGTCACTAGGGAAAATACCCTTTGGAAGTTGCCACTACGTTTAGAAAAGTACCTAAAATCATTATTTACTTGTACAACTATACATATATCTACTAATTGGTTTAAATACAGTGCTGTGTAATGAAAAAGGATAAAAAGAATCTTGTCCTGGTAAGAATTCAAACTAACTTGAAATTCAATACAAGCAAGGTACAACGTAAGGTAAGTACATCTTTCGATGTACAGTTTAAAACATGTACAATATTGTACTACATGCAGGGTACCTGCACATGGTGGGTCATCGTACTGTTTATCTGGTGGTAAAAACACGTGGAAAGGAGGAACACCAGGAAACAAGGATTCACGTAATCGACATTTTCTAGTTTCCATTCTCTAGTTTCTACTCCAGGTACTACTATAGAGTACTCTAGGTTCTACTCAGGGTATAGCAGTTCACTTAACAGTGTTCAAACCGCTACTGGAGTCTGTATTTCAACATGAGTTTGCTCAAATGAGCAAATATTTATCACAAATTGGAAATTAACTTGTGCATAAGATAATTTTTTTTTAATTCGAAAAAAAAATTGTATTCCATTTTTTCAATTCTTTTCAAACACGTGCTTTCCCCTACGGAGTTGACCCTGGCAGCTAGCCAGCTAATCTCGGTTCAGGGGTCAATCTACCAGAATATTATACCTGACTTTATTTAATATATAAAACGAACATAGTTTAAATGATTTTAAAATGTAAATCAAAGGAAAAACTTTTATCTTTTGTACAATAAAACATCCTTGTAAGTTTTCAATAAAAAATATTAATCGTAGGAAAGCTTTGATCAGGATTAATGATTAGAGGTCAACAGGATTTATAAATTCAATTTTAAATACCTAAATTAATGTAGGATATATCTTATTCCTGTAGAGGCTAAATACTTTTCCCGAACTCTGATTTTCTAAACCTTATATCTGTACAACCTGATATCGTAGACCTTCAATATTTTAAACTGCACCTTGAGGTTTCAATTATAAAACTAGCTCACACCATCAGGTTTCAAATATAAAAACTAGCTGACACCATCAGGTTTCAAATATAAAAACTAGCAGACACCATCAGGTTTCAAATCTAAAAACTAGCTGACACCATCAGGTTTAAAATATAAAACTAGCTGACACCATCAGGTTTAAAATATAAAAACTAGCTGACACCATCAGGTTGCAAATATAAAAACTAGCCGACACCAACAGTTTTCAAATATAAAAACTAGCTAAAACCATCAGGTTTCAAATATAAAAACTAGCTGACACATCAGGTTTCAAATATAAAAACTAGCTGACACCATCAGGTTTCAAATATGAAACCTAGCTGACACCATCAGGTTAGAAATATAAAACCTATCTGACACCATCAGGTTACAAATATAAAACCTATCTGACACCATCAGGTTACAAATATAAAACCTAGCTGACACCATCAGGTTACAAATATTAAAACTTGTACCTTCCGGCTCTAGCACAGGGATCCAAAGGTTGCAAAGGACTGAAGTAAAAATTTGATTAGAATGCTGCCAATTATCTTTCAAAACTAAAGTTAAAAAGTGCTTTTTAGTTCTAGAATGTCCATGTTCAGGGCTACACAAAAATTCTGAATGAGTTAGTGAATTAGAATCAATGGTCTAGGAATTGTATCACCTTCAAGTTGACCCGGTCTAGAAAATTGATGCAACTTTTTTCAGCTGTCTGGATCATACGTGGACATTTTAGGAAAATTAAGGTCAGACAGACATTGGATTGAACAGATTTAGGGATTAGAAAATTAGAGGTTGTGACAAAAGCTCAATTCCTTTAACTCATTTCAGTTAAAGTACCAAATCTAACTCTTGAAAGTTTGATTAATTTATTTTATTATTCATAAAAATTACGTTAATAACATATTTTAAATCAAAATGCATTGTACCAATGCACCCCCCCCCCCTCCTTTAATTTTATCTTTAGCACTTTTAAAAGAAGATTTTTAAGCAATTATGTGTTCTAAAGCAGACAGTCTATACCAGCTTGAAAATCGGCTTATTAAAATCTAAGTGAAATCTAATAATTCTTGTGTGAATGTTCACCTTAGACTATTAAGATGTGACCGGTCAACAATTATGATTTTATGAATGTACGTTAGATTGAAACCCATTAAATCGCGCAAAGAGTGAAAACTGCTCGATATCTTTTCAATAACTACTCGATAATCAATAAGTTCAGTTTTCGCTGGAATTCCATCTCTATTAAATTCTTAGTTTGGGTTTCTAGGAGGACGACCTTTAAACAAAGCATGAATTGGTTCACAAAAGGAGCTATAAGATAATATGGTATTGGGGCATTTCATAGAAAGACATTTTATAGATAACAAAATCATAGATTGGGAATTTGATAAACAAGACATTTCATAGAAAAAGAAATTCATAGATAGGACATTTCATAGATAGGACATTTCATAGATAGGACATTTCATAGAAAGGACATTTTATAGGTAGGGCATTTCATAGAATGGAACATTTCATTGATTGGACATTTCATAGATAGGACATATTATAGGTAGGACATTTCATAGATGGGATATTACAGAGATAGGACATTTCATAAATAGAATAGGACATTTCATAGAAAGAACATTCCATAAATAGGACATTTCATAGATAGGACATTTTATAGGTAGGACATTTCATAGATGGGACATTTCATAGAAAGAACATTCAATAAATAGGACATTTTATAGATAGATAGGCCATTTCACAGATAGGACATTGCTTTTGAAACCAGAGAAAAGTAAAATTTCCAATCAATTGTAATTTTTTTGAAATAATAGACAATATTTAAAAGAAACGTAGTAATTTTCATTTTCTTTTCTCAATTTGTTGAGACACGAAGAATGTCGATAAAAACGAACATTATACAGTTTGTTTTTAAAAATCTGATTGTTTATAAATATATATTGTTACCAGACGAGCCTCCAGTTTAATGGGTGCGACGTGTACGGAAATTCTGCACCTCAGACAAAATGAAAAATCAAACATTCTCCTTGGATTTATGAGACCGTCCTGAGAACTCACGAACCTTAGGCTAGATATGTTCTCCGAGTATACTAGGAGATACCTAGGGGTTCTAAACTAATCACTTCGAGTATACCAGGAGAAACAGGGGTTTTAAAATATACTCTCCGGGTATACCAAGATATACAGGGGTTCTAAACTATAATCTCCGGGTATACTAGGAGATACATGGGGTCCTAAACTATAATCTCCGGGTATACCAGAATATACAGGGGTTCTAAACTATAATCTCCGGGTATATCAGGATATACAGAGGTTCTAAACTATAATCTCCAGTTATATCAGGATAAACAGAGGTTCTAAACTATTCTCTCCGGGTATATCAGGATATAAAGGGGTTCTAAACTTTAATCTCCGGGTATATCAGGATGTACAGAGGTTCTAAACTATAATCTCCGGGTATATCAGGATATACAGGGTTTCTAAACTATAATCTCCGGGTATACCAGGATATACAGGGGTTCTAAACTATACTCTACGGGTATACCAGGATATACAGGGGGTCTAAACTATAATATCCGGGAATATCAGGATATACAGAGGTTCTAAACTATAATCTCCGGGTATACCAGGATATACAGGGGTTCTAAACTATAATCTCCGGGTATATCAGGATATACAGAGGTTCTAAACTATAATCTCCGGGTATACCAGGATATACAGGGGTTCTAAACTATAATCTCCGGGTATATCAGGATATACAGGGGTTCTAAACTATAATCTCCGGGTATACCAGGATATACAGGTGTTCTAAACTAATCTCTGCGGGTATATCAGGATATACAGAGGTTCTAAACTATAATCTCCGGGTATACCAGGATATACAGAGGTTCTAAACTATACTCTACGTGTATATCAGGATATACAAGGGGTTCTAAACTATTCTCTCCGGGTATATCAGGATATACAGGGGTTCTAAACTATAATCTCCGGGTATATCAGGATATACAGAGGTTCTAAACTATAAACTCCGGGTATACCAGGAAATACAGAGGTTCTAAACTATAATCTCCGGGTATACCAGGATATAGAGAGGTTCTAAACTATAATATCAATTTCTTTGATTATCATCTTCCACGCAACCAAGAACTTGTTTTCTACCCGATTCGGTTTTCTCGGGACACCCTGTACAGGATTCTATGCTTGAGAGTTAGTGACGGTTTATATCTACCCCTGGTTTACTTAGACTTAGGAGTGAGGAATTGATAAATTTCTTTGGTTTTAAATTCAGTTCTCTAAGTTCATCAGAGCTCAAGTACATCTAGTCAAAATAATGCAGGATCGCGTGTTTCTAACATGGGTAAGTGATAATTCAACAGTGTTTAATAGGTTTACAGGGCGCTTCGAGTCCGTGTAGTTCTGGTAATATTGTGATATTAACCTTCTTAGTTTTTTGTCGCTAATCTATCTGTAAGCCTTTTGAAAATTAAAACAATACAAATTTGGCATTGCCCTCTATCTTTACATTGGAATTACGCGCGTACAGTCCTTTCAAACAATTGTAATCTATTCCGAATACTTTGCTTTCACATTTTTTAGAAATATATTTGTTTTCTCTTCAGATAAGACTCAACGTTATCAAAGAGTACTTTTCAAAATTTCAAAAATATTAATTTTAAAAATTGAACCATGGTCAGCGCTACAATTTCTAAAAGGGTGTATTTTTGGGACACCCTGTATTATTTTTGGTTTTATGTTACGCATATTAGATAATTAGATATTTTTGGGTTTATGTTACGCATGTTAGATAATTAGATATTTTTTTCAAGCTTTGATATTTAGATTTTAGATAAAATATTTCTGAACTCAATGTGTAAAGAAACCCTGTAAAAAGTTCTAAAGAAAAATTTGATTAAAATTTTATTTGTTGAAAAGAAAATCAAAGGTTTTCGTGATACGAAGCTGGGAAAAACTATTTTTCTTCCAGTGTTTGCTGGAATGCACGTATTGCATATTTTAAAATGTAATTCAAATATTTGAAATTCAGAAGTCAGTCCTACCCTCGCTTTTCGAGAACTTGCTGGGCATAGAGACAGGAGGGGATAGTATAGAGAGGGATGGGAGTATGGAGAGGGATGGGAGTATAGAGAGGGATAAGAGTATAGAGAGTGATGGGAGTATGAAGAGGGATGGGAGTATAGAGACTAGGGGAGTATAGAGAGGGATGGGAGTATAGAGACTAGGGGAGTATAGAGAGGGATGGGAGTATAGAGAGGGATGGGAATATAGAGAGGGATGGGAGTATAGAGAGGGATGGGAATATAGAGAGAAACAGGTTATGAGAGAGACTGAACAGGTTATGAGAGAGACTGAACAGGTTATGGGAGAGACTAACAGGTTATGAGAGAGACTGAACAGGTTATGAGACTGAACAGGTTATGAGAGAAACAGAAAATTATTAATGCAACATATTTCCAGATTTTTCTCTTAATTTTGGAACCTGGATGCTTTTTGACATCAGATCAATTAACAGATAAGGTAAGGACGACATATTTTCAAAATTTCAGTTTGCAAAACTTTGAATTAAAATTAATAAACACCGATTAAAATATAAAAGTAAATATTTATAATTAATTAAATTTACCTTTAAACTAAGTAGTAAGTATAACTCTTGTATGCTGAGTCCATTAGCGCCTGATCCAATCAGGGTTCAGTCATGTGTTCTGAACCAATAGAAATAGTATGGCAGTAACCTCTATCTTTCTTTCTCTCTCATTATCCAATCAGAGTTATAAATCCTTCAATCGGCGCTATCACTTCATGGAAATATTTACTTCTGCTGAAACTATAGTGAGTAAATGATTACATTTAAATTTCTCTAACTATCAGAGGTGTTTATATAAATCAGGTTGCAAAAATATCCGAATTTTTAGTTTAAACTATCAATGGTTTATACGGAATATTGGGCTGAAAAGATGGATTAGATAATCACAGTTTTGAGCAAAGACTCAACTCTTTTACCAATTTACTATAGACATACAAGTAAAATTAAAACATAAAGGAACTGAGCTTTTGCCACAAACTAACATCTTCTAACCAATTTAATTTTCAAATCTGAAGGTCTAAACATTTGATATTTTTTTTACAGAATTCCTAATTTGAAATATCAATGGTCTACAACAATTGGTTGCAAAGATCAGAAAATCAGAGTTTGTGGCAAAAACGCACTTCCTTTTCATTTAGAAATTAGAAAAGAATTTGGATAAGTTGGCAAAATTTTTCCTTTTTATGTTTGTACGTCAGATTTGTTTCTCTCAGTGATTATAAACTTTTAATGGGGTTTTGGCTTTTCTTAATTATTTAAATCTTCATTTTCTTTTTAGTTTTTTACTCCTGCTGACGTGAACTGGGAGAAACATTGGGAGCATTTTGAAGATCATAACATTAGGTAAAAAAGTGTTTTTTCTTAATACTTTTTGTTTCGTGAAAAAATATAAATATAATGAGATTTATTTTTAGTTCTTTCAGTTTAATTTTCTTTTTCAGTGAATCCTTATAAAGTAAATGGTTTCTTTTATAAACTTTTCTTTTGATTCTTTTTATTGAAGTATTTAATTAAATTTTACTTTAATATATTTGCTCAGGGTCCCAGATATATTTTCTGATGAGGGATCCAGGAGTGAAACATCAAGAGGGTTTAAGAACCCATTTCAACAAGAGAAGCAGAATGATATTCGTAATCCAGAAAATTTAATTAATTCAGTGCAATCATTGTTAAATCCTTACCATCAACCCGATTACATTCAACTACAACAATACCAGCATCAGAACCGTCCTAATCAACTACATCAAGAACAGCATCAGAACCGTCCTAATCAACTACATCAAGAACAGCATCAGAACCGTCCTAATCAACTACATCAAGAACAGCATCAGAACCGTCCTAATCAACTACATCATGAACAGCATCAGAATTCTTCAAAACAAAACCAGGACCAGCGATTAAATGATTTCTTTTCATATCAGCAACAATCAGTCGAAAAATATATCCCCCATAATCAAAGTGATTATTATGAAGAATATAATCATCAGGAACCTCTTTTATCTCATCCGGAACCCCAACAAAATTATCAGGAACATCTTCAACAGCATTGGGAACCCCATCCACATCAGGAACCCCTTCAACTTCATCAAGAACCGCTTCAAAGGCATCAGGAACACAAGCAACATTATGAGGAACCCAATCAAGATTATCTGGAACCCAGTCAACATTATCAGGAACTCCGTCAAAATTATCTGGAACCCCGTCAACATCATCAGGAACCCTATCAACAGCATCAGGAACCCAGTAAACATTATCAGGAATCCTGGCAACAATATCAGGAACCTCTTCCACAGCATCAAGAACCCCGTCAACAACATCAGGCATCCTGGCAACATTATCAGGAAGATCAGCCTTTACCATTCCTTCAAGAGATTCAGCGTAAAGATTATCTGGACCAAGAAATACCTCCGGAGCAAAATATATTTTCAACAATTTCCAGAAAAATTTCTCCTTGGCCTTTTCAACACGAAAACCCCCCAGGAGTGAAGTCTGATAATGAGGACAGATTTACGGAGCTCCAGAAATATCTTGAACCTGATCTAAGTCCGGAGACGACATATTCTCAGTACCGCGTCAAACAACAATTCGACCCTGAGACAGATCTGAACCAGAGACCTTATCAAATGAACGCTTTTGCAGGTTTAGGTTTAGATAACGAATATGTTTCAAGTGTTGGAATGATCCAAGAGCAAATTAAATTGTTCCAGGAGAACCATCCCGGTCGGCAGAATGGATTCAGAGTAACACTTAGGCAACCTCATCCGTCCTATATTCAACAGAGAAGAAAGGAGGACAAGAACACATTAGAATTTCAACCTCATGACTATGAGGTCAAATCCATTTCTGATAATAAGCATTATCAGACGCCGACAGTATCTGATATAAAACCTTATTCACAAGTTTTGCCAGAGGCATTTAATACAAAATCTGAGATATTTCCACAGTTTAAGCCTTTACCGTCGATTTATAACAACTATGACCAGCTAACACCACAAGCCCCCGTGCTAAACCAATATCCTGGAGCAGGATCGAATCCTTACTGGACAACAGGAAGGGAGGAAGAGAAGAAGAACGAACAGCTTCGTTATCAGTTACATTTATGGATTTCAAACCAAGATCAAGAATCAGATGATTTTGTAAAGGGTACAATTAAAATTTCATCTTTAGAAGAAACCCCAACAAATGAAAAAATAAAATTTGAAGAGGAGACGTTAAAAACAACTGAAGAGGGGGGGAAAGTGGATACAGATATTCTACAACTATCCCAGATCCCTGAAGTTGGTTTAAAAATTGAAAAACTTGGTAAGTTTAAATTTAAAAGAATTAAAATGTAAATTAGAAAATAATTGAATTCCAAATTCAATCCAAAAAATATTTTTTTCAAATGGCACGATGATTTGCGTTGGGATGAGATCATGGAAAATTGTTTTATAAAAAAAAATAAGAAATTGAAAACTCAATGAAAACAATTGCTTTTTTCAAGAATTTTAAACTATCGTTTCGTTAGTTTTATCATTAGTTAATAAAAGGTTTGTTAGTTTTGAAAATAGTAAATATTTAATTAATCCTTAATTAAAGACTGAAAACAGTGGCTTATCAAGAATCTTACCATTCATAATTAATCTGTCATAAACGAGAATAAGACAAATCTTTGGCATTTTTATTGCAAGCCTCTTCTGTAGAAGTTCGACTATGAGTTCGACTATAACCTAGAAGTCCTTAATGTCCTGGCTCCTGATTGTCAACATTTTAATATTAAGATACCGGATCTTGCAATCTATAAATTATTATTGTTCTTAAAGGGACTTGTCCTTGTAAATCTAAGGCCCCTAAATTTAAAGAGAACATACCAAATTTACATCGGTATCCTTGAAACCTTACTTGGATCAATACTAAATTGTGTCGTTTTCCTTCCTGACAAATTGTTTAACTCTGTTCAATTCTCGATTGTTTCCAAAGCAATAAAAATAAATAGATTTTAAAACAAAAAAGGATATGTGATTCATACTATAAAAAACAACGTTTTTAAGGGCACCGTTGTGAATCGGACATGCCACTTTATGGAAATTCACATAAATTTATGTTACAGTCCCTTTATTTAATAAGTCACTCAGGATCTCGATGACGGTTCCCTTGTGAAACCAAGCATATTGTAACAACATACTTTTTAGAATTTAGAACCAAACATATTGTAACAACATACTTTTTAGAATTTAGAAACCAAACATATCGTAAAAACATACTTTTTAGAACTTGGAAACCAAACATATTGTAACAACATACTTTTTAGAACTTGGAAACCAAAGCACAGAGACAAGTATTGAGGAGGTACAAACTACAAAGTAAGGATTTCCATAACTTGCTTTAAATAAATTAAAGGAATTGAGTCTTTTTCACACATTTTAATCTTTGCCACAATTTTAATCTTTGCAACACAATGAAGTAAAACTTAGATATTGAAAGTATGACTTCTGTTAGATCTAATAATATATGTTTACACCTACTGGCAAGGATTTAATTCCTTTAACAAAAATAATTAATAACTAAGTATGACATATCGCATAACATATTAACAGAACGGTAGGCTATATAACATTTTTTTTTGAATTCATATCATATAAAAAATCCTGCCTAGGTTCTCCTTTGGAAGTATTGAATCTGATAAAACCTTGGATGTTGTGAACCTGGAGATATCAGGGGGCACTGAACCCGATTTTGGCAACCTCAACCCCATTGATGTTGAGAACCTTGAACAAGTAGAATTAATCAATGACAACACTATAGATCAAGAAGAGGAAGAGGAAGGATCTACTGTCGAGGAATCAGAACCTTTAAATGTAAACATTGCTGATCAAGATGAACTGATAGGGGATACTAGAGAGAATAAAGATGAACCCACTGATGCCGCAAGCGAAAAGCAAGATGAACCTTTTAACGACAAGATCATGAACCAAGGGGAATTCAGCATGACACTGGAGAAAGATGATTTTGATAAGAATAACATAGAGCCTTACATACTTGTAAATGACACGAGAACACAGCAAGACGAATCATTAAATCTAGAATTAATGAAACAAATCATGATTTTTGAGAACAATCTTTTCGATAAACCTTTTATCAACAAGACTCTGGAGAAGGAACAATTTATTGATAATTATTTAGATGAAGAAAACCTTTTCAATGACATAAAAGAGCAAGAAGAGTCCGGTGATAACAACTCAGAATTAATTCAACCTCATGATGATCAAGTTTTGAAGCCAGAAGTACATTTAAGTCAAGAAGAAGCTAGTAACACACTAAAGGTGGAAGCTTTTAATGAAGAAGATGTTAAAGCAGAAGAACAAATTATCGACAATATGACTAAAGAATCATTTAGTTCAGAAATGAATGTCAAGCAAGGATTTACCATTGATAAGAATAACCTGTACGATGAGGAACCTGTAAAAGCTGAAATTACAATTGATAAAACTAAACCCAATTTAGAGACTTTAGATATTGAAATGATACCTGAGCCAGAGAAACTGATAAATTCTCAGACGTCCAAGATACATTTAACTCCAGATGCATCCCAAGAACTGATAAGTCCTGATGGCTCCGAGAAACGTCTGAGCCAGATATCAAATATCAGTTTTCCCGAGAGGTTACAACTTCCTAGCCAAGCGTTATTCAGAAACGATAATTTCTCAAAAACATTAGAACGTCTGAGCAATCAGAGCTTTACAACTTCTGATGGAATATTTAGCAATAAAAGCAATATGGTGAACATAGACAGCTCTGATAGTTTTCCAGGCCTATTAGGAAGCTTTGGTGAAGAGGCAGCATTCTCAAACAATGTAGATCATGTTGAACTGATAAACAGAGAGAGTTCCAAGGATGAGTTTGGGATTTCAGAACAAGAGGTATTTCCTGATCCTAGTCAAGCTAAACTGAACAATTTAACGCTGAAACTTGTCGAAGACAATACTCAATCTGAATCCAGAGAAAGGAATTTCTCCGACTCTGCAAATATCAAATTACCAATCAAGGAGAAATCAACAATTTTAAACCAAGAGTCTGAAAGCATGAAAAACCTTAACCTGGAGATTCCGAACCTGGATTACTTAAACCTTTTCCAGTTTATCTTCAACCGACCAACGTTCCAAAACTTTGACATAAATATGCCTGGTTCCAAATCAAACAAAGATATTGAAAACATTGGAAGTTTTGCAGTAAATAAATCTGTCCTGGAGAAATTAGAGATCAGGGAAACAACTCAACCATTTCCTATAGATCTAATACACCCGGAGATTAATCCTTTCAAGATAAACCAATCCTCAGACACAAAACAAAGCTCCGGAAATAACCGTTTCATTAGAGGAGAAAATAAAAAGTCTGAGCTGAACCAAGAACCACAAATAATTGAAGCAATACAAATTCCAACCCAGAGTCAAAGAAAACATTCAATTCAACTTGGAAGCTTAAACCCAGCTCTAGGTAGAAGTATTTTCTCTTTGATTTATAATTATCCAGTTGTAGTGTATGCTTTCAAAACTTCGGGACAATTACATATAAAGGGTTTCAACACAATATGCAATATTTAGATTTAGTCAAGATATGATTGTAAATATGAATTTATCAACAATTTATCATGAGAAAATTTAAACAAACTTGTTTTATCTTTATAAGGGAGTATTTTCAAAATTGAAAAAATTTGTCCGTTAACAATTGATATGTAGTTTTGTAAGATATATAATTTAATCATGGAAATCATTTGAAAATGAATTATTTCTTTTAAATAATATTCTTTTTACATTTTTGTTTTTTAGACTGCAATGTGGATGATGTTTGGCCCTGCAATTTAATTCAGGCAATTTTTTAAAAATAATTAAAAAAATTATTTTATTAATTTTTGTTTGTCTTGCTTCGAAACACATTCATTTTGTACTTCACGTTGAAAACACATTTTATTTGTAAATAGTTAATCCAACATCCTTCAATGATTTTTACAGAGGGGCATGTACAATTCACAATATTTATCTGAGTAAACATGAGGATGATATTGTCGTGTTTATATTGTCACTTTAACCCTAGAAAGGCTGGAGGGTCTGAATCTATGTATAGCAAGGGGGGGTGTCCCATGCCCCCCCCCCCCTAGAAAATTAGGTCTTAGAGAATAGGCATAGGGTTGAATTGCATGTTTATATCCCAATTTTTCAATGCCAGCTCATTGAAAAAAATTGAAAAAAATGGCAAAAAAATGGTCAAAAAAATTTGTTCAAACAAATATTAAAGTGTGAAACATTTTTAAAGGACTTTTCAAAAATGTAGCTTTTAGAGCTCTAGCTTTAGTCACAAAAAAGTTGTGGGCTATTTTTGATTTTTTTAACACAGACCGGACTTTTTACCGCCCTGTACCCTACCCTATGCATTAAAAAGAATGTTTTTACAAATAATCCTTTAAATTTCTACTCATGTTAGGTTAATGTGTTCTCCTGTAGGTTTGTTTGTAAATAAACAAAACCGGTTCTCCAGCTATAAAAGATGTGTCCCGAGATGAAATTTTAGAATAAGATATCTTCTATTGCTTAATCTAAATATCCACTGTGAACACTTTTGATTTCTGCTAAATCAGCTCTTTTCCCCTCTTTTTAGGTATTCCTATTGTATTCCGACCAATGAGAGTTCTCTCATCAAATGGCGCGCAAAATTTAAAATTAATTTTGAGTTCAGATACAGTGGGATTCGAAAACTGTTTAATAGGAAGACGACTGTCATGAATATGAAACGCAGCAGTTGTGCAGGATACCCAGAATAAGGAAATTAAGTTGATTTTAAAGCCACTGAAGTTAAACTGTATGCTGCTTTATAACGACATCTATTGCTTATGTGTGGAATTTCCTATTCCACAGTTTTTTAAGTACCACTGTAGTATCTGTAGGATTTTGAGTAATAAATGAATAAGGTTTTGTATAAACATGCTCTTGGAGGATATATTTAATTCTTTATTCTGAAACTTGTTTTGATATATCCTCCCATTACTAGTTTCCCCCCCTTTTATCTGGAGTATAAAATTTGATACAGAGACAATACAGAGATGAAAGATAAATAAGAGAACCTGGAGAAACAGCTCTTCACAATATTGGTTTTAAACCAGGGTTTGAACCAGAAAAATAGAAGAAAAAATATTAGACATTAACTTTCAAAACATCATTTTTTTCAATTGTGGTATCGCTACTAAAGTGACATGAATATTTTTGGTACGACGATACCTACCGCATTATTTAAGAGAACCGTTGTAAATCGGGCAAACGAATCTTGAAACTAGTTCCTTTAATATTCTAGGAAACGACATCATTTAACAAAACATGTTTTTAGGGAGAAGGAAGTGGAAATTTTGGAACAGATTTAAATATCCAACACGTCAACCGCGACTCAGATATCAAGGATTACGGGTCTAGTTCAGATATCCAGAAGTACGACTTTAACTCAGATATCCAGGATTACAATTCTAACTCAGATATCAAGGATTACAATTCTAACTCAGATATCCAGGATTACAATTCTAACTCAGATATCCAAGATTACAATTCTAACTCAGATATCGAGGCTTACAATTCTAACTCAGATACACAGACGTACGAACCCAACTCTGATATATATGATTATCAATATGATACAAATATTAAAAGTTTCGCATCAGAATACGATTTTCATGATAATCACCCCCTCCTAGACCCGAGCTCCAATATCCTAGACCCGAGCTCAAATATCCTAGACCCGAGCTCAAATATCCAAGATTTCTCAGACTTTCCATTTAAGTCTGGCTTTCCTCTAGATATTAGAAATAGTGGTTTCAACTCAAGATTTAGCTCTGATGTCCAGGATGCTGAGTTCTTCTTCAACCCAGATCCAAGCCCTGAGAAGGACGAATTAAGCTTGGAGAATTTTCCAAATTTCTTGGAATATGATTTCAATCCGAAATCTAACTCCGAACTGGAAGAAAATTTGAACTTTTATCCTTCCAACAAATCTACATCTTTATCCAGGTAAGCTTTAAAATATAATAATTTCTTTAATTAATAGTTTAAAGACTTATTTTCAAGTGACCCTTCATTTATAGAGTAGCATATCCGATTCACAACGGTACCCTGTATACATTTATCTGATTAAAAAATTAGGAAAATTAAATTTGCGTTTTTTTGTTGAAAGACAAAAGTTAAAATTATATTGTTGAGAATTTTACATTCCTCTCTAAGTAAATGGGGGGAGAATTGAAATAACAACGGAAGAATTATATTTTTTTTCAGTGATTTTGATGGGAATGATTCGGAGCAAACTTTATCTCCGGGAACTAAACCTGGAATTGAACTGAGCTCTTTGATGAACCATCCTCAAGATATGTATTCTGGTTCAGAAATCAACGATGGGTTGGATACTCAGACCAATATAATTTCTAACAACTCTCTCAATAACGACCTCATCTACACGATCACTGCTTCTGATAATGAACCCAGTAGAGCTCTTCTCAATACAGTTTCTGACACTGAACCCAGTAGAGCTCTTCTCAATACAGTTTCTGATACTGAACCCAGTAGAGCTCTTCAAAATACAGTTTCTGATACTGAACCCAGTAGAACTCTTGTCAATATAGTTTCTGATACTGAACCCAGTAGAGCTCTTCTCAATACAGTTTCTAATACTGAACCCAGTAGAGCTATTCTCAATACAGTTTCTGATACTGAACCCAGTAGAACTCTTCTCAATACAGTTTCTAATACTGAACCCAGTAAAGCTCTTCTCAATACAGTTTCTTATACTGAACCCAGTAGAGCTCTTCTCAATACAGTTTCTTATACTGAACCCAGTAGAACTCTTCTCAATACAGTTTCTGATACTGAACCCAGTAAAGCTCTTCTCAATACAGTTTCTGATACTGAACCCAGTAAAGCTCTTCTCAATAAAGTTTCTGATACTGAACCCAACTCTTCTCCGGATTCTCCACCCAACCCTGTTTCTAATTTTGAAGCCAACAATTCTCCGGTTACATCTCAACCACTAGTTTCTAATGTTGACCCGGTTATCTTGTCATACACTGGTTCTGATGTTGAATCCCTATCTACGCTGGGTTCTCCAAGAGTTCCTAAATTTTCCAATCTTTTGACTAAGGATCCTCTGAACCCTGGAGTTGTTTTCTATCAAGATATCCCTAGATGGGAGGAGGAATCTTTCCCCCAGTACTTCCCAAGATACTAGGATTAACCCTTCCCTTCCTTATCTTGTCGACCTTCCAAACCTTCCAATCTTCCAGTCTTATTTCTTTTTATAGCCTTCTAACTTTCCAACCATCCAACCATATCCTTTTTCCAACCTTAGCAACGATTGAACCTTCCAATCCTATTCCCTCCAAGAATCCAACCTTCCAATCCTATTCCTTCAAAAAATGCAACATTCTAATCCTATTCCTTCCAAGAATCCAACCTTCAAATCCTATTCCTTCCAAGAATCCAACCTTCCAATCCTATTCCTTCCAAGAATCCAACCTTCCAAGTTCCAATCTTCAACCTTCCCTCTTCACAAAGAGTTGAATGTGATTCTTCTAAATAAAATATAATAATATTCAATACAAATTGCTAAATAAAAATTCATTCAATTTTTTTATGAAAACTGTGGTTTATGTTCTGAAAATTAAATCATGGAAGATAAATTAGAGGCATGATATAAATAGCAAAAAGAAAAAAATATTATTATGAAATAACTAAAAAAAAGAGAATAAGAAGAAAAATGCCGAACTAAAAAAAAAATTTAAAGAAAAATTGATATCTGAGAAAAGTAAATCAGAGTAATGAGAGCACGTAATTTCTAAATTATAGATTTATCAGATATATTTAAGATATAGATATATTTGAGATATTGTGTCAATATAGAGAAAATATATCTTCTTGATTGATTTTACAGAAAACAATCTCGAATCATCTAAATAATCCTCGCTTCAATCTTTACAAACAAAAATAAGGGAAATAAAACATGAAACAGATTTATTACAACTTATTAGAGAGAATTATAGACTTCTTACCCCGGACTAACCAGAGTTTCTATTTGAATTCATATGAGGTTTGGTCTATAATTAAACAATCTTTAAACTTACGGATTTGTTTGACTGTTCATTCAAAAAGTATATACCGGCAAAAAAAGTAAAAGAAAAAAGGCAAAAAAAATTATGTTTAACAAGTCAAATTATGATTGAAAGTCACAACTTTCTGGAATATTTACAAAACCGTTAAATCCACGTGTTAATTCTAGATAGGACAAATTATGTCATCAACACAATCAAACATTTCTTGGACAGTGTACATGTACACTGTACAGTGTCCGTGTACACTGTACAGTGTCCGTGTAGACTGTACAGTGTCCGTGTACACTGTACAGTGTCCGTTTTTCCTTTTTTGTACTGCTAAAGGTAAAGGTGCTACGGTCCAATTTACATGAATGAAGAAGCTGAAAAATATTAAGATTACCGGTTTAAAGTGATCCTCAATTAATAGTGTGGCATTTCATATTCACATCGGTACCCTTTAAACCTTGGTCAAAGCTAAATATTGAGTGGGAGGAAACCGAGCTGTGCCAGGGTATTAGGTACAGACACAGCAGACACTCTATGCGTATGAAAGTAAGAAAAATAAGAATATCTCCTTTCTAACTGATCAGACAATGATTTAAAGGTGCTGTTGTGAATATGATGTGCAATTTAATAAATAGAGAGAGAACCGCTTTAATTACTACTGTCCATTTAAGAAATATTCTTAATACATTTATGGTTTGACAATAGTTTTTGTGTAGTTTTCTTTATGAAGATAAATGAGAAAAAATTGATATTTTCTCTCTCCGACAAAAACTCATTTGATGCATGATTAGGTTTATCCGAACCTGAAACGTAGTATATTACAATATAGCCGGAGCAGAGACACGTTCTTATTTTCTTCTCCCAAACCTGTCCTTCCTTCTTCTCTCCAACACGTCGTATTTTCTTCTCCCCAACCCGTCCTACATTCTTCTCCCCAACCCGTCCTACATTCTTCTCCCCAACCCGGCCTACCTTCTTTTTTACAACACGTTCTTCCTTTTCCTCTCCAACCCGTCTTATTTTCTTCTCTCCAACCTGGCCTACCTTCTCTCCCCGACCTGTCTTATTTTCTTCTCCCCAACCCGTCGTACCTTCTTCTCCCCAACCCGCCCTACCTTCTTCTCCCAAACCCGTCCTACCCACTTCTCCCCAACCCATCCTACCTGTGTCTCTTAACCCCGTCCTACCCTCTTTTCCCCAGACCATCCTACCTTCTTCTCCTCAACCCGTCCTACCTTCTTCTCCCCAACCCGTCCTACCTTCTTCTCCTCAATCCGTCCTACCCTCTTCTCCCCAACCCGTCCTAACCTCTTCTCCTCAACCCGTCCTACCTTCTTCTCCCCAACCCGTCCTACCTTCTTCTCCTCAACCCGTCCTACCCTCTTCTCCCCAACCCGTCCCACCCTCTTCTCCTCAACCCGTCCTACCTTCTTCTCCCCAACCCGTCCTATTATCTTCTCCCCAACCCGTCCTTCCTTCTTCTCCGCAACCCGTCCTACCTTCTTCTCCTCAACCCGTCCTACCTTCTTCTCTACGCACCCGCCGACGCGAGGTCATACAAGCTTCTTAGATATTCACAGGGTCACCTATATGGGATGAGATTTCAAAGACATATTTATTGCTGTCCTCTTCTTTCATTTTCTTTTATCATTCTTTTTTATCGAATGTTCAAACAAACATGAAAACTTAACTATTTAATTTTTTAATAGTCCAGATCGTCTTTGAAGTCTCATTCTTTGTTGATAACCTTGCAAATATTTAATTCTAAGGGCTACTGCTATGATACCAATTTTAAATCTGGGCTAGGATATAAAAACTTTAGAAAATATTTATGGGAAAAGTATGATGTATGCAATCTCAGTTTAATTTGATGAATTTATTATTCATAAACCCTTCCCTATCCACCTAACCTCCCTCTCCATGCTCACCTCCCCCTTACCTCCCCGCTCTCTCCTCTCCCCCCAGAACAGATTTACTGTGATAAATAGACCTAATATTCTTCCGGGATAGAGTACTGGACCAAGGAAAGTAAACCATGAAAGTTCCTTAGAAAGGAGTACTCGACCAACGAAAGTAAACTATAAAATTTCCCTAGAATAATATACTGGACCAAGAAAAGTAAACCAGGAAAGTTCCCTAGAATGAAGTACTGAACCCAGGAAAGTAAACTAGGAAAGTTCTCTATAATTGAGTGCTGAGCCAAGGATAGTAAAATATGAAAGTTCCCTAGGATGGAGTATTGGACCATGGAAAGTAAAATTTGAAAATTCCCTATGATGGAGTATTGGACCAGGGAAAGTAACGTATGAAAGTTAGAACCCGAATATCATGTGATACTATATTGAAGAGAGGACCCGGATATACATATTATAGCCCTGTACTAAAGTGAGGACCCTGATATGTTGTGATCCTGTATTGAAGAGAGGACCCGGATATGCATATTATAGCCCTGTACTAAAGTGAGGACCCTGAAATACTGTGATCCTGTACGTAAGAGAGGACCCGGATATACAAATTATAGCCCTGTACTAAAGTGAGGACCCTGAAATACTGTGATCCTGTATTGAAGAGAGGGCCCGGATATGCATATTATAGCCCTGTACTAAAGTGAGGACCCTGAAATACTGTGATCCTGTACGTAAGAGAGGACCCGGGTATACATATTATAGCCCTGTACTAAAGTGAGGACCCTGAAATATTGTGATCCTGTGTTGAAGAGAGGACCCGGAGAGAATATAAAATATGATCTGAAGAGCTCACTCCATTCTGTACTGTAGCAAATACAAATATTTATAAAATCTAAAATATTTTTGCGACCAATACAATATTCATGTATATTTACATTCGAATAAACAACTTCAACATCTTCAATACAAAGAGGGTTGAGGGTTGAGGGTTGAGGGTTGAGGGTTGAGGATTGAGGATTGAGGGTTGAGAGTTGAGAGTTGAGGGTTGAGGGTTGAGGGTTGAGGGTTGAGGGTTGAGGGTTGAGGGTTGAGGGTTGAGGGTTAAGGGTTGAGGGTTGAGGGTTGAGGGTTGAGGGTTTAGGGTTGAGATGAGAAGTTGGGAAGAGATTAGATACAAAATAAGGGAAAGGGAAAAGGGTAGAACATATGATATGAGGAAGAATGGGATTCAGGGAGAAAGAAAGGGGGGAGAAGGGAAGTTGGAAGGAAAAAAGAGGAAAGGAAAAGGGGAAAAAGGGAAGAACAACAGAAGATGGTAAAAGGGGGGATCAAGGTAAGGGAAAGATGATGGAAAAGGAAAGAAGGTAAAGAAGGAGAAGAAGAGAGGGAAGAGAAAGGAGTGGAAAAAAGGGGACAGGGGGGGAAGAAGGTGGGATAATGGGGGGGGGAGGAGTAATAGTATGGTTAGAAGGGTCATGGGGAGTAAATTATAACCGGAAGATGATAAGGGAGTAATTTAAGGGAAATTAAGTAAAAAACTACAGAGGAGTTAATAATTGATTGAAGAGTGTAACGGATTGAAAGAAAGTGGAAGAGTGGAAAGATGGTAAAGGAGAGGTAGTAATACTGATGTATAGACTAGAATTGACAAATTTAAAAAAATTAGAAGACAATTTCTTCTATTTTGCGCCCATATATAAATATTAATGTTTTTATTCAAATTATCAGTAAAACCCTTCTCTCGCTCTCTCTTTCTCTTTCTCTCTTTCTATCTCTCTGTCTCCCTGTTTCGCTCTCTCTCGCTCTGTCAAGCTCTCTCTCGCTCTCTCTCGCTCTCTCTCGCTCTTTCTCGCTCTCTCTCGCTCTCTCTCGCTCTCTCTCGCTCTCTCTCGCTCTCTCTCGCTCTCTCTCACTCTCTCTCGCTCTCTCTCTCGCTCTCTCTGGCTCTCTCTCGCTCTCTCTCGCTCTCTCTCGCTCTCTCTCGCACTCTCTCGCTATCTCTAGCTCTTTCTCGCTCTCTCTCGCTCTCTCTCGCTCTCTCTCGCTCTCTCACGCTCTCTCTCGCTCTCTCTCGCTCTCTTTCTCGCTTTCTCTCGCTCTCTCTTTCTCTCACTCTGTTTATTGACTTGAAGAAAAGAATAAAACTAATTAAGTTTTCTTAATAAGTGTTTTGACCAAATTAAGAGTTCAAAACATTTTCCTTTCTATTATATTCCACAGAAGGTTTTATAATCTGTATTTTTCCAGTTATTTTTGTGCTTTTTTAAATAAATCCATTTAGCCTACTGGTTTAAACAATTGATAATTAAAAGTTTGACTACCTGATCTAGCAGAGTTCTAAGCTTGAAATATCAATGGCCAACATGCAACATCAGGTTTCAAAGATATAATAATTTAATAAACACGTGTTGTGGCAAGTATTCACTTCTGAACCTTTTTAAAATTTAGAGTCAAAGTTAAAGTAGAGCTCAGTAACTTTGATTTTTTTTTAACA